ACCACCAACCAGCGCAGCTCATTATCCGACAACAGTTTCACTCATCCCCACATGATGTCCACATATATATGCCGTCGCAATAATACGACCTAGAGAGAATCATATGCTCCCCCCCCAAAAAAAAAATTTAAAATTTTTCAGATGTTTTGAATGCAACAATTCGCAAGTATTTTGTGCTGAAAGTAGGAAAAAAAATAATTATTCAGCAGAAATTGATGGAAAAATTCTTTATGGAAGCTTCAAAATGCGTCCAATTAGTCGTATAAATTCTAAAATTTCTCGGAGGATGCCCCTCAGCCCCCCTCCCTCCGTGCTTGGGGCCCGGACCTTAAAACTGGTACCAGGGCCCGAGATTTGATGTGGCGAGCCTGCACAAAGGCTATTTCCATTTAAATCTTTTGTCACATTCTTACGGCGCAATGATACAACTATTTGAACTCTCCGGAATGCGTGAGGTATCACGCCGCATTTGAAGGCGTTTTCAAAACAGCCGAGTTCCGTTATCGGAATAATCGTTTTGGATAGTTCATATTATTTTATTCCATTTCTAACCACTTGTTTAATTATAATCCTCCTATAAAAACCACCCATCTATTAAATACAATTCTAGCTGAAGCGCACTTGAGCGCATTCATGACTGCAAAAATGTCAAAGGAAATCGACAAGTCCAGCGTGCATGCAGGCTATCTCCATTTAAATCTTCCTTCACATTCTTACGGCGCAATGATACAACTATTTGAACTCTCCGGAATGTGTGAGGTATCACGCCTCATTTGAAGGCGTTTTCAAATCAGCCAGGTTCCGATACCCGGATTACCGTTTTGCATAGTTCATATTCTTTTGTTATATTCCGTACCACTTGACTTGCTTACCAGGAGATTCGTGTCTCATCAAAAGAAATTTGATAACGCTGAAGGTTCATACGGCGTTTTTCCTTATAGCACGGCAGCATGGGAGCCCTGTCCCACGAAAGACGTATGATCTAAGTAATGTTAGCCGCTTAATGTCAGTAGACCCTCGAAGGATTATTATTCCTCATTAGTTTTTCTAAATTAGGTGGGTACGCCTCTGGAAAAAGCCAATCGTTAACTCTAAGTTTACTTCCTGTGAAAATTTACATTGAAAAAATGACGAAATAATATAAAACAAAATAACACACGTTTTTTGGCTACTTGAGTTTCAGACAAAGCAAAAATCGTGAAGAATGATGGAATGAAGCACAAAAATCTCAAGCTCTGATGACGCGACGGGTGCTGGAATTCAGCGTTTTTATAGTCACTGCGTTAGAAAATGTTGGCTTTACTTCATCGGAACAATACGCAATGCTGGAATTAAGTTACGGTGTGATAGAAACAAGCAAAGGGCCCTTAGTTCGGGTCGAATGCGACGAACACTATCCAACTTTCATTTCAACTCCTGGATGCAACTATTCGGGCCCCATGGATGTCCGTGTTGCATGCGCACGGAAATGAAGGCGTTTTGACGGTCCAGGCATTCACCACTCCTCCCGCGGCGGCGGCGCGGCGCGGCGTGGCGCCAACGGAGGGCATTACTGCGAGGATCGAAAATGGCAGAGCGCCTTCAATTCTTCGTTTATACTTCAAGTTCAAAGATATCTCCTCGGCACGAATGTAGTTGCATACAGGCCTTGTATGTGAGTATTTTTTATGCTTCATTGCTGATACCGTTAGCCGTACCTGCCAGAGGCCGTATGCTGAGCATTATTTGTAGAGCAACTATTCATGCCCAAGAGATGTCGTCGAAATATAAAATAAAGAATTGAAGGCACTTTGTCATTTTAGATCCTCGCAGTAAAGCCTATAACCACACAATGAAACGACGCCTTTCAGAGAGGTTCGACCTGAAATTTTCGACTAAACCTGCTAATTTTGTTGGTAACTTTTTCACATGTTTATATAATTACCTATATAATTTTTTTTTTTTTTTATATCGACGGTGAAACTACCAAACCACGTATCTCGTTTGCGGTGTTTAAAAATCTACGCTCACATTTTATTTTTTTGAAGTAGACCAAATCAATATTATTCCTTGAAATTTTCACAGAATTTTCTCAGCACGAAAAGGAAAAATCACAGAAATTTTCAAGACTGGACGTTAAGTATTATTTAAAAAATAAAGTATGACAGGAAGTCTGCGACGTTGCAAACCGAGATACGTGGTTTGGTAGTTTCACCATTGATATGTACTTGTACTTGCACGTATCTTTAGGTCGGTACAAAATGCTTTTGGTTTTATCTGTAAACACGGGAAATAATAATAAAATATTCCTTTCATCATCAGTTGGTATTATAGCTGATAATGATATCGATGTTACATTATGTAGGAATAAAGTTGATTGGACGATGCGATGCGACTATGTGAAGCAGAAAACTGAGCGAGTCACGTCGTTGACAGTAACGCCTTGCGTTGATACAACTAAACCTACTCGGGAGATATGTACGTTGCCTATACAAAAATCAGGAGGCGAACAGCTGTTGTTCTCTATTTAGTTGTCTTAGCTGACGAAAATGCGTTTAGGTACTTACATGTGACTCAAAATATCAGAGGAGAATGTGGCTAGATGCCTGCGTTATTTATTTATTTTTTTTTTTTGATCGTCCCGTCGGGATCAGATTTAGAGGGTTGCCACATGGGCCGCGGCTCATGGCGGCAAATCTAGGGGGCTGCAAATTTTGCAATTTTTATTAAATATAGGTATACAGAAATCGGATTCCGAAAAAAAAAAAAAAAAAAAAAAAAAAAAAAAAAAAAAAAAAAAAAAAAAAAAATACAAACGAGAGAAGGCGACAAAATCTCTCATTTCCTGAGAGTATAGTAATTTATAATGTTGTCGTCTTTCGGTGATACAAAAGATAGCACCTTCAATAAGTCGAGTCAGAGGAACCAAACCCGCAATTTGGCCTGGAGCAGCGCGGCGCAGAGAGCAATGATGACGAGAACTTGAGATGAATAGGAGAAGCTCTCTGCGCGGCGGTCGACATGTAGAGCAGATTAGCGCCTACAAGAATGCATGAATACTTCACGCATTGCGTCAAGCACAGTGCGGTCAGCAACGGTTGACGTGAGATGCATAGCGCCTACAAGACTGCACGAATACTTCACGCATTGCGTCAAACGCACATTGAGGTCAGCTCGGCGCGGCGGCGGAAGTTAAAATTATTAAACCACATTTATGTTTGTATTAATGAGTAAAGTTTTGGTCTGGTAGCAAAACGTGCTATGCGGAGGGAGGAAGGGACCCATTCACCGCGGCTTATCGCTCACGCCCCAATACAGCTTACAATTCCCTACTTAAAGCGCATCCCTAAGAATTGGATCATGGATGAATTTCATCATAAAATATTCCGATTTAAATAAGAGCACCGTCAGTTGGTCTAGCATGAGCCGGTTTTTGACTTTGAGGCTTTGCATTTTTGCAGTAAATTTTTTTTTTCATGCAATCAATTTTTGTTGTAGATCAGTCCCACATAGAAGAGTAAGAATAGCCCATTGAAAACATTTTCCAGCAAACTGGGTATTTTTTTTTTTTAAAAAAATTGAGGTGGCTCATGTTACCTGCAAGGTGGGGTAACATGAGCCACCCTATTGTCTTTAATTTAAAGGCACATGTAAGCCTACTATAGGCTTACATGAGCCTCCCAAAAGTTTTTTAAAAAAAAAATTGAGTTACAAAACATTAAAAACCAGGCTAAAAACGTACAAAACTTTAAATTTCCTGCAATTTACGTCAAATTTCAGGCGAACAAATACATTTAACATCTAAAACCTTGTATTTAACAGGAAATCATTTAACAATCAATAGCACTAAGTTACTTTAAAGGCACACCGACAAGACAAATGGGACCTAAAGTCAAGAGAGATCAGTCAAAGTTTCCTAAAAAGTATATATATAGTAGTATTTTGGGCTACGTTAGATTCACTTTTATTTATAGTAGTATATATATATAAGTATAAAATTAATATTGACTTTAATTTTAATTTTTGGAACTTTTTAGCTTTGTTTTCCCCGCAAAATGGTGTGGACTCAGCACCATTTCTCCACCTTGTTACATGCAGTTCGGGCCACTTCTTAGTGTTTTTTTCTTTTTTTTTCTTATATGAGTATATACAGTATACAAGTCTTAAAAAGACGAACAGTAAATATGGAAGATACGTGAAGGAGTTGATTTATGCTCTAAAGGAATGCCAATTTTACTAAGAATGTATCATGAAAACCATTACTGTATAGATTGTTCCTGGAGGACTTGCGAAAATTGGGTGGCTCAAGTTACCTCCAACATTCCAAAATTTTGGTTTTTCCAAAAAAAAATTGGTCAAAAACTAAAATGTTCAAAATCCAATGCATGGGCATGAAAATTGGAGGTATTTGTGAGGTTCGGCGACCGGCGAAAATATTCTGTGATTATCGATAGTCACTTTTCAAGGAGGTTAGTCTCAGAGGTAGAAAAAGGGGCAAAAAATTCTAAAAACTAAATAATTTATAAAAAGTGCTTATCGATGGAAAAATGTGTCTCTCACATCATGTTGTTGTTTTCGTTGTTTACTTTCGCGACAGTGCTGCCACAGGCAAGAGAAAAAAAAATCCCCAAACGGCTCATGTTACCCCCGAGGCTCATGTTAGACCAACTGACGGCATGCATTTTAGCACAGGCCAAGAATTTCCCGTTTCAAAGTTTGACCACGTACTGATTCGTGGCGCTGACGACAATTCAGTGTTGCCAAGACTCCATGATATTCAAGTTACTGTTTTTTAATGGCTAAAAGCTGAAGAAATGAAGAAAGATTAATTATAATACTCTTTTTCCACCGCTCCTCCGCGATTGAAAGCACGAAAAATTAAATGTCAATAATTCAAGCAATAAAATCAAATAAAATCCATCAGACTCAAAATCGTGGTGATAACGCACTGTAGTTAGTTACCAAATTCTAAGAAATTTCTCTATTTGGCAGCCGTGCTTCAAGGTAAACAAACCCTGCGAAGAAGAAGAAGTAGCAGCAACAGCGGAATTTTTGTTTTCGTCGGAATGACACGTTTTTCCAATTTTCAGTAAGTTATCTGCAAGTTATTCAGTGATGGGTGACAATTTAAATGTGTCCGATCTTAAAATCGAGGACACTGGAACAGACGACACGGAAGGAGACGTAGTTGATCCATGGAACGTTACGAGCTCGTCGAATACTGGCGTAGACTATGATAAATTAATAGGTAAGCTCATGAAGACCATGCTGGTTGCTTACTGTCTGCCCACATTTTTACCATTTTTCCACCCTATTTCCTTTGTTTCATCTTCGTGGTTTTCTGTCACAACTCTTGGCTAAAAGAATGTCAAGTTTGCATCTCACTTTGTGCGGCTGATAGTGCCGTTTGAAACCCTCTGAATGCGTTAACCTCAATTCCAATATAGAGCTCGCACATCGTATGTTGAGACCAACTTCAGTCTCCGACAAGCTTTGAATTCGCACCACTCAATAGGTTAATACATGTAGTCAGGTGGCACCACTGGTGAATGGTGACATAAACAATACTTTGACGTTTGTCTCAACATTCGATGCGCGAGCTCTATCTGCCGAAGGATTTCTATTTTATGTTTCATGCGAGTCCTAGATTCCTTAGAGTTAGAACCTACGAAAGGATAGGTTGACTAACTGGATTCTGGCGTCTGTCGGAAATTTGGACCCTTTTCACAGCCAACATAATACCTATCAACCTTCTCGTTGTGCGTTATTCTCTGGCCTAATTTTTCTGAATAGTAGTGGGCTCATTAACGGCACAGCATCACAAGAGCCTCATCCCTGTGTCAACGGGAATATTAATGAAGATGAATATTCCTACGTGGCACCTGACACGTACTTTCAACTTCTGTACTCAATAAACTCCAATTAAGTGGTCTCTTTCTCTCTCCTATGAGGATCTGTGAAAATTATCGAACAAACTGATGGATTCATTGTGTAAGCCAGAGGTATAGAAAGTTCAAAAATTTTAATAGCTCGCTGTAATCTGGCACATTTGCTCAAAGTACAACTAGATGTCTATTATGTCCCATGGGCAATTATTGTATTTTACAGTGTCGACATTTCACTTAGATAGCAGTACCTTCTTCAAACTCATGTTCAATTTTGTGGCTAAATAGGACTGGAGCCGGAGACGATTCATTCAATTGCCTTTTGTTCACTTAAACTTGATTTCTTTTTTCAGCAAGGTTCGGGAGCTCCAAAATTGATGATGTTCTACTCGCAAGATTTGAGAAGGTCACAGGCAAACCCGTACACCATTTACTCCGGAGAGGAATATTTTTCTCCCACCGTGACATGCACAGTATTTTGAACCTGTATGAAGCAGGCAAACCATTTTTCCTCTACACAGGCAGAGGACCTTCCTCCTCAGCTATGCACATAGGACACCTTATTCCCTTTCTTTTTACTAGGTAAGTAAACCAAGTTAGAAATCCTTTTTAAATTTATTAAAATTTTAATCTCTTCAAAGTATTTAATCACCAGCAAAATGCAGTGGAGACTATGAATAGTCCTCAGCAGGCCGATGATTGAATGTTGAAAGCAGCCTGATTAGACATCAAAACGCGATATATTACGTAGTTAAGATAGGGTTATGTCTTGTCTTGTCTGGTCATCGTTGTTTGTGCGGTTGGAATGTTCATCAAAGAGACAAAGACAAAAAGTAAAGTGGATTACTTTTATTAAGGAAATGGACCTGTTGCTTAGTACATGGCGAGTACACAAGATACGGCAAATGAAATAGATGAAGTTATTTTAGTTGTGCTGTGTGCTACAGCCGGTAGCATGAGGCATACATTGCAGGCAACATGTAATGCTTTGACTGTATAGTGTATAATACTACAACAGTCATACTGACATACCTCAATAGTCCAGTTGCAGTTTTTGACAGAATATAGTTAAGGTGATTGTTCTAGATCTTTGTAATTGAATGAGTAAATAGCAACATCCATCTAATGTTAGGAAAGAGATTTATCAAAATTTTCATTCTCTTGGGTTTTATCCTCTCAACTTCTTTCATTTATTTTTTTTAAATAGAAACATACATCTTAGCAGTGCGACCCTCTCATTTTTTCAGCTCTCATGTTCAGAAGCTTGGTATTCAGCGTATTGTTCTCAGTCACCCCAAAACCTCCATCAAGAATTCCGTGTCTCATTCTTGTACCTAAATTTTCACAATAAGTATTTGTTAAGTTTCGATGTTGTCTAATTTCCTGTACCACATGATTTTAGATGGCTGCAAGATGTTTTCGATGTTCCACTTATCATTCAGCTCACAGACGATGAGAAATTTCTGTGGAAAAATCTGAAAATAGATGAAGCAACAAAACTAGCGTACGAGAACACTAAGGATATAATAGCATGTGGGTTTGATCCAAGCAACACCTTTATTTTCTCAGATTTAGAATTGATTGGGTAAGTATCTTCACAATTGTACATTTAGCCAAGAATTTCAGTAATAAATGTTCGAAGGATTTGTATCATGGTCACTGCATAAGCTCCTAATAGAGAATGAGTCTGTGGTTTGCATACCTTAGGGCCATTCCTGTCAAATCATTTAACTAGTAGTTGACTGTCTGTTAAGGTCCAACTAGAGGTTGGTGTGTCTTGTCAATTTACAACTACTGGTTGAGAGGCTGTTAACGGGCTGAGTTTCAACTGGTGCTTTTTCTGCCTGTTAGATTTCAACTAGGACTTCAGACAAAACATTCGTTCCGGTTCTTCGCGTTTCACTAGTTCACAAAGAGCCTGATTTAACTACCTGGGCTCGGGTTGTGGACCCCACCACCCGCACCCTCCTCTTTGCAAGGGTTGTTTTGTCGTCTCTTTCAACTGCTAATTGAATTTTCGGCAAGGGTTCCCAGACATTAGATACGACCTGATGTAGGATATGAGGGAACAAATCATGTTAATGCACTATTTGGCAAGTAGTCTTTGTCCAGTAACTAGAGGTTGAAAATCAGTGACAAGACTCTCCTTCAGGTCGAACTGGAAGTTACCTTTAACTGGTAGTTCGTCAACTAGCAGTTGAGACCCGATTTGACAGGAATTTACTTTTACTGCACCAATGACAATTTAGAGTTTTTATGCAGGCATAAAAAATTAGAAATAGTTTTGGAGGTATGGAAAGTCTTAATATTATCCCAACTCTAGTACCTACTTGATTGACATTGATTTCGGTTTTATTTTCTACAGATAGTTCAAACTGACGAATTTTAATGTAAACTATGAACCTTGATTTTTAGTTTCTTCTTTGGTTTTTGTTGTGTTGCTCTCACCCTGCTCTGTGATCTGCTTTGTAATGTAGTGTTGTTTTCTGCTTGTTATAGACAATGTCCAGCATTTTATCGGAATATAGTTAGAGTTCAGAAGAATGTAACATTTAATCAAGTCAAAGGTATTTTTGGTTTTGGAGATAGTGATGTTATTGGAAAAATTGCTTTCCCTGCCATACAAGCAGCACCCTCTTTCTCCTCATCTTTTCCATTTATCTTTGGAGATAAGAATTTACCTTGCCTGATTCCTTGTGCAATAGATCAGGTGCGTAATTAGATTCTGTTTCCTTTGATTCTTCTTCATTATATAATGTTTTTACTTTGCACTAAAAAAAAAATTGACTCATTGTCAAGCAGGAATATTGCTGACTGAGCTTTTTTGTGAGACAGGACTTGTTTCTTAGAAACAGTCTTGAACATTGTTGCAACGTTTTAGTATGTATCAGTGTTAATGATCAAAATCCTCTTCAACCATGCTGCGTATTTCAAAAGGCAGTATAATTGCACTAAGCTGTCTAAAAGTGTACAATAGGGTTAGGTTAGGTTATTGTTTTTCTTGGGACCATCAAATGTGTTAACTGACAAGTCTACTGAATCAGTCTTGAAAACTAAAAAAAGAGGAAGAAAACGAAAGTGACAAAATGGGACCATAAAGCAGAATTCAAAATCATTGAACATTGTAATGCAATGTGTGGAGGTAGTAGCACTTAACAGAAAAACAGTTAAAACAGAAAAACAGAATTGTTGTTAAAACAGAATTGTTCCATCTGTTGTTTACAAAAGAAATTATATTATTCCCTCTTCATGTCCATCCAGTCTCAAATTTTTGTCCATGATTTGTCACTTTATTAACTGCCTTATTGTCGGTTCAGTAATAACGACACAAAAACTCATACTATAAATTAAGAAGAGGGTGATTGTGTACTACTTTTCTAAAAATTGGGCCTCCATCTTCAACATTGAAATCTTGATGTAGTGTTGAAGATATTTGCCAGAAAAAAATAATCATGCATGAGTCAAAGCCTGATGAACATGTTTAATTATCTGTTGTAGGATCCATATTTCAGAATGACAAGAGACGTTGCGCCAAAATTAGGTCATCACAAGCCAGCGTTGCTTCATTCTTCTTTCTTGCCTGCTCTTCAAGGAGCTATGACAAAAATGTCAGCGAGTAATGACCTCTCGGCCATTTATCTGACAGATACTGCAAAGCAAATTAAAAATAAGGTATGTCTAACCCACTCAACCAATGCTCTGTTTAATTTTTATGAGATAGAGCCACCTATTTTGTTGGACATGAAAGGCTGATATAAAGTAGTGTAAGATAATGTAAAATACTCTCAGTGCACTGTAGGTAAGTAAAGTAAATTACCTCTAAAGTAAAATACTATGTACAGTAAAAGCTCCCTAAGTCAAACTATGGTTAATACGAAATATCGCTCAAGTCACATTTTTTTTCGGTCCCTAGAGAGACACGTCCATGTGTAAAGTGGAGATTGAGTTAAGATGCATTGCCGCTCAAGTTGAATTTTTTGTCGGCCCCTTCACGATTGGACCTAGTGAGCTTGAGCTACTTTGAAATATGCTTCAAGGAAGGCATTATGATCAATACATGGTTTACAAAAATTGTTCAAACACGATATAATTTTCATCCCAACATTTCATTCACAAAATGCAGTTTTTATTGCGATTGGTATTCAGTACATGTGTGTGTCACTTTGCACCTCCTAATTTTTCAATGAATTGCTATGCCAGACTTGCCTACCTTAGAAGATGGTTGCATTCATGTTCAATGCAAAAGTTACAGCTGAGGAAAGAGACCTCCTGCAGGTAAAATCACACAAAATTGATGTTAGGTACTTACATGATGAAAGTGTGGAATCCATTTCTCAGCACGCAATCTGACTAGTTTGTAATACATTCTTTCGAATTTCCAACACAGCGGATAATTGTCCTTAGTGGTCAGCAGTCAGGTTTTGTCCAAAAGAGACACAAGTAAACCTAATCAAAATGAATGAATAATGTTGCATAGTGTCACAAACTTGCCGTATGTATGATTTCTATTGATTTAAAGCTTATTTTTGCAGCGCAAAGAAATAAAGAGGCAACAAAGACTTGAAAATAAGTAAAATAATACGTAAGAAAAAGTTTGTAAGATTGTTCATGTAGGTTAGGATTTCTTACACCTCTCACCGAGCAAACCTGGTTGTCTGCAACCAAGGAAAACTACCCGCCGGCAGAAGAAAGAAAAAACGTACGACTAACGTAGCAAATTATATGTTAAGAGTGGATTTCAGACTTTTCATGTGTCTGTCATGATTTTCTTATGATTTTACCCAAAGAGGGCCTATTAACTTGACTGTGTCTCCTGCGCATAAATGACTTTTTTTGCCCCTTAGTAACAAAAACTTGTCTCTTTCAGGTTAATAAATATGCATTCTCAGGCGGTCGTGATACCATTGAAGAACACAGGAAACTGGGAGGCGACTGTAGTGTAGATACATCTTATCAGTATCTAAAATTCTTCCTAGAAGATGATGAAAAATTGGAACAAATTAGAAAAGTAAGTTCCTCACATTTGTTCCCTCCGTCAAACCAAGCACTGATCGAAATGAGAGTAAATTATTTCTGAAGTCCGAATAGTTAGATTAAATTCTTATTAGATTTTAGATTATATTATTAGTCTCCGAAAAGTTAATAAATCTAAAAGTATCACAGTTGAGCTGTGGATGATATGGATATACATATTATCCAAACCTCACATCAGGGTTGCGAAAATGCCTATCACATGCCTGAACTAGCGAGAAAGAACTAATAGAAAAGGCCCCAATATTGTGAAAAGAGGGAAATATTTTCCAAGATTAGAAGGTGTGCATGTTCTCACCTCAGTCCGCACCCAGATTTAGACCCTATTTGGGACACCTTGAGTTTCCTGATACCCTCCAAATTTTTACGTCTTATCATTAATATCTCAATGCCATTGAGAAAAAATTAAAAAAGGAAAGAAAAAAAAAGGTCATTGCTATTGTCAATCGAAAATTTTGTGTCAGGCTGTAGAGAAAAATGTGGAAAGCCGCAGAGCGAGCGCATGAAAAGGTGTGAATACTCAATGCCTAAAAATTCGGCGCTGGCTAAATTTAGATTATTTTAAAATGATGCACCTTACCTTACAGCCTCCTAAGCAAAATGCGTTTTTTTAAGATGTAGCTTATATTGACGGTGTCAGTCGGCAATCACATAACTCGTTTGCGGTGTCTGAAAATCTCCGCCTCTATAATATTTTTTTAAAGGAGAACAAATTGACATCATTTCTTGAAGTTTTTGCAGAATTTTCTTCACTTAGGGAAGAAAAATCACGACAGTTTTAAAGAATTTTTGTTGAGTAGTCTTCTGGTTAAAAAATAAAGTATGATAGGAAGTCTGCGACGTCGCAAACCGAGTTATGTGATTGCCGACTTACACCGTCGATATGTGCCAATGTCAAAGAAAGTGGTGCTCTTAAGTGAATTTTCAAGCATTTTTATATCCAACACCTAGTAAAAATGTTGCAATATTTTATTGATGATGAAGCAGAACTATTGTTTCCTTGCTAGTCAGAAAGATAAGACAGGCGAAAAGAATCAAATTTCTCCGAATGATAACAGTGTGTGGCGTAGCGTCTACATACAAACAGCAAAATTCCCAAACGTCCAACAGAAAATGCATGTAAGGAAACGAAAAAATTAACTTTTCAGTCCCATCTCCTTGAGATTGGCTCATCATAAGTATGATTTTAAAAGCACATTGTGCCCAGGGGGTCATAAGAAACACTGTACCAAATAATATTGAAATTTTGTCCACAACAAAATTCTTGGTATTAAGTGCGCAGTCCTTTGGAATGCTGAAATTTTCTGCATTCCTGCCTTACATCAGGTATCTAAGCCGATTCATCAAATAGGCGATGCTGAAACGCAGGCTGTATTGTGATCGTTATTCAGATGTCTTTCTTTATTCTCATAGATTATCTAAAGAAAATATTGTTAAAGTTAAGTGAAGGATTTTCAGTTTCAACCATATGCACTGAGTTTACATCTCACTCATATGTGAAGAAAAAATAGTCTCACTAAGTCATTAATGAACTCACAAGAATTTGTTTCGAAATTATTTCCCAACTAAAAGCTAATTATGATGGAGTGAAAAGCTGGGTGTGTGAAAGGCACTTCTTGGTTGCAATTTTTCAGAATCTCGTCACTAATTCATGTTTTCAGCGAAATCCAATAGGTGATTTTTCTTTCAAAAGAACACTGTAGAATCATGAAGTATATTTACTAAAAATTTCAATGAAACGCATGTCCTCACTTTCCTTACAATGAATGAAATATTAGCGGAGATTCTGAGACTCTCCAACCAAGAAGTGCCCATCAATGGCCTGAATGGAGTTGGTCATTCTCAATGAGACGTAAGCGCTAAAAATACGAGAAAAAATATAATAATCGTTTTAATTGACCCCTTTTAAATTTCATAGCTCTAAAATGTTAAAGCGATGAATTAATAAATCACATTAACTAATCTACAATTCAATACGGGTTGATTAATACAGTTTTACTGTTCTTCCTGTATTTTTATTTCTTGCCTTTGAGTCTTTTTGAGACTGACCCGATTTAATTATAATATCATCTGTTAAAGCAGAAAGGAAAACAAATAAGTTTAATCAACATTTTCACTTCTCATTGTATGACTTTGAAGTTAATTTTCAGTGGTTTTATTTATTGATATCAAGGTTTTCTTTGAACATGAAGAAGCTTGGAAGCATTCTAATTAAGATCTTGTTCACCAGCAGATTTTTCGAGTCGAATTTTATTTTAAATTTGTTCCTTTTCTTTTTCTATCAGGATTATAGCAGTGGAGCTTTGTTAACTGGCGAACTCAAGAAAATTCTAATAGACAAATTATCAGAAATTGTCGCTAGTCACCAAGAGAGGAAGAGCAAACTAACGGATGATGATGTCAAGCAGTTCATGAAACTCCGACCTTTAAGTTTCCAAACCAAGTAGACTCTTTCTCTCATATGATTTCTTTATGATCCTGTCGATTTTAATGAGGACTCTGTACTGACAGTCTTTGGTAAACAACAGCACATTGAGAAAACAATGAAGGTGAGGAGTAACTGTTTTCACGTGTGAAAAATCTCCCCCCTCCAAAAAATATAAGTATCACCTTCGTGAATGATAACTGTAATTGTTTCTCCTGAATTAAACCGTGCCTATTTTAGGTATGGAACCATAGCAAACTGCTCAGCCTGTAGAAAAATAGTACAGAAACCTACTTTCAATTGGTTATGTTTTTTTTTTTTTTTTTTTTTTTTTTCTCTCTCTCTTCTTTTTTTCAATACAAATTAAGAACACCTAGCCACATGTCCTCTGGCAGAATCATTATGTATTGCTTTTTGATTCACCATTCTGTGTTGATAGTCTCTGCTAGTCAGGGTGTTCCAACTGTGGAAAGTCAGGAGAAAAAGTATTAGTAACAAATTTGTGGGAAAAGAGAAGAATTTCCTTTAAGAAGGGCACCTAAGTATTTCTACGGAACGAGGAATCATCTCCGAAAAAGGGTAATTATTTTGTTGTGAGTTTTTTGCTGTTCCGCAAGTTTTCACCTCTGTTGAATTTTTTTTTTATCTATAGTCATAATTGAGACGAAAAAATCAGATAACTTTGTGGGCAATTCAACAGTTACGTCATTTCGGAGTGGAAGACGGAGAGAAGCAGAGAATTTTTCCCCTAATATCTGTGGACACTCTGGCTGGAAGAAGACAAATGTTTTGCTCAGAATGGCAGCAGTCACATTATCGAGAATGTTTCAGCTACCTCTCTTTATGAGTTCCTAATTAGAGTATGCAACTATTGTATCCACAATAGTGATAGAATTTCCAGAAGTGAAGTAATGAACGGGCAAATTGACAAAGTCTGAAATATGTAGAGAATTTCTTTCGAAATTTAATTCCAAAATTGCACGCAAGAAGTACTATATTCAGCATGCATTGACAGCAGCCTCTGTGAATTGTAAATGATTGCAATGTATATGAATCGAGCATTAATAAAGGATCATATTTTGGCATTAGTGATAATTAGAAGTTGACTTTGGAACTTTTTGCGTCTACTAAAATTTTTGCAAAATTTTGTAGAGATAAAACGTCTAAGAAATATTGAAGTTTGACAATGCTTACAAGCCCACTACTCATAATGATGACTGAACTCTGAAGACATGTATCTCATTGTACTAAGATTTTCTTTTATGTATGTACGTAAGCATACTAATACCTCTCATTTCTTGTAAAATTTCATCGATTTTCTTATCTTTAGATGGGGCTGATTCGGTTAGAATTTGAAATGAAAAGGGTTTTCCCCAGTTTTTTCCCCTTCCTCTCTCTGATGTAAAATAAAATATCGACAGTGAATCTGCCAAAATGCATATCTTGGTTTGCCTCGTTGCAGACCTCCTATCATATTTTAAGTATTTTCTATGTGGAAAACTACTAGACGTCATTTCTTTAAAAAAAAATTGGCGATTTTTCCGATTTCTTCAAGTGAAGAATATTTTGTAAAATTTTCAAGCCATGATGTTGGTTCAGTCTGGGTATAAAAAACAAAAAAGGAACCGAGAGTTTGAAACATCGCAATCAAGATACACATGTTTGCATTTGCACCATCGATAAATTAAATATTTCGAGATATGCAGTTAAGAAATCATCATGGTGTAGGAAGTCCCTTAATTTTGTTTGATGATAAATTATTTTCATCCTGCTCTGAAGACAATGAAAGGTGGATTTTGTTCTCAGGATTCTCTTTGCCCGGATCCGTTTTTAAAGAACCGAAACTTCTAATTTAGCTCATTACTCTTAAATAAAGTAGTTTGCTTTTATTTGAGTGATGTAATTTATATTTATGTTCAATGTATAGTTTATGTACCTACTTTTACCATTTTTTTTATTATTATTTGAAGGTTTCCAATTAAAATCGAAAGTATTTTCCTTTACTTCAACTTTTTCTGCCTTGTATGTTTGTTATAAGTTTGTAAAGCTGGATTTTGACAGTAATGACTACGAAAGACAGTAATGGCCATCAATGTACATCAATGTACATAATGGTATCCAAAAGGAATGGCTGGTTTTGGCAGTAATGCCGGTGCCCAAAAATTAAGTTGTGAGCTGTTTATTTAATTTTTGTACTAAAAGATGGTGTGAAGTTGCATTATAATCTGACAATTTCATTGGCTGAATAGTGGACATGGTGGACTAGAATCTTAAATGAAAACAGGCCTGGACATCCAGGAATTCATCAGGTTAGGGTACGTTATGGAAAAGACCGAAAATCTGAAAAATCTTAAAACCTGAAAAACAGCGCTGTTCACTCAGAGGATGTCTTGCTGTCTTGCGAGTGTCAGAAATTTGCGATTTAAGTATTTTCTCTGGTAAAGTCAAGACCAATCCACACAGGTCAGTCATTGCGCATCTTTTTGAAAGCCACTTCCCCGCCCGGCCCTAACTCGGCTGCACTCAATAGTACGTCACAATGGGTGCTCCCATAAGAAATACATTGCAAGCACTCAATAGTACGTCACTGCGCAGTAGAGTACCAAAACTCGTCCACGGGAATGACTGACCTGTGTGGATTGGTCTTGGGTAAAGTTTTGCAAGAAACTTGATGCTGCCTCCGGTTTTCTCTGCTACAGGGTTGCCGCAGTCAGGGACAACTGGGAAATGTCAGGGAATTTTTAAAAGTCACCGAAAACCTGGAAATGTCCAGGAATATGACGAAAATGTCAGGGAAAAATCCTTGAGTCACCTTTATTTGTTTTCTAGAAAAGATTTGACGTTTCAAACAACAACTTTGCCTGAAAACTATTTCTAATTATGTCTCTTTCACCATCTGGCATATCTCCCAGTGTCAGGGAATTTCATCCTGTGAATTCTGTGGCAACCCTGTGCTAATGTTGGCTTGTTTCTCTCTGAGAAAATAAGGATTGACTTTTTGGAACATCGCAATTAAGATGCATGGTTTGCAACATAGGTCATTGACGTATAAGTCAAGAAAATAATTAATGTAACCAGTATGTACTTGATTAAACGGTGCAACTTGATTGTAAATGATTTCTTGAAGGACTTTTCCAGTTCACTGTTCAATTCCAAAATGCCTTGAGGTTTTTATTCAGTCACCAGTGACTTACTGGACCAATATTCTGAAGAATCTCTAGGGTTAGGACAAATAAAAATTCTGAATATTTTTGCGAATAATGGGTTACGAATCATGAAAAAAATCCTAATGGGTCACAAGCATTCTGTTACAGAATCATGCCTGATAATTATAGATTTTAGGACAACAACAGATGCCTAGAACCTTATTTTAAAATGAGCCAAAAATAGTACATAGTTCTCAATTGCAAAATTTAGTACATTTGATGTAGGAATCAGGCAACTGAAGAGATCTCGTTATTTTCTGCAGCAACATGATGATTCTATGATGTGCTTAATTGACCCATTGATGTGCATCTTGGAGAAGAATTGTAAAAACTTTTCTGGACATGAAGAGGCCAAAAACATTAAAATTATGAATATTGAAAGATGTTCTTTTATTGAGAGCTCTTACAAAATAAGTAATAGAATAGTTTCTGCCAATACAATTAAAACATTTCTCATCAGTTATATATTATCAGTTTGTTGAAAATAAATGGATGATCAAATTTTTATCATCATTTAGGGTAAAGCCCAGAATTATTCAATTCTATCTCAAGGGATGAATTTACCCCCAATTTATCAAAGAAAAAAAAGAAGTCTTGCTTACATTTTTGAGTGAAAAAAAAAAAAAAAAAAAAAAAAAAAAAAAAAAATTCTACAGTTAAACTCGTCTGTACCACTGAAGTAAAGAGATCCTAGCCCTTACAGATTATTCACATTTGCACTTAAAATTAGTGCAGTGATCAGTTTCGAATCCGGCACAATTCAGGATGGAAGGGATTTCTTGTGGTGAATGTTAAGTAAATGCATTTTGAGGACCCACCTCCTTTTGAATTTTTGGGAGCAAAGTTTGCAAGCGAAAGGTCTTTCATCAGAATGAACTCGGAGGTGAGAATCGAGATCGTGTTCCGATTCAGCTCGAAAACTACATTCGCCACAAGAGAAAGGTCTTTCTTTTTTATGCATTTTTTGAACATGCGATTGAAGACAAAATTTTTGTGAGAATTTTTCTGAACAGTACTTACAAGACATGACAGATCTATCAGTGTGATAATTTTGAACGTGAGATTTTAGACCTGATTCTCCTTTAAAACAAGCAGAACATTGATTGCAGGTGAATGGTTTCTCAACAGAGTGAGTTGATCGGTGATACTTCAGAGAGGACTTAGTTCTGAGACGTGCATCACAGATATCACACTTAAAAGGCCTTTTATTCGAGTGAGATTTAAGATGAGTCCAGAGGGGTCCTTTACCTTTGAACCGTTTACCGCACTTATGGCAAGAATAGGGTCTTTCATCAGAATGTGATCTCAAGTGAGTTATGAGGACATCTCTCCTAATGAATTTTGCATCGCAATGCGCACATTCCAAAAGTCTCTTATTGGCATGACTTTGTAAATGAAGTAGAAGACCTTTTTTATCTTTAAACTTTGCGGAACATTTTTCACAAGTATAAAGTTCATTGGCGGAAAAGGTTTTTAACGTACTTTTTAATTGTCTTTTGTTTTTATGTTGAGAAGAATGAGTAAGAGGATTGAGATTACTACCTGAGCCACGACAACTCAAATTTTTTTTAGAATCTCTTTTTTTACGGGAGTTAAAACTCTCGTTACAAGTATCTGTCATTTGATGAGCATGAAGTCGTTGAAAATGATTCCGAAGACTTTCTTTGCATCGAAATCGTAGAGAACAAACTCTACAAGCAAAGGGTTTCTCATCAGAATGAGTCTTTAAATGGTGCTGCAGAAATTTTTCTAATCTGAACCCTCTTGCACACACTTTACAAGAGTATGGTCTTTCAAGTGAGTGCGTTTTGATATGAGATAAAAGGTTACTCCTTGCGGCGAATCGCAATGGGCAGAGTTTACAAGCGTGGGGTCTTTTATCAGAGTGAATTCCACTTGATAAATGAAAAGCAACACTACCTTTAGTTTTAAAGGAAGCTTCACACAATGTACACTTATAAGGTCTTACATCAGAATGAGTTACATATAAATGATGTTTGAGAATACTCTTTGTTTTGAACCTCTTTGGACAGAGTTTACAGGAAAAGGGTCTCTCATCTGAGTGAATATTCCGGAAATGACCTTTTAGATTTGAAATGTTTTTCAACTGTCTCCCACACAAGTCACAACGATAATGACCGTTTTTGAGAACGGTTCCAGAGGGTATTTTGATGCTTCTCTCAATTACAGGAATCTCTGATTTGATAAGGGTCCCTTCCAAATTGTAGATGACCGGTTCTTTTTCTTTCAGAGAAGCCTTCAAAGTCTTCGAAGCCAGGGCATCACTTGATCCAAACTGATTCTGATAAGAGGAATCAATATTTTCATTGATAGAGACTTCTGTTTCATTCTCGGCTTCTACAATTGGCTGGGTGACACTACTTTCCATTGTAAGCAAATTCTTCAATTTCTTTTCGACAACATCGAGCGAAGATTTTGAATGATCATCGCAGATGCTGTAGGAGCTGGTTCCAATTGAAATTTTTTGACGAGAGTTCATCACAAAATCTAGACAAGACAAATAAAAGAAGTAAAACCTCTTAATACTTTTATGCTCATCATAACACTGAAAAAAAAATCACAGGTCCTAGGATGAAAATTACCTGTTAACAAACCAGAAATGTTGCACTCACAACTTTGTTGTCAGTACTTTTGGCTGCTTATTCAAGAAAGCTCGGCTTAAAGTCAACTCCAAGTTTCCCTAGTAGCACAGTACAACGAAAACATCGACTTTAAATTTCAATTTGATTTCAATGGAATTGTAATTTTTTTACTATTGAATTGCAATATTTTTACGTCATTTAGTCGATTTAGGCCGATTTTAAACAATCAACAAAATGAGCTCTATGTGTCAGAAAGATATGCAACATGCATTGCAATGAAAAATTGCAGCTTATTTCAATTTCACTGCAATAAGTTTCAATAAATGGACCCCTTCAAGTGGCAGCAAGGCAAAACACACAATACTCAGTGAAATTGCAATATTTTTACTATTTAATTGCTACTTATCGCAATCTGTGCTACTTGGGATTCATCATTATTTTTCTAGGTCCTGAGTAAAATTTTGACAACAGTACCTACATACTCACTTTCGAGGCCTATTTTTTTCTAACAAATGATCGTGCTAAAACAGACCTCTAAAATGTATGGATTGGAGAACTACATTACCTGTTTTCTCTTTGAAGTTTTAAGTAGAATAAAAAAACAAACAAGGGTAAGCTTCAAAATATACTTCCAAGCAAAATAAGCAAGGTGGATCTTTGTAGAAGTGAGACATTAAATGGTACTGAAGAGATTATTCCTTTGAAATTATTTCGAGCATTTTAGCAGGGCAGAGTTTACAGGCATGTCGACAGTGAAATTCCCAAACCATGTACCCATGTCGTTTGCAGTGTTTAAAGGAGAACGACTCGAAATGATTGGTTGAAATTTTTACAGAATATTCTTCACACGGAGAAAAAAAAATCACTGAAAGTTTCAAGAGTTGATGTTGCAGTATTAAAGAGATATGCTGCTTAGTGCAACACTAGTTTCGACCATCCAGGAAGGCACCTGCAAATTTGTTTTCCAATTAGACCTGAAACATGTCTGTAATTGCCTTCCAGAATGGTCGTAACTAGTGTTGCACCAAACAGCGTATCTCTTTGGGGGAAAATAGTGCTCGAATGAGCTTTTTCCCTCGGTATTGAGATTTCAAGCTATCTGGATTTTTAACGCACGTTGGCTACATTTCCAACTTACTAACTACACAACTTGTGCGTCTACCACAATCAGTTTGTACAATGATGACCCTGATTAGAGTAAACTAGTTGAAAATCAAGAGGCTTAGCTCAATGAAATGAAACATAAAAATAATGATAAAGTCGCTCCTGTAACACACTTTAGCATTCTGCCACACCCAAACGCCACACAAGCCTATCTTCCCAGAGGTTATCAGCACTGACACATCTCTTTGTCAGCGCCCAGCCGCCATCCCTTCACGGGACGTCCCTGTCGCCTTTTCCCAAGTGGTACCCAATCCAAAACTTGTGTGACACGTAAAAGTATCTCAGTGTTTGGCTAGATCAAATCAAACATATGAAGGTAAAAATAAAAGACATACAATGAACCTGGTTAATATTTACCTGCATGAAGGTCCGCAATATCCACCGGTTCTTCTTTTATCCGTAAGCTTTTTTCAGGTCCACTCTTATCACTAGATGCAGAGGTTTTGATCTTTGATTGAAGACTCTTTAACGATGAAAGATCCAGCCTTTCCAAAATAACGATAGGGAATAGACCCAACTTCTTTTGCGGAGCTTTCTTTTGGTTAGTGCTTTTATTTGAATCTGAAATCAAACCAAAAAATGTGAGAAAGAAGCGACTTATCAAAGAAGAAACTGAAAATGGTCTTCTACAGAGTCTAAAACTGAGCATCAAAAATTCATAGCAAACATGTTGGATCAGTCAATGAACAATGATTGTACATTCCAACTTATGAATGCGTAATTAACATTTATTGAGGTGAAATTCAAGCTTACTGTTTTTTGGATCATAATGGGCCAATGGACAAGGTAAGTATGGATTAAGGTAAAATGCAACATTTTTACTCTTAACCATGTTGATGGGAAAACAAATTAAACGATGGGAAGTCTAGAAAACAACTCCTACAGATAATAGAAGTGTTTACAATGCACATTGGCTTATTGTCAAAAATACAGATGAAGACATTATAATCACACATTTACAGACATTTACATAATCTAACTTCCATTTCATCAGTGTTAAAAGTACTTCATTAATGCTTTATTCCTTTAATCCAATATACTTCTTACTGCACAATTTGGCGAGAAATCTTGTCAGTGCTGTTTGAAGCATCAAACGCAGTCGCAGGAAAGTTCTTTTAATGAATACTAATTCTAAATAGACACAAATGCTTTAAAAAATGTAAACAAAAATAAATAAATATCTTAGGTACTGCATGGTGTAGTTCATAAATGAATAAATTTTGGACACTTTTTCACATTTTCAAATTTCATATTTTTCTCTTTTCAAGCAGGTGTTTTGTCTTATGTAAGGCAGTGAGCTGTAGACCATTAACATGCAAAAAGAAACGACTGGATGAGACGGAGTTTCATACAGAAAAAATAATTATTTTCATATATTTTTTTACCTTGTCTGCAGCGTTGATTCTTTGTTGGCCGAAGAATTTTTGAGCCCATGCTGACGCCTGCGTTGCCTGAGTAAAAATTGATACAATTATTGTGACATCAACTAAGGGGCATAGAGGACGACAAGGCACACGGGAACAGTTTTTGAAAAAATTGAGGTATTCGTAATTTCAACTAAAACTAGTCATAAAATGTATCCTGAGGAAAATTCACTACTAAAATCAGATTTAGGGCATCAAAAAGTGAGTTTGAACTTTCTTCCCACCATTGAGGTTCCATGTAATTTTGAAACTTTAAACAAATATTTCATGAAATAGCAAAAACTTCACTTATGCCCTTTGTCCTCCAAGGCTCTCAATTGTGGTCTGAGAGGAAATTAGAGTCAGAAGAGGAGAACTGGATGAAACTAAAAAACACAACATGTTCGTCCTAAAATTTTTCCTAGATCTTACGATCATATAAACTAGAAACTTCTTCACCGATTTTAGGATTATGACAGTTTTGAAAAGAGTGACATTTCCTAAAAATTGGGAACTTTAAAAGAAGCAGCATCGAAGCAGCACTAAAATGCACTCTTCTTCAATCTCCTGGTTATGGAACGTCATCATCTCCTGCATGAGGGAACGTATCTGGTCTGTGCTGTTTCAGTATTTCTGCTAACATTTAATTTTTTCATGGGAGAATTATTGCCCAAAGTCATATAAAAATTTAATTGCCTTTTTTCTCAAGGGTAAAGACAATTTAATTGAAATCTCAGGTAAATTCATGTGGTGGTTCTGCTCTAAAAAATAAATTATCAGTAAGAATTACTGAAAAAGTAAAATTGAGATACCTACATTCCTCTGTGAGGGAGATGAAAAAATAAGGTGAGCAAGAGAGTTCTTACCATTGTCTGAAAATTTCAAGGTAAGGAAAGGTAAATTTTGAAGTATATTGATAGATAAAATACAATTAAAAGTGCCACCTAGGAGACACATTTCCTCAAACAAATTTTATGGAGGAAGCATGAGTACGTTGAATGGTTTCTAATTGACCTCACAGATGATAGAAAGAAAGCATGTAATGCTTGCATCACAATCACTACAATCAGTGAGCTTAAACTTTTTGCATCGAAAATCAAGGCAGGTCACATCAGTCATTAGAAACATACTCATCATTCTTTCAACTTCAAGGCTACATATAGGATCTGTCGATATTTTCAGCTTAATTGATGCATCATCGATAATCGCTAGTTTAATCGGCCCGGGGATCTAGAGAGAATTACCTTCGGCACCAATGCTTGATTTATTTGTTCATTTTACACCAGGCAATATTAGATAAGTAGTTGAATGGAGTGATAAGCTTGTCGCAATAGTTGAAACCATGTTCAACTTCCCCCAAAAAATTAGCAAAGTATTCAATTGGGTGAGTAAAATCTTTGCATTAGATGAAAAAGATGGTCATAGGCAAGAAAATAATGAGTCAAAATGTAAAGTAAGTTAAACAAAATATGATTTCGATGGTTTCATAGAGAAAACTTACATACTAATAAGGGGGTTACGGAGGGTCTCTCCCAGAAGATTTTCACAAAATAATGTACCTTTCGTAAAATTTTCAAATTTTGAAGCAAAAAAAAGTTGGAAAGTGGAATTTGATAATAGATAAATAAAACCGACTTATTATAATAATCTACTGATCATGGAACAAGGAAGGGAGTGCTTATTTGCGATGCAAGTAAAATCCTGATACTTATGTAATGTAAATTTTCACCTTTCAGGTGCACGATGCCAAAGTGTCTCATTTACCTGTCTCTTCATGGTCATCCAGGATAAGTTCATGCTCCAATTTCAGGATTGAGGGTTTCAAATCCATTACTTCTTCCTTTACCATGGTCAGGGTCATAAAATCCGCAGTCAACAGCTATCTCCAGATTGGTAAGGTCATAGACGGAAACCAAGTTATCAAGTCATCTGGGAGCATTAAGAGTAAGTAAACAACGAGTGTAAAAATTTGATATTGATTAAGATTATTCATCCTTGGTTCTCAGTAGGGACAAACTGACATGTAATGTGTTCCATCAAGAAGGCCAAGAACTTTAGCAAATTTTAATTTTCTAGGTAAACTGCTAAAATAAGGACAATAGCTTTGTCGCAAGAGTCTACAGAATCATTCAAAATGAGAAAAATTGTAAAAATCGAAAAAATTGAATTGGGATTTGGCTATGAAAAAACCGTTGCTTTCGATATAGCGATCAGCCTTGATTTCTTGGGATCACATGTGAGGGTTATTGTCATTTTTCTAACTAAAATATGAAAATCTACTGAGATTTGTTACTTAATCAATGCAATATTTTACACGCCAGTTCCACTACACCAAGAATCCAGGACGAGTCTCTGTCAGTGCAGCTAAAAAAAAATAAAAAGAGGATGTTTTCCGCTAAAATTTATTCAATTTCAAGCTCATGAGTACAAATAACTTTTCAAAGGCTCTGTTTTGAGTCAATTTATTCCAGTAAGCTATCATTAAGGTAAGCTTTTATGTAAGCCTATTGTTTATTACAGTACTTAGATCTTTTAGGCAAAGCACCAGTAACAGGGGAACAAATTCAGGAAATGAAAACAGAGAGTGCTGTTCACCTCAAACTAACACTCTATTATCAGGCGCTCGACAATTCAAGTCATGGCTGTAGATCAAAACGTCCTTTAAAATACAAACCAAGTACCTAGGTATATGATTTTCTTGAGCTTCTGAAATTCCAAGTACCTAAGTAGATACTTAGGACGATTCGATGGACGCCATATTTTGTGTCAGAACGACATGCGATATATCGCACCGATTGGTCCCATATTTTTAGCTAATCGTCTTTTTTCTCATATTTTGAGATGGCAATTCTGTTGCCAGGAGGCTAAAGAATTCACATATCAATTTTGACAACCAAATTCAATGTATTAAAGGCGTGGTTTTTTCAGAGGAAAAATATCGCATTTGAGTGCAGTGTCGATATCGGTGTCGAATGCGACATTTTTCCTCTAAAAAACCACGCCCTTAATACGTTGAATTTGTTTGTGAAAATTGGTAAGTAAATTCTTTAGTCTCCCGGCAAAAAAATTGCGATTTCAAAATTCGAGAAAAATGACGAGTAGGTAGCTGAAAAAATGGAACCAATCAATACGATATATTGCATGGCGTTCCAACACAAAATAGGGCGTCTATCAAATCACCTGAAACATGATTACATACCCATGGCTAAGTAAAAAAAAATACATACAAAATTTCTATTGAGATTTTCTACGTATTTTTCATTCATATTCTTAAAAAAAATAATAAAAATAAAAATTCACGCCAAGTTGCAAAAAGACATTTTACTTACTCATCTTCACAGAAATTAAATAATCGGAGTTTTTCAAATATTGCAACCGAGTCATCAATAATTATAATTTCATAATCAATGCAATGTTTGGATCAGCTTTCTATGAAGAAAAAAGGAGAAAATAAAAAGATAAATAGTTCGTTATACTTACCAAAAAATGAAAATGTATGATGTAGAGTGAAACACATAGAGTGTAATGCTAACTTCCTCCCATTGCAATGATTGAAAGACTTTTAAGTTCGAGCGCTGAAGTCTGGCTCAATCTGGCAAGCTGCGTGAAATGAGTCGAGAGTCGCGTCCTGTGGTTTCAGTTACACACAGCAGAGGAAAATATTTGCAGATGCCAGCAAAACATAGGCACCATTTAATGAGGATATCAGCATATTCATGAGCTCCAAAGAACACCCCAATGCCAGGAAGCTAGATGAATACGTACCTACATTAAAACACACTGTCTGACAGTGACTGATAATCGTTTCCTGACCAAACCAAAACCTGAATAGGAATACTGGGAATGAAGATGTACTTACAGTTAATTAAGATTAAAGTTGAGATAATTGTGTAACTCTAATGCTCTTCTAACTCATTATCTCACTCAAAAAAGAACGAGGTTATCTTATTTATTTATTTATTGTGAAACGACATATGCTCGCGCCGCGCCCACGTGCCACAGCCGGCAAGTTTCACCAAATTTCATCAAAAACAATAACATGTCACCGACGTCAAACTAGTCATACTCAAACGCCAAACTTACTCCTAATGTAAACAAACAAAGTGCGAGTCTTCTTTCTTGAGTCTTATCAAGCAATGTTTCTGCATTATGCCCTCAAAAGAGTGAAACTTAGGAGTATATGCATTGCTGTTTGTTTGATAAGTTTATTGTGTGTATTTTATCAGTTTAAAGCTTCCCAATTAATTGCTCATGACCACTCATTTCCAACCAATTTGCCAAATGATTTTCCTTCGAGTGTTTCGTTAAGAGGTGTGCATCCCAATTCCCGAAACAAATACCTACCAGATATCCATGGTGCATTCACTTGCCTCGAAAGCGGGGATGTGATTCCATTCCACAAAGTAAATGACGACTACTGTGACTGTATTCATGATGGAAGTGATGAGCCCGGGACAAACGCTTGTGGATTGAATCTTTTCTACTGCCCAGAATCGGGTAATAAAGGTATGAGGCTGTATGCGCATTGTTAGTCATTGGTTCTGTTTCATTTTAGTGGACATCGCTTCCGGTCACAGGATTAACACTGTTACTCATAGAACATTACTTAGCTACGTTTACACGAGCACTTCACTACAATGTGCAGTTCTATTGGTGCGAGTTATATAACCGATGCAACCCGCAAAAGAAAAAAAGGAGTCAATTCATGTCATTCCACCTGGCCATTCAACCCATTGACTCCGAATTTGACTTAAAAAAAAAAAATTCTGCTTGTCTTGTGAGTAGATGTAAGATTTTGCACAAATTTTTACTTCCCTAGGTCAAAAACCCCTCCGAGGAAAGAAATACTAAAGTATTAAGGCTTTTCTTTTAAAAACAATGTTGGCCGTTCAAAATGGAGATGGTCGCTTGGTGGATAAATACTGTAAAAAAAACTCAAAAATCAGCAATCGGAACGGAAGTTTGTAGGGTCATTCCATGCCAAATCAATCGAAAAATGACAGAGGTTCACCACCCGTCTCGGACTTGCACAATTTTTTTTAATCGCTCTTTAGGTCAAAGTAAGAGAGAGTCGGAATTTTTAGCTCAAAATACCCGGGAGGTCTTGAGGAAAAATTATAGAAGTTTTAATGATAAAACTCTACTGACTGTAAAACTTTACTGAATCTCTTTCTAAGATCATCCAATGTTGCATCTTTTTTATGTCGTTCAACTAACTCAAGTCGTTTGTGAAAGCCTGGAATGGTGTCTTGACTTTAGAAAACTCGAGTTGCGTTGAAATTCTCAAAATCAAAATTTTTCTCTTAAACTCAAACTATGCTCTTAATTTGTCCTCAAACAATAGAAAATTTTTCAACTATGGATGACGTTGGTTCTATAACTTACCCTATGCAAGTATACTGAGAGTACTTATGGTAAAATCTTAAGGGTTTGCGAATCAGGCACCCATTTTTGGATTGTATAAGAGTCATTTCACGTGATATCACCCAGCTTTCAGAAAATGTGTTGCTCCGCTGACTCAGAAATTGTTGAAAGTATGAATACATGTTCATTTACATTCAAACATGCCAAGAATATTTTTCTTTATTTTTTCCAAAAATTTTAAGCACCTCAGGGGTTGGGCTTCTTAGATGCCAGGAGGGGCACTGTCGGGGGTCGGGCTTCATGGATGCTAGGGGGGCAGCCCCGGGGTAGGACTCCTTACTTGCCAGGTGGGGCAGCCCCAGGGTAGGGCTAGCTTATCCTGATTCTTGTTTTCTCAAGGGTCTTTCTTGTGTTTCTTACTAATTATTACTTCTATGTATATGTACTGTATATATTATTTATAAGGGGTGCTGTAGTTCTTTTAGCCTATATATGTGGTGTAATTATTATCGAAAAAGTTACCAGGTGGGACACCCCTGGGGGTTGGGCGGCTCTGTTGGTAGGGAGGAAACCTCGGGGGTTGAGCTTATTGGTCGCCAAGTGGGGCATCCCAGGGGGTCGGGCTACATGGATGCCAGGTGGGTCATCCCAGGGGTGCCACAGTCAGGAAAACCGGGAAATGTCAGGGAATTTTAAAAAGTCAGAGAAAACCGGGGAATGTCAGGGAAAATGACGAAAATATCAGGGAAAATTTGTTAAATCACCTTTATTTGCTTTCTAGAATGGGTTTGAGATTTTGATAAAAAAATATCTCCTAAAACTATTTTCAATTATACCTTCTTAACCATATTGTTCCTAATTGCAAAATACAGTCTAATTGCCAACACTATTTTAAGAGTGAGGAAAGTTTCAAAAACATGAGATTATTTTCAATCAGAGCGCCGCGCCGTGAAAATCCAACGCGGCTTTCATTCTAACGCGCCTTCAATTTGAGTGATACTCTACGCATTGCCGCGGAGTTCGTTTAGATGCATGACCCAACCGGACCCAACTAGAATCGACTCGGCTCATCGCAACGAGGAATATAATATGCAGCCATCTCATTTTGGATTTCAAAATTATATCTGATCATGGGACATAAGTAGTTTTTAAAATTGGTCGGATATATTGTTCCTATTTGCAAAATACAGTCTAATTGCCAACACCATTGAGTGAGGAAAGTTTCAAAAACATGAGATTATTTTCAATCAGAGCGCCGCGCCGTGAAAATCCAACGCGGCTTTCATTCGAACGCGCCTTCAATTTGAGTGATACTCCACGCATTGCCGCGGAGTTAGTTTAGATGCATGACCCAACCGAACCCAACTAGAATCGACTCGGCTCATCGCAACGAGGAATAAAATATGCAGCCGTCTCATTTTGGATTTCAAAATTAATATATCAGAATAATAAAGAATGTATTAATTTAGATTGAGAATTATCTCATGTTTCGAAACTTTTCCCAATCTTCAAATTGTTTTGACGATTAGACTACAGTTTTCAATTCGGAACTACTATTACCGACTTTGTTTTGAAAACGACGTAAGTTTTAAGTTTCATGAATTTTTGCATCTTTGGTCAGCCACAGAGCTACAATACCTCCCTCCGCATGAGGACCTATACGTCATTTATGAACAGCCCCTCATTCCACAATTCTACATTTTTCCCGCAGAATAAGTGCCCTAAATTTTCATTTCGTCGCACCGAAAAAAAACTCCGGCCGTGGACGCCGCACGCAGACATACCGTCTGCGTTCCGGGCCGAGAGGCCGAAAGTTCCGGGCGTACCACCCGGAGCAATCGAAGCTACGGCTCCAGCATCTGGAAATTTCGGCCTCTGAGCCTCGAACGAACGGCATGTCTATAGCCCGTAACTTTTTTTTTTTTTGCAGTGCGATTCTTTGTAAAGAGAAACTAACGTAGCGCCGCTTTCTTAACCGCGCTGCCGTGATGGCGAAGAGAGCCGTAAGTGCCGTGCTTAGGAAGAACGCCGAGAGTTGCCAAATTTCCTTCCATAAAATGTTTATTTTTTACGAACGTAATGAATATTTTTCCTTGACATTTTCAGGGACTTTAGTTTAAATTGTGGACTAAATTATCTGAAAAATCGGGAGGAAACTATTCATAAAACCATGGAATTCGTATTTTATCAAAGGAAATGTGGCAACGCCTGAAGGCTTATACGGTATTCTTCCTTAGCACAGCAGGACAATTATCAGTACCATGGATGAACCTCTTGGAAGCCCCTAGTTTATGCGGAAGCTGGATGCTATACTGCCGTGCTAAGGAAAAACGCCGTATGAGCCTTCAGGCGTTGCCAAATTTCCCCCGGCAAATCACTAATTTTCAAGAAAATGCTTAATTGTTTATCTACCAATTTCTCAGATAATTTTGTTTGTAATTTGATCTAAAACGTCTGAAAATTTCAAGGAAAAATATTCATAATTTTCTTTCAAAATAAACATTGTATCGAAGGAAATTTGGCAACTCTCGAATGTTCATACGGCGTTCTTCCTTAGCACGGCAGTATAGAGCTCATGTTTTTTCTGCAGGTAAATTTATCGTGGCGAGCAGAGTGAATGATGGGATTTGTGATTGCTGTGATGGCTCAGATGAATACCTAGGGACAAAGCCTCCTATGATCATAGCAGGTCAGTTTGAAAAATTTCTTAACGAATCATGCGTAATTTTGCCTAACATTTTAAGGAAACTGACCCTACTGAGGCATAGAGAAAAAAAAAGGACTTTTTTGCATTTCGGCCGTCTTTGAATTTTTTTGATGACGTAGGTCGGCACAACGACTTTTACGAGGGGCGTTCAATAAGTAAGTATCCCCCCCCCCTCTAAAATCCATAAGAATGGACCAATTTTGAAAAACTTGGGCTCAAAATCTTCCTTAGGATATTTTGAGTTCAACAAAACAAACCGCAACAAAATCGGACTATGTGCGGCCGAACGCGAGCCGTTTGAACGCGCCGAGGAGCTCGACGCTCCCGCCGAATCTGCGAGGATTTGAAGTCCGCTACAGGAGAAGAGCTTCTCTGCCAAAGCCTCAGTCGTTCATCACTGACGAAAAATCAAAGAAATTTTTGTAGAATAAGGGGCTTACCTCACTTCTCCACATAAGCAGCTCGATCCAAGCAAGTCTGATACTGAGACTAAGACTAAGAGAACAGCTTTTGGATGCCTCGTGCGTGGAAGTCTTTCAGCTGACCGCGGATGAAATAGTGGACGGCTTGTTTTGACCTTTTCCACTGATTCAAAATTAACTCCTCCGAGTTCAGATTTCAGATACGATAATAAATGGCAAACCAGACCACCATTTATTCCCGTTCCTGAAATCTGAACTTGGAGGAGTAAATTTTGAATCAGTGGAAGAGGTCAAACAAGCCGTCCACTCTTTCATCCGCGGTCAGCTGAAAGACTTCCACGCACGAGGCATCCAAAAGCTGTTCTCTTAGTCTTAGTCTCAGTATCAGACTTGCTTGGATCGAGCTGCTCATGTGGAGAAGTGAGGTAAGCCCCTTATTCTACAAAAATTTCTTTGATTTTTCGTCAGTGATGAACGACTGAGGCTTTGGCAGAGAAGCTCTTCTCCTGTAGCGGACTTCAAATCATCGCAGATTCGGCGGGAGCGTCGAGCTCCTCGGCGCGTTCAAACGGCTCGCGTTCGGCCGCACATAGTCCGATTTTGTTGCGGTTTGTTTTGTTGAACTCAAAATATCCTAAGGAAGATTTTGAGCCCAAGTTTTTCAAAATTGGTCCATTCTTATGGATTTTAGAGGGGGGGGGGATACTTACTTATTGAACGCCCCTCGTATCATCGATTTTCTTGGAAATGGTGTAATTTTTGGGAAAAAGTCATGCTTTAAAATGTGCTTGAAATTATATATGCATAATGAGTTGATTTAAGCCAAAAAATGGAATATTATGGTCCGTTTTTTCATACCTCGAATTCCGGATGTCGCCGGCCAGGTTGTACCGACCTACATCTCAGGGTAAACAAACCTCAATATGCAAACACCTCCTTTTTTTCTCTACGCTATTGAGGTGTCAGAAACAGTCTCAACTCGCCCAATGAGGTTGTTGCACTAGTGAGGGATTTGAGAGTAAAAAAAACGTAGCCATAGAACATTTCGCGACAAAATTGATGGTAACGTCCAATAAGTCAAAAATCGAGTCGTAAAGCCCGAAAAAGCTCGCTGAAGTTCTATCAAATTCAAGTTGGAAATAAGTGATTTTCATTGCCTGATGTGAAGTTGGTCCAACTACGCGGCATGCCGTGTGAGAGTATCTCCTCGCCGTCATTACCCAAATCTTGACCGCGTGTTTAACCGGTGGAGGTTAGGTTAAGCTCAACTCATATCAGTACGTAGTGGTTTAGACAGCAAAAACCCGTAGCCGTGTGCTATGACGTCAGAGCCACGTGATTTCGAGACGCGAGAAGGAACCCCGTTTCAAATCGTTTCTGAACTTTCGGGGCTTTCAATTGAGCATAGGGGAGAATTTCATGAGCGCCGCCGCCCGCCGCGCACTTTGGTCCGAAACTCAAGAATAGGAAGAAATAAGTCGGATAATGACTGAAAGATCACGAAAGTTTCGTAAATGATGTTTTTTTAAGTCTCTAATTTCGAATTTGATGTCTAAGTGCCTACATTTTAACAATCTGAACTATTATTAATTGTGAGCAAGTTTATGGCACGCTGCGGCGCGGCGTGCTGCCGCTGCCAGCTCGAAATGCATACACTGACGCCTACAAACCTAACTGGATACTTCATGCATTGCGCAATGCGTGAAGTAGCCCTTTAGGTTTGTCGGCGTCAGTGCGCGTCTCGCGCCGGCCGGCAGCACACTGCGACTGCGGCGCCCCCGACGCGGCTGGGTGGTGAACGATTTCTTGCGGGGAGAGCTCCCTGGCGGAGAAAATCGTAAATTTTCGTTTTTTATTTTTATTATTATTATTATTTTAATTTTTGACTTTTAAAATTACACACTAGTCGTGTGAAGTAATAAGTGAACTCTCAACGCCAGATGAATAAAGGCAGATCGCCATGCGCGCTGCGGACGGCGCGGCGTAGGGCGGCTCATGAAATTGGATTGCATTTTGCAAAAAGGAACCACTAGCATTGCAATGATGCTAAGATTGTGCAACTTCATCTTTTGCAATAAAATTGCGGAAATCGTGAAAAACTATGAAAGTTAGATGGTAATTTTTGTCGTAAATTTACAGTTTTTAGCGAGTAAAATAGAAACTATTAATGGAAAATCGGGCTTTTCCTCTAAGACAAAAGAAGTTGCACAATCTTAGCAACATTGCAATGCTAGTGGTTCCTTTTTGCAAAATGCAACCCATTTTCCCCCTGTGCTCTGTCGCGGGGCTGTTTCTCCAAGTTCCGATCATCAGAATATTTTTTCCCGACGCACTGTGGATCGAGGCAGTAGGGGAGGTCGGACAAAATTTTGAAACTTTAAACGCTTATAACTCCGTTCCTACAAAACTTTGAGGTTCTTTGTGTGGTTCCATTGGTTTTCTCGTGAAAGTGTCTTCTAGAAGCAACTCTCAAAATTTAAAATGTGACGAAATTAACACCAAAATTTGCAGTTTTAGTAAACAATTTTATGTCCGACCTGTCTACTTGACTCGATCCACTGTGCGACGAGGAGCCAAGATACTATTTTAAGCCACGTCAGCCATCTTGAATTTCTGCACATTGAAATTTGTCCATAAATCAGTCACTAAGCCGTGAACGAATATTGACTTGTAAATTGTATTATACCTACTTTCATATCCATTTTTAAAAATTTACCAGAAAAATTGAATATTGTTTCCTAGCCCTTGGACCATTCATTTATACAGAAACATTGCTGAATTTTGATTCTCCCGCTTGCCCGTGACTCACACTCAATTCTGATCTTTCATTTTTCTTTGTTTCAGCCGATGTTCAAAAGAAGTTAGGCCGTTATCTAAGTCCCTGTATTGATAGATGTTAGGTAAATGAGTTTTATAAATATGTTTTCAGAATTGTTATTTTATTTTTTGTGAAAAAAAGTTTTTTAATCTTTACATCCCTTTATTCTTTCCCGATCAGTTTACACTTTCGTATTTGTCCATTTCTTAAAACAATGCATTGGTAACACCCAAGATACAAGCAAGAAAATTAGACAATCCAGTTAGGTAAAACATTGATGCACTACTACATTACAGAAACTTATTAGAAGACAAAAACTCAACAGATTCTCGAATCTCCCCCCCCCCTCCCCTTGCTGAAAACTTACAACGTATCAAAGCTATAGGTACATACCCACAGATCCATTGAAAGATCTTTCCAGTACCGAACCAAACTGCAGTTGGGAGAGAAAAAATGGAAGTGGGTTTTGGAATGATCTTCCGAAAACCGCCTTTCATGAGTCTTCATCGGTTATTTTTTATCTGCGAACCCCCCCCCCCCCCCAGGGTTGAGCAGGATTTGAATTTATTGAGATAAGACATCCCTTAATTATGCACCTTTAAGTGGAGGAAGCCGTATCTTGGGGGCTTAATAGACGAACGTCAAGGGTAGAAACAGAAAAAAATACAATCATAGCGTTTAAAAAAAAAGGAAAAAGAAGAAGACCGAGTGCACCATTTTACAAATAATTTCTTATAATCATATATGCAGAAAATTCAACGAAAGCTCCTGCCATAATTTCGTTTATTAAAAATATACCTATAGCCTCAGTCAATCTGCAATGCAGACAATGAATCTCTGAATAAATTAATCTTTGATTGTTATTAATTAAGAATAAGAATATCAAGCAGAATGCCGAGTGATATTTGTTATCAATTATCTAAGGCAACCAAACAGAAGCGAAATTGCAGCAGTTATGAATTAGAAATTATGATGTTGAGACATGGTAAGCTTTCTTCTTCTTCCTCGGCAATCGGTGCAATTGGTAAAAGTTGACGGCGGTTTGACAAACAGCGGTTTGTGGTGAAATTTGGTCCGGAATATCTGGGCCGATCTGTTCACTCCGGCCGGCAGACGTATCATTGATAAGAAAAGACTGACAGATTACTGATAAGGAAAAGATAAGAGAATGAAAGGATCTCGACCAGATTGGGAGGGGACGGGGTCGAAATATTGATGTGATAATAAATTGATATCCGCCCGCGCGCTCTCGATCCTCTCTCTCTCTCACACTAATCTACGTTGCTCGCAGTTGATTTTGATTGGGGTTTTAAATGATACAACTATTCGAACTCCGCGACCACGCTAGGAAGTATTATTTCCCCGTGAAGGCGTTTTATGCGTCGACTCTGAACTTGAAGATGACAACATTTTATTCGTGAAGTGACCGCCAAAATGCTACTCTATCGGAGAGGAGATTGTCCTTTTGCGAGAGTTCGTCTGCTCCAATGTACAGGTACTTATATCCAGAGCTGTTTTTTTCTACCGGTTCCCACGTTGTCAAATTGTTCATCGTCAGGTTCCTGGGAGAATACATAATGGACATCAATGAAGAACGAATAGAAAATCATATTATCGGGGCAGGGGGGTAATAAATTGGAAAAATTTAAAGAAGGGGAAATAAAGGAAAACTTTCCTTGAAGCATAGGCTAGTGAAAAAGTCGTAATATTACTTCAAACTCGCGAGAAAAGATGCAGAACATCGATAGTTACCAGAGTCGGAATATATGTTTTTGACTTGACACATTGAAATGTATAAAAAACCTGAGAAAAACATGCTAGTCGGCAGTTTCGGAACTTTTTTCGATTTTTTTACGAAGAAATTCGTGAAAATTGTGAATAATAACAGCGCTAAGAGAAAATTTACAAAAAAGTGGAAAACCCCTGTTTAAAAGAAATATATGTACCTAACCAGATTATTTTTTTTACATTTGTGTCTCTTTTTACAAGAGAATTGGTGAGTATGAAAACATACCAACTCGGAAAAATAAATTTGTTCAGGAGACACAAAAAACTGCACAGTAGCTGTGAAAGTTAGGTACCATGAAGAGGTCTTTTGGTGCCAAGGACAAGTACTGAGGATAAGACCTTTAAGTAAAGTGTGACAAAAGGGCAGTTCTCTTTTGTAGTAGCTTCCTCACCGACTGGGCAGTGTTTTGTGTCTCCTGAGCATTTTTATTTCTCTGAGTTGGCGTGCTCTCATTCTACTGGTTCAATCAAAATTGGACCTCGTTTAGCAGAGAGGAACCAAGTTACATCAGCTGCTGCCAAATTTCATTGGGCGATTATTTTCTTACGCGAAACCGGCTCTGTGGATTTTTGAGCAAATCTCAGTGAATTTTCTGGATAGTGCGCAGCGAATTCCTCAAAATTTTCCAGGAATCCGTGCAAACGTTCCCTTGGAAAACATTAAGTTGGCAAGCTGATGTTGGCTTGCTTCCTTTCTGCTAGACGCGGTTCAATTGGCCTTTACAGTGGGACTCAGATATTTTTTATTACCTGATTCATGAAAGCCTACATTAACACCTACCTAAAACATGATGCACTCACAACTTCTCATAAGTCGAATCATGTAAAAATCAATTAAATGCTGAGAGATTAGGCGAAAAAAGCTCAGTATATTTCCTCTTACCCATGCTTAGCGAAATATGTCCACAAAGTGACCATTTTTTCGGAGACCTGCACATCCGTCTCAGACAAAGATCTTCCTGGGAAGAATGTTGTCATTGGAAAGAGAGACAAAAGCTCATCCATGTGACTCGCGCCTCTTTCTGAACAGTGAACAATCGCACAATTACTACGATTGGCGGATCCAGCAAATTGGCAACATTGTCTTTTCTCCATTTAAACCTATGGAAATGTATCGATTCTTGGAAGGGCCAGGTGCTTCGACAAGGATCGATTATTTAGCATAGGTTTAAATGGAGGTAATCCGAGGTTGCCGAATTGCTGGATTCGCCTCTGATTATTACCTAGTTAGTACTTTTCTGGAGGTACTCCGGTTGAGCTTCAGGAAAACCGTTGCTCTTTTCATGATCATCATTTCAAGTGGACTCCATTTGGACCCCGTTAAGCACAAAGTAACCAAGACACATCAGCCATTACTGGATTTCATCGGCAAATTAAATTTTTTACATGAAAACGGTTGTGCGAATTTTTGTGCTTTCATCTAGTTTTTTGCATAGTGCGAAGCAAACGCGTTAAAATTCTTGAATGAATCTCGACAGATGTTCTCTCATAAAAAAAATAAATTGTCCAGTTAAATTTGGCAATAGCTGATGCGGCTTTGTTCCTTTCTATCGAACGCGGTCCATTTTGCAATATGGCACCACGGTTTCTCTCTCATCCATGAAAGAATAATCTATTCTGCACAGGGAAACTAATGGTACTGGCCCTTCGCTGCTTCTATAATATGAGTCAGAAATATTATACTTCCTCTTTGCAAAATGCAGTGGGTACAGTTGTTTTTCAGCATTCACTATGGAAAAGAAAGACGCTTGGATGTAGAGTCCTGACTCTTGAAAACAATGACAAGAAAAAGTACTCTTGATTCAATCGGATTTTTCCTTGAATCAAAAGGAAATCCGCTTAATTGGCTTTGGTTCTCGATCTAACCAAAAATCTGATTGAATAATCGAGCGTATTTTTTCTTGTCGATGTTTTTAAGAGTCTGTACTCTAGATCCAAGCGACTTTTTTTCCCCAGTGATTAGATTATAGGCAAGGAAAAACGATGACATCTACAATGAAAAAAAAAACCCGGCTATGAGAGCCGCAATTACGGGCTATATAGACATACCGTCCGTTCCGGGCTCAAAGGCCGAAAATTCCGGGTGCTGGAGCCGTAGCTTCGGCCTCTGAACCCGGAGCAATCGAAGCTACGCCTTGCCCCTTTTCGGCCTTTGTGCCCGGAACGGACGGTATGTCTGTATAGCCCGTAATTGCGGCTCCCACGGCCGGAGTTTTTTTTTTCAGTGTAATTATGTGTTGAGATGGATGAACCTAATTTTTGAGATGGCATAACACACAGAGAGTAAAATCAGGGCAAGATTTGTAAAAAACGTAGGTACCTTCGCTAAAACCACGCCCGATTATAGAAAAGAAAGTGGCATTAGATTGCTGGTAATCGTAATAGTAGAGGTAAGTGTTTCCCCGGTATTTCGACACGGCGTGCGTCAAACCTTTCAAAAACCAGCCATCAGCGATCACCTGTGAGCAAAAATCGAAGGGGTGGTAGTTAGAGGGACTTTATCGAAAAGCAACGTCTGAAAGTGCCTCCTCTTCACTCACGTCTTTAATCTTTACCAGGCTGTGCATCATAGCAAGCATATTTTAAATTGAAAATTCTGGGGAATTTGTATTAAATTTCGAGGATTATTTACTCAAAATTTGAAAGAGATGTTTGCAAGTGTTCAGAGACGGACTGGACCGGGGAACAAGCCTTCAGCTTGCCTAAGAAGGCACCTGCGAGGCCCCTCTTGACGAGTTTTAACATGAATGAAGGGCTCCTTTTGGCCCTTTGTACGAAATCCTCCTAGTGTATCTTTGAACCCGTTTTAATTTTTTGGCACAATTTATCAAGTCTCACCTACATTTTGTAGGAATTCTTAGAATTTTAGAGGAATATAGCAGAAATTAGCAAGAATTTTAGAGATTCTAGACTTGACCCTGTCTCTTGGTCGGCCCGTCCTGATCATTTTTGACAGGCGTTTCTCTCGCGTCTAGAACTCTTTCGCCATCTATTTGTTAACATTGGGCCAAACTGGGAGCGGAGGGGCTATCATGAAAGTCTAAAACTCACCAACCAATCAGAGAGCGGCACTCTCTTTCAGTAGTAAAAGGATTGAGATGTTAATAATGCTTTTCCGTATAGGTACTCAAAGAAAAAACTGCTTGTAGACGCGGGAAACTTGAAAAAGCAAGATATAAATTACGCAGATTCCTTCCAAGGCCACAGTATCCCCCGGATATAAAGCCTTAAACAACATACCAAAAAAAAAAAAAAAAAAAAAAAAAAAAAAAAACAAACCACGCAGATTGAAGCAAGGAGTGGATTTCAGATTTTTTTCATTTGTCCAATGTGATTTTTGTGCAACTTTACCCGTAAAGTGTATATTTATTTGACTGTATCTTTTGCATGCAACAGATGGTCCAGTCAATTTAGCTCTAAATAAGGGTCATCTGGGAAAATCTATGTATATATTTCAGGATATAAACAAATATTACATGGTTCAATGACCCATTGTATTTTCATCTGTTTTCTTTTTTGCATAATCGCACCGTAAATGACCATACCAATTCACTCACCTCGTCCAATTTTAACAGTTTTTGCTCGTCGGCAATCGATTCGTTTCCGAAGTAAAATGCTTTTATTTTATTTATAACTGAGGGGATAGCTTTCTTCGAAACATTGAAGCCATAAGAGAGCCATTTGGAGAGGAAAATGTCGAGTTGCTCTCCCATGTTGAGTCCATTCCTCCGCACATGCAATAGAAATTCCTCTATAGAATTTTCATGAAACAGAAAAAGTATTGTGCCAGGATATGAGCGCTTTTTGAAGTAACAAGTTATGAAACAGAACGTAAAATATTCCTATTGTATTATTGGTATATTGATGTAAACTCTGTCCCTCCATTTACTAAGAGGAATTTGCCGCCGACATCATCATCGCTTTTTTGAAACGAAATTGGACGAATTAAATGTATTAAATTAACCTAACTAGTTTCACTTACTTTATTTATATTTACTCATTAGCTGCACACGCATGCTCCGCACAAAATTAAAAAGTGTGGTGAATAGAGGATTTAGAAAATAAGTGCACATGATTAATTAGCTTACTTTTTCCCTCTAAGTGTCATATATTTCACCCATTTATTCGCGATCGTAATATCTTTCAATTTTCTTCCTATCTCGAAGAAAATGACAACTTACTGTATGGGTAGCTCAAGTGATCCGCAGAATTAATACCAGTCATCCAGGGGATCTCGGATTCAATCTCATCAGGGTCTCTCGTCAAAAATGCATTGTTAGCGCTCTCCTCTTCAATGATGGGTGCAAATTCCGTCAATGGTAAAAAATACTCATCCTGAAATATGCGTGTAAATAACAGAGGGTTAAATTCCATCAATATAGGGGCCTCTGGCTACTACACGCTACAAAGCCCAATGCAAGGGCATGCACAGCACTAAGAAATGTAGATCACGATTCTGCCGTATGAGCAGAGGCCGACTGGCTCCTCGAAGCGGGCCGGGAAATCGCCGACAAACCGGCCCATCGCGGTGCCGCAGTGGCCCCCCCTTCCTCCCATAATTTTTCGATATTGGCCCCAGCCATAGATGTACCTAGTTCATTTTTCAAAAAATGCCGAAGTTAGAGGTTAGATTGCCAGAGTTCATTTTTGTGTGAATGTGATACCAAGAATTGGGCGGCGTTTGACAGAAAGGGATCAAGCCACATCAGCTATTGCCAAATTTAACGGGGCAATTTAATTTTTTACAAGAGAACATGTGTGAGGATCCCTTAAAAAATTTTAAGGAATTTTTTGTCAGTACAATACGGAAAATTCACTGAAATTTGCACGAAAATCCGCACAACCGTTTCCATGTAAAAAAATTAAAATGCCCAATTAAATTTGGCGATAGCTGATGTGGCTTGGTTCCTTTCTGTTTAACGCGGTTCAATTTATCTCCCTGGAAATTTTTCCTAGTTTGTGAAAAAAAAAATGTTCACTCTCTTTCCTTGGAAGTTACCAGCTAAGTTCGACGTTTTCCGGACTATAGAAGGTGACAGCATTCCAACTTGAACAATTTCCACTTGTAAATCATAACAAGACATAATATGGATTGCAAATTCTTTACAATCCTGTGATCCTAGGATTGCAAGCTCGCGGTGTGCACTGTCCGGAAATGGTGTGTACCGGAATAGGTTCGACACCGAGAAAAGACGGCTTTTCAACGACCTGAGCGCGCACCGTGGTATACGCGCAATGCATGAAGCATCCTGCTGACTTGTAAGGCGCTACCAGGCGCCGCGCGGACCCGTGCTGTACGTGCAATGCATGAAGTATCCTGCGGTCTTATAAGGCGCTACTACGCGTTCTGCGCCAGCCTCGCGCCGGCCGCTCTGTGTTTGAGTTTGACGCGATCATTCAAACTTGCGGCGTCAGCAGTTTTCAACTTACGATTCTGAGGTTTTTGTACAGTTTTTTGGAATTATTGTCATTTCAAATGATTAAACCCAGCTAATTTTCCTCTCTTCATTTACATATTTTTAAAAATAATTCTAAATAGAAGCATGCAAGTTAGACGACTTTTACGCGTAGGATCCCGTATTGCTCAGCGATGTAATGGCGTGATCATTTGGACTTTATTTTGCTATTCGGAACTAAAATTTCAAGCTCATCCGTAAAAACGCTTATATATGCATAAGGGAATTATCGGTATACATACATTGTTCCTAAACGAAGCCAGAAATTGTTGTTTTTAACTGCAAAATGAAATTCATTTAATCAATGAACCCTTTCGAAGTGTAGGGTATGGATTCGACAAAGCGGAGGATATGGATTCGATCTACATGAATCGATCGAAAAATTATCGAAAAACGATAAATAAAAACTTGAACCGATCGACATTCATCCGACCGATCGATTCGTGTCGATTCCATCGACATGAATCGACATCGGCAATCGTGAATCGATCGGCAAATATTGAACGCAACAGTGGCGAGGCGTGAGCGATCGTTTATCGATATTTCTCCATTTGAAACTATGGTAAAGAATCGATTATGAAGGTGTTCAATGCAAACATCCTATCCATCAATACTTTTCAATATGTTTAAATGGCAGATCAATCGATAGATCGCAAAGCTCGCCACGCCACTGGAACGCAACTCACACGGAACTTTTGGAGCATCTCTACGATACTTCGAATAGGAACTTCCTGCAAACATTCGAGTAATTCTTTCGAGGGCTCAGGAGGACATCCGCACAGAACAGAGAAAGTTTTCGTTCTGTCTATCGCCAACTGTCGGGGTATCATGGCCCAAGGACAAGCCGCAGTCCCGCTCATGGAAATCCCGCGATGAAGGAGACCTGGAATTGGAAACGAGTGGTAATTTTAAAGAATATAGTTGTTGTTGATCTGGCGTGTAATGGAGATGTTGCATTTGCGAGGAATTTGCGATTTGACCGTTGATTCTGTTGTAAAAGTTCGCGAGAAACACGATGGTGCCACTGGTTTTCTCTGAAATCAACTCCCAAGCTCAAAAAAAGCTCTCAAGTTGAAGCCAAAATGGAGGGGATATCCCACGCTATCCTGAGAGTCCACCTCTACATCAATATAAACACTCCATGCAAAGATGTGAAGCAAATACACTGACAGGGCTGCCACCATATTTGGGGACTCTTAAACTGAAATCACGGTAACCCTGCTAATGTATTTGCTCTCTATCTTTGCATGGAGAGTTTGTCTTGATGTAGAGGTGGACTCTCAGGATAGCGTGGGATATCCCCTCCATTTTGGCCTCACTTTGAGAGCTTTTTTTAAGTTTGGGAGTTGATTTCAGAGAAAACCAGTGGCATTATCGTGTTTCTCGCGAACTTTTACACTAGAATCAATGGCCAAATCGCAAATTCCTCACACATGCAACATCTCCATTGGAAACGAGTGGTAATCTTAAAAAATAGTTCTGCCGTGGCAAGGGAAAACGCCGCATGAACCTTCAGGCGTTGCCAAATTTCCTTTGCGAAAACACGACTTTCCTGGTAAACTTGTGAATATTTTCCTTCCAATTTTTCAGATAATTTTGTTCACAATTTTACCCAAAGTTCCTGGAAATTTCAGTGAAAAATGTTCAGAAATTTCTTCAAAAATAAACTTTTCAGTGAAGGAAATTTGGCAACTCTCGAATGTTTATACGACGTTTTCCCGTAGCACGGCAGAGTTGTTGATTAGACGTGCAATTGATTCATCTATTGGGCATATTTATGCTAAAAGGAACTATGTTGCACGTAAACCCCACGTGTATGGTTCCTTTTAGCATAAGCACGTCCTATTGACTTTATTTGTTTGAATAAATGGGTCAGTTTGCGCTGATTGCGGAATTTTTTTGATGCTCGGCACTTGTGGATCAGCTAAAAAAAATGATCTGTCCAAATAGCAACTCTCTACGTTCAATATGAACCGCGCTTTGAAAAATCCGATTTATGACGTCATCCACCAAGGTAGTGACACCCTTGGTTTTTTCACCTTGCTACCTTTTTAGGGATGGACGAATATGTAATTCGAATATTCGAAACTTTTCGAATGCGATTATTGCGAATATTTGAGAATTCGAATCTTGCGATTGCGAATAGTTCGGATGTGAATATTCGAATATATTTTCGATTATTGCTTCGATTTTTGATTTTTTATGAGCCGTGAGAGATAATATGACACTTTTAACACTTTTGAATGCGATTATTCGAATATTCCAATGCGATTATTCGAATATCGAATATTCGAATATCTAAATATTCGACCATCCCTATCAAGAAGACACAGATTTTCACCAGTTACTCAACATGAAACTCGGATGTAATCAAAGTGGGAGAAACCAAGGGTGTCTACTCTGTATATAAGAATGACGAGAATTTGAAGTCAGTATAACACAAATTGAATCATGAAACCTTTTGCCAGAGGAGAGAGGAGTAGGAGGTGAGTGCTTGCGCCTCCTGCGCTGTTCCCAAAAACGGTAACTGAGTCCGGATCTCCTCCAAAATATGCTATGTTGTCGCGAACCCACTGTAGGGCCAGCACTTGGTCCTTGAGTCCAAGGTTCCCGGGAATGACCCCATCGCCGGTTGTTGCAAAACCTGTAGAATTGTATATTCTGTTATGACCAGGAAAATCACATCGTGTAAAACTTTAAAACCAGGAATTTTGCAATCGGTGATCACAAAACGTATTATCAGGGCTGCCATAGTCAGGGGATACCGGAAAAACCGGGAAATGTCAGGGAATTTTAAAAAGTCAGGGAAAACCAGGGAATGTCAGGGAAAATGACGAAAATTACGAAAATGTCAGGGAAAATTTGTTAAATCACCTTCATTTGCTTTCTAGAATGGGTTTGAGATTTTTAAGAAGAAATTTTGCCTGAAAACTATTTTCAACTATGCTTTCTTAACCATCTGTCAGATCTTCAGTTGTCAGGGAAATTCTCCAAAATGTGTCAGGGAAATCAGGGAAATGTCAGGGAATTTCATTTTTCAAATTCTGTGGCAACTCTGTATTATCATCATTATTTAAACAGTTTTATTGCAGGGTTTCTGTCAAAAGATGGAGAGTTTCCAGCTCCCGAAGGATCTCTACCGTGACAGATTCCTGTGGCGGGTAGGTGTCACAGAGCGCTCTAGCGCGCAGTAAAAGCGACTTATACATACGTACACAAGGTGGAGAAATAGTGCTGGGTCCACCGGCTCTTCCCCAAGGGAAATCACTTCTTCCCCCGGAAAATAGGTTTTCGTACAAACAGCGTTCCATAGTCCACACCATTTCGTGGGGAAATCAAAGCCGAGAAATTCGAAAAATTACAATCAGAGTCCACCTGGTTACACACAGTTTCGGGTCATTTTTTAAGTGTTTTTTTCTCGTTCTTACACACAGTTTTGGGCCATTTTGTAAGTGTTTTTTCTCGTTCACACGTGCACATATTGCATCTTATTGTTCCTTTTTTAAATTTTTTTTTTTACTTAATTTGTTTTAATTTATGGCAATTTCCTGGTCTCCGAAGTAAATAGCCTAGTTGCTTATTGTCGTAATCAATTAACTATCTATAACTAATACTTACATCATCAATTCATGTTGGAAATGGTTTTTATATGATGTTTGCATAAATAGTTTGCATAAATTGCATACATTACATAAAAAATACATAAGAAAACCTCTTGATACTGGGGTTACGCACCCAAAACTCCGAGTCTGTAGGTTATATCGACGAGCACAACATTTTCCAGAAACTCAGGTCCAGCCATCGTAAAGAAGAACCTATAGGATCCACCATGAATGTACAACATAACGGGTAACCGGGTTCCCGGAGCGAGCTACACCGAAAGCAAAGGCCATATTAATTAAAAATACGATTAAATAAGTAAACGATTTCAGAGCTTTGAAACCGTATGTCGCGACACAGTAAGAGCTCATAACTCTCAAACAAGCTAAAGAGGTTATCTAGAGTCACTTTTGAGGATCTTTTCTATTAAACCGTGTAGACCGCCGCTAAGTTTGCGCGACTTTCTCCTTCCTTTGAAGCGCACTTCCGCCTTGCGAAGGAAGAACGCCGTATGAGCCTTCGCGCGTTGCCAAATTCATTTTGGTAAAATACGCATTTTCAGGAAAACTCGCGAAACTTTTCCGTCAAATTTTCCAGAGAATTTTATTTGCAATGTGATCTAAAATATTAGAGAATTTCAAGTAGAGATATTCTATATTTATCTCAAAAATGAATATTTTAAGAGAGGAAATTTGGCAACTCTCGGATGCTCATACGTCGTTTTTCCTTAGCACGGCAGTTATGAGCCTCGAGATATTGTCAAATTTCTCTAAATAATCTGCGAGTTTTCAAGGAAACTTTTGGAATATTTTCTGCTCTCAGAGAAAAATACTTACACCTCCCCTCAAAAATGAACTTTTTATCAGAAGAAATTTTGCAGGGTCCAAACGTCACTACAGATCTGGGCGTTTCCTTGGAAATTTTAAAACCACCTAATACGACACACCTAAAAAAAGCCCATGCGACGTTTTTCCGGAGGAAGGAAAACTTACGCTGTGCCTATAGCCTATACATATCCCTTGAAAACAAAACTTAATTAAATTGCGATTTGATTTCAATACTATTGTAATTTTTTTACCATTAAATTGCAATATTTTTATATCATTTAGTCGATTTATGTCTATTTTGAACAATCAACAAAATGAGTTCCATGTGTCAGAAAGATGAGCAAGATGCAATGCGGTTTGCGCAATGAAAAATAACAACGTATTTCAATTGTATTGCAATAAGTTTCAATAAATAGGGCCCCTTCAAATAGGAGCTACGCAACACACACAACACTCAGTTGCATTGCAATATTTGGACGGAGTTAAACAGAGAGGAACCAAGCCACATTGGGATCGAACCGAGAAAAAGAGGTTTAAAGTTTGGCTCCTGCATAAGACTCAATGTAACAGATAAACTTCAAGTTCAATTTCTGCAAAATTTGCTCCAACAAAAACTTTGAATTTTTGGCGATAGATAGTAGAGCAGTATGGTTGAGTTCAATATCACTCATAACTCAATTTTTTCCAAAATGTGGGTTGGTTCCTTTCTGTTTAACTCAGTCCATTTGTACTATGTAATTGCTTCTTATCTGTGCTGCTTGGGAGTGTTACGGTTCTTTAACCGTGTGCAACAGCTAGATTTCTTCACATGCGGTAAAACGAGTGTTTATTTGTTTCCCTTTAATTAAGTATGAATGTTTAGCAATTATGATAAGATGGCAGAGTCTTCATTTAAAAGCATGCTGATTTCGTTAAACAATCATAAAATCGAAAATGCTGCACAGATACTGTGCTCCTTCTTGGAATGACAACATGAGGGGAGTAACACCTACTGAAGGGGAATACACGTTAAGCCTGAGACAATCCTCCTGGCCGACGATCTGCAGTTGGCCCAGCGCACTGGGACGCTTTACCCAGGCACATGAAGGACACTTCCCCGTCGCATTGAGCGGCCCTTGCCATGGCTCCACTGGCTCTGCTTCCTATTTGAAAAAAAGAATACGTCAAAATCAGTTTCGTTGCAATGGAGAACTTGCATGAAAATTTTTTATTCCTTCGTCCAAAAGTGCTTAAAGAGCTACTTTCACAGTATTTTTTATAATTTTTTTCTCATACGGGAAATAGTATAAAAAATAGGTTTAAAAGTGAGAAAATGCACCGCCTAGTGACGTCATCTGGTGGCATTTCCCATTTAAACACACGTATTTCAGCAGGTTAGATAATTTTGTCATATCTCCTCCAATAATTGTTCAATTCATGAACCAAGGGTATCCTCGTGTTCAGTTCACTCAGTAGTTTCCATTTAGACACGAAATTCAGCAAATTTCAGACACCTGCAAATTTTTCATTTCCTCGAATATCGTCATTACCTCTCTAGGCGCCTTTCAAGTGCGGTGCAAGCCATTTGGGGGGGGGGGTGTCTGAGGAGATTGCTTGATCTTGTCTTACAAGAGCCAAAGGGGATCAAGTCAAATCAAACGTACGCCTCTCATTAAAAGAAAAAAAAAATAATATTTTTCAATGCAGAATAAAATTCTACTAATTTATTTAGTTTTTAGGCTTTTCCGTTCTTTTCTGAAAAATAAAGCTACATGCCCGGCCAACTTAACGTGATTAAAATGGGGATAAATGGCTGTCTTACTTTGAAAGAAAAATATTCCAAAAATCAGATTCACAGTTTCAAGGAATCCAGGCGTAAAATTGAAGGCATTATGACATTCCTCTCTCAACTTATATTCGTCTGTAACGATAAACAATGGGACGCGTTTGCTACGGCGCCTTGATACAACTATACAACCTCGACGGATGTCCGTATTGCGTTCAAAAAATTGAAGGAGTTTTGACTCCCTGCTCATACTACCTGTAGTTGATTCGATCGACAGACGCGTTGGTCGGCGGCGACGGGGACTTGATGCAACTATTTAACCTTGATGGACGTCCGTATCGCACCGACTGAAGTGCGAAACCACCTATCTCCATTGCGGTGTTTCAAAATTTCCGTTCTTATTTCATCTCTTCCATGAGAAACAATCCAAATTTACGACTTTAAATTTTGAACCAAATCTTCTGCTATCGAATACGAAAAATCAAGGAGAATTTAAGTTTTATGTTAACCAGCTTCTCGAAAGAAAAATAAAATTTCTAATAAAGACTGCGGTTGAAATTTTGCGTTTATAGGCGTTTTAGTAAAAAACTGAGTTTTTGAAGAACAATTTTTGAAAGAAAAAAAATTTATGTAATTTTCCTTTTGAATAGTTTGAATTCAGCAGAATTCAATTAGGTACCTCGCTTTCCACCAGCCGAGTTAAATTTTAGTGGGTGTTTTTGGAGGGGGGGGGGTTTAAAAATGAATCTGTTTTAAACTCTTAAGCGTTCCACAGAAAAACTGAGTTTTCAAAGGACAACATTGAGGAAAAATTTATTTAATTTTCCATTAAAACAATTACAACAGCTAAACAACAAGCTATTAAAACAAAAATAATTATAAAAATAAATATGATTAAAATCGCAGTTTTCAGATGAATTTGGTTTGTTTTAAATAACAGGTGTGTTCCTTTATAGATAAAATTAATTAATGAATTTGCTTGGTTGAATACTGTTCCTTTTTCTGTAGTTATAGTTCCTTATAGTGGTTCGAATTCAGCATTATTCATTTACCTTGTAAACTTCGACAGCATTGTCCGAGTTAAATGTTAGTGATTTTACTTTTTAGGGATAAAGAAAAAGTCCATTTTAATCCTTCGAACGCGATCTTCAGTCTTTTTCCTCTCGAAACGATAGGGCGACCAACATACAACAATTTACAACTCGTGACACTATCAACATATTTGGGAATTGTTGAGTTATCGCTCCCCTACCTTGAATCTGAGCTTGCCAACAGGTGGTTTTGCGTAAGGAATGCCCGTAAAACTGTAAATAACTTCGCCGTGCCGACTTCGAAGGTGATCAGATCCAACAATTATCCCTTTGCTAGTCGTCACTTCAACCGGATTACAGTACGAGACGGAACATAGAAAGCTTAAAACTATTCCTCCGGTTGTGGAAAAGCTGAACAACATATTTACGCTCGTTGATAAAGATTACCACTGCTTTAAAAAGTGAACCACCGAGATTGTAAAAAACTTAAAAAAACTATTTTCTGTTAGCACTGTTTACACAAAATCTAGCAGATAAATGTCCACGCGACTCTCACTTCCCAGCTGCTAGAGTAGAAAGTTTCTCGCACGTTAACGTGGGTGCTACGAATGTTGTAACGAATATAAACAAGAAATATCTGTTCCAGTTTGCAGTTAGTAAGCTCACCTAACCTTGACCTGTCTGCGTTCTCATCAATCGCCCATCAATAAGAGGATACAGGAAGCTGCATGGGCCACAGACTAATTAAAAATAAAACGGAAAATAAAACTAGTCATGTAAAGAAAACTTTCTTATCTCTGTTATATAAGAAGTGTACATGCTCTATAATTCGAAGTCAAGATATTTTTTACGTAATTATGACTTCAACACGGAAAAAAATGAAATTGCTGATTTAACAGTTTTGTAGTAAAAAGTTAAAAATTTTGTAGTTTGTGGCGTGGCGTGCTTTGCGATGTATGGTTTGTTCTGCCTTTTAAAACTATTCAAAAGGATCGATGAACAGGGTATTCGCAGCGAACACCTTAATAATCTATTCTTTAGGTTTAAATGGCAGAACAATCCATACATCGCAATTCACGCCACGCCACTGAAAAAAGCTCCCGACATGTTTCAATATATATTTTACAATAAAACAAATTCTAAACTAACCACCTCCGTAGTTGAATTAGCTCTCCACTATTGAAAAATATACTACATTTTAAACATGTCGGACATATTTTCTTACAATTTAATTGTTAAATCAGCAATCCATATTTTTTCGTGAAACGGAAGCATAATTTTTTCTCTGTATGAGTATTTGTGATGATATATGGAGTGCATTTTGAAAAAAGGAACCAAGAGCATTCCAATGTTACGGAGATTTTGCAACTTTTCTCACCTAGGAATTAAAAACCAATCATTTCAACAAACTTATCTTTACTCTCAAGAGACATTTAATTCAAGACAAAAATTACCTTTATAAATTTGTTTTTTGCATGATTCCAGTAAATTCATTGCCAAGAATGTAAGTTGCACAATCCTAGCAACATTGGAATCCTCTTGGATCCTCTCTGCAAAATGTAATCCATATTTCAGAATTTGAAACATAAGCATATGAAGTAGATCCATTGCTAGTTGTAATTTTTGTAAGATTGCAACAGCGGAGGTTGCCGCCCATTTATGTCAGCCTATATTAGAGGGTCAATCGATGATTACAAAGATTTTGAGGTAGAAATACAGTTTTTGGTATTGTTCTAATTAATCGCGTTGATTTCAAAGGTTATGAATTCACAGAGGAGAAATTAATATTTTAAAAAATCAGATGAAAAAATTGAAAATATTTCTTTAAACAAATGTTACTCCATTGCGATGAAGCAAAACCAGGTATGACATTTAATATCTTTCCAAACATGATCGCGTTCATTTCATGGTTTTAAATGTGCTCTAAGCTCCTCTGAGGTCATGGCAAAAAATGGATCTTCTTAAAAAGAAAATTAAGAATTTATGAAGTAGCCTATCAGCCAGAGTGTCTCGTCCTAGGAGGTAAGCTGGTAAGCAAGCAGGCATGCGATTTTCCGTTATCGTCTCCTCCTGTAGGACAAGTTGCCTATCTCCGGATTTGAAGGCGATTCATTTCATTCGTTTAGAGCGATGTGCGCTGAGGTGATATAGTCGGTTTCTAACTTCAGGTACAGCAAAAAGGAGGGGTTTTCCGCACAGAAAATGGTTCAAAAATCACGAGGAGCGCATCGGAAAAGTCTGAAATACACTCCTAACTTCACAATCTGCGTAAAAAAGTATACGGGTTTTTAAGCCTCCCGCTTCAAAGACGATAGCACAGTATAGACGAGCAATTCGTAAGAGGAATCGTTCCATCCAACCTTTGCTCACCAGGATTCTACTTAATATTCAACATGGTCAACGCCAACCCGCAACACGTGACGATATGAGAAGCTACCAACCGCCATGATTATATTTAGACTTTCCATGCGTTGTTGATAAGGACTATGGTGCCTCTACAGGATTTACGCGCGGAAGCGTCAGCCATGTTGAATGTTGCATAGCATCCTGATGCGCAATGGTCGGATGGAACGACTCCTGTTACGAAATGTGTACCAGTGACGTAGTATCGTTTTTGAAGCGGGAAACTTCAAACAACACATATTTCTTACGCAGATTGTGAAATTAGGAGCGTGTTTCAGACTTTCCCGATGTGCCTATTAAGTGGCTAACCACAATAGCTAACTGTAAGGTGCCTTGCCTGTTGAGTTGAACTTAACCGACTATATTATTTCATCGCACTTTCGCTTTCAACCAACGAATTTAATCGCCTTCAAATGCGGAGATAGGCGACTTGTCTTACAGGATAAGAAGATAAGGGGAAACCGCACGCTGTGGCGTGCTTGCTTACTTCCTAAGCAGAGACACTCCGGCTGATAGAGTACTTCATGAATTTTTAGCTCCTCGTGATTTTTGAGCCAAACTGTATACGAAATAACCTTTATTATTACTGTAGCGGAAGTTTGCAACAGGCCCATTTTAAGTCTCATGAAATTTTGCCGCCCATCGCGCATCCGTAGTAGCCGTTACCCAAGTAGCAGTGATCGCGATGAATAGCGATTTTATCGGTTGGTTAGCGCGATTATATCGGTGGCAATATATCGAGATATTATCGCATTAAAAATTGCGATATATGGCGATCAAATCGCTTCACATCGCTATTTTTGGTTCGATAATATCATGATCAATTTTTGTCGATAAAATCGAGATCAAATCGTCATTTATCGACATTTTTACTTCGAAAATATCGCGATAGATTGTCGGGCGATAACATCAAGGATAATCGCTCAGATGTTGATGATCCTGGCGATTTTATTGTCGATAAAATCGCAATTTATCCCGATTTTCCGTTGAAAAATGCTACTTGGGTAGCATTTCTAAACGGAAAAATCGCTACATATTGCGATTTCATCGACGATAAAATCGCCAGGATCATCAACATCTGAGCGATTATCCTCGATCTTATCGCGATAAAATCGCACTTTTATTGCCCGACAATTTTTCACAATATTTCCGAAATACAAATCGCGATGAATGACGATTTAATCTCGATTTATTGACGAAAATTGATCACGATTTTATCGAACCAAAAATTGCGATTTGTAGCGATTTAATCGCCATATATCGCAATTCTTCATGCGATAGTATCTCGATATACCTCCATCGATATAATCGCGATAACCAACCGATAAAATCGCTATCGATCGTGATCACTGCTACTTGGGAGCGGAAGTTTGCAACAGGCCCATTTTAAATTCCACGAAATTTTGCCGCCCATCTGTAGTAGCCGTCAGGAGCACCCGAAATATTTCGTCTACAATTTGAATCGACACAATCGATATAGTCGATGATCGACTCTCGATTCGACACTTGTGTCATAGGGATGGACGAATGTCGAATTCGAATGCGATTATTCGAATATTCGAAACTTTTCGAATGCAATTGCGATTATTTGAGAATTCGAATCATGCGATTGCGAATACTTCGGAAGCGAATACAAATTTCGAATTAGCGAGGGGAGACAAATACATTGATTTTTTTCGAAATAAAGGGATTTCCTCACGGGGATCGACTTCGCCTTTGGATTAATGAGATTTTCGAATTAACGGGTTTCGAATTAGCGAGCGGCCACTGTATTCGAATGTGATGCGATTATCTCGGTGCCGATAATTCGAATATCGAATATTCGATTATTTAAATATTCGATCATCCCTATTGTGTCATCACGCGAGTGCGAGTGAACCAACGGGCGCTGCGACGCCGACGAGATGGCGCCAGCGTCGCGGCGGCGGGCGCCTGCGCGGGGTTGCGCGGGTGGGCGCGCGGAAGGTGGTCGATTCGTGCAGCGAAGGGGAGCGCGCCACCCCCCGCCCCCTCAGTCCCGCGACGGTCTCGGTCGATGTGCTATCAGTGCTCGCGCCAACTGGCCTAAAAACCACCGAAAAAGAACATGGAATCGTGGAAATCCCCGAGGCCCAGCTAGGAAACGCGAGTGTCGTGCACCCGTGGAAATTCAAGGAGTCGATTGTGCTTATAACCTAGGATGTCAGGAGGTGGGCCGATCTAGAAGGTGAGTAACCACGGGTTCATAGACATCGGGGGGCTATGTCCATATTTGTTCAAGGGTTGTATTCATAGTCGCTCTTTCAACGACCCCTTTCCTTAGGGAGGCCCTTTATCGAAGGGGAAAATCCTAAACCTCGTATCTCGTTTGCGGTGTCTCACAATTTCCACTCTTGTTCCGTCTTTTTAAGAGGATCAAATCGACATCATTCATTGAAGTTTTTCAGGTTTTTCCACACGAGAGGAAGAATCATGGACGTTTTTCATTCTTCCTCTGTTTAATTGACCATTTAAAAAACGACGTACGACAGGAAGTCTGCAACGTCGCAATCTGAGATACGTGGGTCGGGAGTTTTACCATCGATATGCCCAAGTAGAACAGTTTAGTGAAAATATTGCGAAGAAGTTGCGATTTAATGCAATAAAATTGCAATCTGTAACGTAGAATTTCAATATTTTCACATTATTTTGTCAATAAATGCCGATTTAAACAATCAAAAGACCATGTGTGAGAAAGACGGGCAATTTGCAATGCAATGAAAAATCGAAATTTATTTCAATTTGATTGCAATGAAGTTCAAGAGGATGTGTATATTTTATCAGAAGATAGGCAACATAGACATAACTATGTAATTGCATTTTATCGCAATCTGTGCTACTTGGGTGGTTTATATCGTAATCGAAGGAGGTTAAGTAAAATAATACGGACAACTTTTATAAGCCTCAAATCAAATTTATCGATATAGCTTTTGAAATTGATTCCTGGGATGGATTGCAATGATTTGCAACTTCAAAAATCACAAAATTGCGACACAATTATTTTGCAAATTTGAGGTAGATTCGTAGTTACCGAAAAGTTTGTCAAAACCATGGAATTTTTTATTTTGAATTGTTAATCTTTTTGAACTTGCAAATCATTACAATCCCTCGTAAGGATCTGTCTATAATGTTTTACGTTTGAAGTAAATTCTAAGTTTGGGAAAATGTTCGCTTAGTTATCATGTTAAAGACCTCCTACAATTTGCCGAAGTCATTATTTAAACCGTGTGGGGCCTCCCTGAAAAGAGAGTAGGTCAAGGAACTATTATTTCTAGTTGTTCAAGAAGGATGCAGCAGCTTGGAACTTATTTTCACTACTAAGTGATGATAAAGTATGAGGAAATACTGCGAGTTTAGGTACTTATGTATCAAAATTATCGCTTCTGATCAATTTTCAATTACTACAGATGGAAAAATGAAAATATTCTGTCTCCAGGGTTTTACTCACAACTTGAGAAAGTTCAGAAAGAAAAGAAAACATTTTTACGGTAAAGCTCGTTTGTAAAATACAGCCATGAGTAACAAAAATGTATCTATACAGGGTGATCCAAAAGTCCCTTCCACCCCCTCTAACTTTTTACCTAATTGAGGTAAAGATTTGAAACTTGGGGGATATTCCTAGGTCAAAGGGAGCTACTTTTTGGCCCCCCTAAAATTTTCAGGGGGGCCCCCCTTGGGGGGGCAACGGCCCCCAACTTTTAATTTTCAAATGNGCTCGTTTGTAAAATACAGCCATGAGTAACAAAAATGTATCTATATCAATGTCGTTTGTGCTAAGGAAACATTCAAATTCATGGAGATATATTCTTTAAAAAAAAATAGATGTGCGTGTTAAATTTGATAATATATGAGAAAAAACAAGGTCCACACCACTGCGCTCTCTTTGTAATCCTCTTCTTGTTTGAACTTTGCTCGCAAGAAAGCATAATACTTTATGATACAACTATTTTAACGCCCAGGTAGCCTGATTTGCATAACCACTAAATTGAAGGCGACCTGAGTTTCTTGTGTGTATGTCTTACTTGTCAAGACTTGATAAAACTTCTGCAGCATACGCATCCGTAATTTCTAAATGAGCTAGTGTTTATTATATTTAATGTGCAAAAAAATTTACTTTTTAAAGCTATACACTAATATCTTATTGAAGCATGCCTAAGGAACAACTTGTTGAACCCGCTTCCTTATACTTTTGAAGTATGCAGATTAAAACCCCAGAATTTAGAATTACCTATTGCTATACTGGCACCTAAGATACACCAAAGTAATGAAATTTAAAACACTTTTAATAATTAGGCTCGTTCACATTCTCATCAAATTTTCAGCTCACAATTTGAACCAGATATAACTCATTATCCTCAAAACAATTTATGAGTATAAATTCTGATCTGGTACTCAAAAGAGGCTCGGAATTGTGCGACAGTTTTCGAAATGTTTTGTAGAAATTTACGAGAGTAAATTTTATACATTTATAAATCTTTCTTTGATGTTCTGATTCTGAATCTTTTTTCTCGATAGGAGACTCCTTCACATTAAGAGCTTACATCTTCACGTTTATTCCCGATAGATAATCCTCAAAATCGATGGCTGAGTGCGGAACCATGTATCTCCGTTTGTGACGTTGCAGACTTCCTGTCATACTTTATTTTTACGTTGAAAAACTAGTCAACGGAATTTCTCAAAAACTTTCATGATTTTTTTCTCTATCAGCAAAATATCCTGTTTGAATCTCAAGCTATAAAGTTGGCTTATTTTCTTCGAAAAAATAAAATAAAATAAGAGAGGAATTATTGAAACATCGCAATGAAGATAAGTGGTTTCGTACTTCAGCCACCGATATCAGTGACGAGGCGCGCGTTGCGATCGATCGATATTTCCCCATTTGAAGCTGTGGTAAATAATCGATTATTATGGCGTTCTCTGTGAACGCCCTGTTTATCGATACTTCTACATAGGTTTAAACGGCCGATCAATCGATATATCGCAAAGCACGCAACGCCACTGATCGATATGCGTATACCAAAGGGAGGCACGCGGTCGGACGAAGTACCAAATCGTGCAACATTAGTTTCCTTCCTCGCTCATCTTTCAAAATATTCCGCCATTCCCGGAATTTATCAGCGTCATAACTTTAGTTCTATCTCTTTTCGCTCCTCACTAGGCTACTGAAAAATTTTCTCGCGTTCGAAATGCCTCACGGATGACCTGACCGGTCGCCAAATCGTCGGCATTTTTCAGATGCTTCCTCGTCAGCGCGCTTCAAACAAATATTTCCTCGTTTTTTAAAAAATCGTCGTTCCCTGGACGAAGGAACGTAACTCAATTCCAAGGCTTCAAAATTGTTTCTGATAATGGGCCTGTTGCATATTTTTGTAAAGTACATACAAAATGAGGAAACCCGCATTTCATCCTTTTTTCGTTTAATCAAATTTTAGGTGGGAAAATGACTTCGAAAGTTGCCGAGAGTTCATTTCCATTTCAAACGGCAAAATATCGCCCCAAAATATTTTGTGACGTCACAGGGATCAATGAACGCCGTGATATCGGCCATGATACATTATAGATTCACTGTAGTTGAAACCATGGGTTGTCACCTTTCATGACGCCTGAAAGAAAAAGCCAATGAGAGGCGTTTTTCCCATCACCACAACTTTAAGCTCCTTTTTGTCAGTCAAAAAAGCTGTTTCGAGCCGTTTTAAGCTCGGAAAACGTGATACTCCCTAAAGTTCACGTAGATTACGCCTTTTCATCAAGCAATTCCAGGATCGTGCAACAGTCCCATTCGATTTTTCACAAGGATATACCAATGCAATTTTTGTCCTTTGTCTGATTTTTGCATGAGATCAGATAAAAACTTGAGGCAATTTTCAGTTGGAAATACCCAAAAATCTACGGTTAAAAGTGCAATTTGCGAGGGACAATTTGGCAACATTGAAATGTAGCTACGTTCTTTTGCGGGAGAAATGACGAAATGTCTCGACCACTCTCGAGCACCGCAGATTGCATGATCGTGCATATTTTACACGCAGGGTTCTCTAAACGGCACCTCCTTTAATGCTCAGCATACGACTTGGGTATCTTGGTGGATTTTGTGTTATGGATTTTAGTTATTTTATGTCGCTTTCACGACGCTATCTAGCGCTCTACGACCCTTAGCCACCACTAATTCTTTTCAAACCACGAACCCTGGCCGGAGAGTCTTGCACTTAAGCATAGCCATGAGTCTCATCCCTCGACCCTTTCATTAGGCACTCTTTGCGTCTTATCAGGAGATGTACAATCTAGGTCCTGGAGAAGGACTAGGTCCTTCTCCAGGATCTTAGCCGGTGTCACTCTGTATACAAGACCAGATCCACCTTTTTTTTTTCATCGTAATGTCTTGAAAAATGGTCGATTTGACATCAATTATATCATGCAATCGCACTCCGAATGCAATTCCTTATGAACATATATTACCTCCAAATATATTAAAAATAAAAATCGTCGGACTGGTTTCGACGATTTTATTTAATTTTTATTTTATGTGTGAGTGACCAAATTTCAATCTTTTAACTTTTTAATAATTTTATATTGTACAGTCCGTAACACGTTTAGGTTTTCATATCATGTTGAACCTCTCATATTAGTCCGCTCCACTGTGCGGCCTTTCTATTTCCGGCAATACTCTCAACTTCCTCCCCCCACCGCCCACCCCAAATGCGACTTCTGTTGAACTCTATCAATTCTCCCATCCGAAAAAAGGCGATACTAAACTGGAGTACCTAGTTAGAGAGAGTGCGGACATGTCGAAACGTGGAGCTCTTAGAGCCCAAAAGGGCATCCAACCATGTTACATGGAAAAATGTCACTGCCGATCTTTAGATGCCAATAATATATTAAACCAAGGTGGCCAAAACTATTCTTTGAGGAGCGTTCCTCCGCAAAAAAAGTTCATTTATGCCAAAACTAAGTCAAATGCGTGCTTCACAAACGACGGGTGGTAATAGTTAGACCGCGGTAAGCAGAAAGGAGCAAAGCCTCAGTAGCTATTGCCAAATTTATTTGGACAATTTACAGTTGTGCGGATTTTTGTACAAATTTCAGTAAATTTTCTGCACGGTACGAAGCAAATTCCTTAAAATTTTCGAAACGATCCGCACAAACGTTCTCTTGAAAAAAATTAAACTGCCCAGTTAAATTTGGCAATAGCGGATTTGACTTGGTTTCCTTCTGCTAAACGCAGTCCGATTGCAACAACAAATCACTCTGGATAATTTGAATTCATCGGCTGGCTGCCCTTTAGGGCCCAAAAAATTCCATGACCTTACCTCAAAATTACCGATATACCCGTACCAGAGACATCAAGAGACCCTCCAATAGTACCTATCTTGGCTATGGTGGAAGCTTTTACTTTTGGGACTTCAGCATTCTACTGCTGACTTACCCACATGGTTGATGTTCAACAACGTGTTAGCAGTTTCGTTTTGCAAACAAGCCGAAAATGGCCGAAGTTTGGGAAACTTGTTTGGCTTATGACGTCACCCGAAGCTCAACATCCACAATGTAGGTAGGTCAACAGCCGAAATTAGGGTGATGACTGTTGCTCCCTTATAATTGGATTGCATTTTGCAAAAAGGAACCACTAGTATTGCAATGATGCTAAGATTGTGCAACTTCATCTTTTGCAATAAAATTGCGGAAATCGTGAAAAACTATGAAATTTAGATGGTGATTTCTGTCTTAAATTTACAGTTTTTAGCGAATAAAATAGAAACCATTAATGAATAATCGGGGTTTTCCTCCAAGACAAAAGAAGTTGCACAATCTTAGCAACATTTCAATGCTAGTGGCTCCATTTTGCAAAATGCAATCCAATTGTCCATAAGGAACTGTTGAATCCCCGAAACTAAAAGCTTCCACCTGTCGCCAAGAGGCCAGTGGCGGGTCTCTTGTCTCTGATCCGTACTCTCCCTATCTAGTTATTCCATACTGAACGCAATGCATCTTTCTGTGTGCAGGTGGGACAGGTATAGCGTGCCGGCGGGTTAGTTGAAGCTGCAGCATGGACTACTACCGGGACCAGGAGGAGCCGCAGTCGATGCCGATGTACCCCCCGGGGCAGGGGGCCGGGCCGGGGATCCGGCCCAAGGTGGACCCGGAGGCCCTGGGCGAGGTCGACCCCTCGGCCTACCCGCAGCCCAAGGAGGCCACGCACAAGATCCGCGGCAAGTCCGACATCATCGAGCTCCTCTTCGGCACCGTCGACCAGGAGCTCCTCACCGTCAAGACCTTCTACTTCTTCTTCTACTCCGCCTTCGGCTCCCTCTTCCCGCTCATGGGCGTCTACTTCAAGCAGATGGGCATGAACCCCGGCCAGTGCGGCCTCCTCATCGGCTCCCGCCCGTTCGTCGAGTTCCTCGCCGCCCCTTTCTGGGGCAGCCTTGCTGACAGGTCAGTCTCCTCTTTTCCGTATAATCCCTTGCGAGCTAATTGTTGACATTTATAGACAAAGCTATAGACAAAGAAGGCAAAGGGATATGAAGGGAACCTTTAGCTGGAAGTGGGTGGTTGCAGGCTGATTGTTGAAATTCGTTCGCATCGGCCACACTGAGACTGCGTTCGGCGCGATTATTCAAACATGCGGAGTTAGTGATTTTCACTTAAAATCATGAAGAAAATTAGGTAAAATTCAAACCCAGCACCATTTCTCCACCTTGTTGTATACAGTTCGGGCCACTTTGTTAGTGTTTTTTTTTTCTTCATTTGGTACCAATAAAGACTCTGGTTTTTAGCAGCCAGGGACTTTCAATGTTGACGAACATAGAAAACACTAGTCTGCTCACATCTACGAGTTGAATTTAAAAATGTCTAACGTGTCCATTGCGTGTAACGTGAAATTCTGACGTTTTTCAATAACACGATATTGATATTTCAACAACACGGAGGCTCAATATCAAACTTTTTCAATCAATAACCCTCTTTTTTTAATGAAGTCATTGACATTGTCGAACTACAAAAACAATTTAGTGTGATGTCGGATGAAAACTAATGAATTAAGAAATATTTCAGAAAAAAATATTGAACTCCTTATTTGCTGGATTTCAGCGCGCTGTATTATTCATGAAAAAAAAACAGCGCCATAAAATCCCTGGCCGAAATGTCGAGACCGTTAAGGACTGGCGTTTTGGTCATTAATTAATGTCATGTCTCAAAAGCGAAATGAAAAATTCAAACGAACTTTGACATTATGCGTCCCCTCTCTTGGTTGGAGAGAGCGAACCCTTAAGAATACACGCTAAAACAGAAAATTCATAAAAAAAAAGAAAAAAAACTTAAATGTCTTAATATTCCTGGATGACCGCTTTGGTTTAAAAATCTACTCATGAGAAATGAAGAAAAAAGGAAGTAAAAGCCCTCATAAATAGTTAGTTAGCTAGTTAATTTAATGAGACGGTCAGCAGCTACGCCGTTTTTTTCTCACACTCGGACGTCATTGCCTTTAACTTAACACGGAGCGCGATAATCGCTGGACTGCTTGGGACGCGAAGAATTCGAAAACGCCTTCAGTTCATTGTGCCGCAACACGCACATCCAAAGACCACGAATTGTTGCATCCATGCGTTTACACTTACTTTTTGTCCGTGGTTCAGCTTTTGACACCATGCCAATGCGATGGGTTTCCCCTGCTGTTCTAAGATCGAACGGCGTATGAACATTCGAATGTTGCCAAATTATTCCCTATAAAATATTTACCTCTGTATGAGCGAAGTGGAGCTATAATCCAGTGAAACTATAATTGAAGAAAATCAGCGCATAGTCGTTTTGGTGCTTCGGAAAGTACGCGTTTACTTTTTGAGATTTTTTTACTTAACTAAAATCAATGATTAATATTTTGAAAATATTATCTAGATTAGCTTATGTTTGATTTTCTTTTTAACTTTTTTAGTCTAATAGATTTTTATGGGGAACTACGACGCTAGATAGATCATTTCTTCTTAAAAACGCTCATAGTGTTTAAATTTTGTCGAATGATAGGTATCTTTACTGTTTTCTTTTATTGCTTGTCTTAGTGCCACGTCATATTAGGATCACTATTTGTAACAATTTGACGTCTTTAAGCGAAAGGCCTTCTAATTAGAAACAATGAATGAACAATTAAGAAACAACTTGTAATTGAGAGCAACACGCGAGATGCGTTATTCTAGTCATTAAAATGTATTTAAATTAGTCAATCCCGGGATAGGTTGCTTCGACTATGTAGGACCGATCTTCCTGTTGAATTGAAAAAAAAGGGAACACTCTAGTTTACTATAGAAAATTTCCCACAAAAGTGCAGTTTATTTGATTAATAGTTTTTTTTCGTCGCAAAATTGAGCAATTTGATCTTACAACAATTAGAGCATAAACCCCATAGAGCATTGAGCAAAAAAAAATCGCAACATATTGTTACGAGCCCTTATGAATATAGCCTATAAACATGTGGTGGTTTTAGTGCCCATGCCAACGACAAAGAACGAAGCCTTTTTTTTGCATCATTCGTGTGCCAAGTCTCAATTAAGCAAAATGAACGGTATAACCCGTATTTGCGTGAGCTACTTTGGCTACACGGGTGCATGCTCTCAGGGCTTACGTGGCAATATAAATAATGCGCTTTTGTTAATACTCTCATAATTGCTTCCATTATCCTGAATGATTTTAGAAGCTCACCAGCAGCCCCGCGTAGTGTAACAGCGTGTTTTTTCCTCCTTTTTTGCTTTTGGTCCTTGATTGGATGTATACTCACTATCTGCTTGGCCTCCTCCTGAAAAGTTAAAAATCCCTCGGAAAGTGTGAGGTATTTCGCAGAGTAAGTGCGTGACAACTCTTTCATTTTTGAAATCGTATGTTTGATGATGTTTCGATAAGAACAGCTCAAAATTACCCTCAAGACAAATCAATTTTTCAAAATTGTCCCGGAAAGGCCCTATGACCCTCTTTTCCAAACGCTTTGGAACTGGTGGAGTTATTTAGGCCCTCAGGAGGAGTATCAATCTATTGATGTGGTGTCTTTAATTTCTCCCCACAAATCGTCTCCAACTCCGCCCATGCATATTAAGTCAATGTTCTTATACATAGATCAAACACACTCTTTATGCATTGGCAATGCAAATCCTTTTACAAGTAAAGAGGGAACTTACCTATATGGTGTACATGGAATATTTATAAATCCGTTTAAAAAGTAGGTGAACAGTCAAGAAGGAGACAGGAAAACAGTAAATGGGAGATTGATTTTACAGATAACGATGATAGGTGTGTTTACGCGGGCATTCTCTTCAGTGAGGAAAATTCAACTTATCGAGGGCGATAGACAAACTGTACTACAGTGCAATGGAATAACGCCGTATGAACCTTTAGGCGTTGCCAAATTCCCTGTGATAAAACACATATTTCCGCGGGTAAACTAGAGAATGTTTTTCTTTAAAATTTTCCAGATATTCTTGTTCGCAATGCCACCTAGAGTTCCTGAAAATTTCAAGGAAAATTACCTATAACTTTCTTTAAGAAAATAAACATTTTATCGAAGGAAATTTGGCAACTCTCGAATGCTCATACGGCGTTTTTTGTTAGCACGGTAATGAAGTTACGGTGTTAATTGTTCTAGGTAGCTAGAGTTGATATTATCACCGAAATTTAGAGGGAGCTTTACAGGTGAGCAACGGTCAGGCGCTTAACGCTTTCATGACTGACATGGGTCAAACTGACGCGAGGCTTGTTATTTTCTGACGACCCAGCCAGTGCACTTTGAAGAAACACTTGAGCTTCACAATATGATCTACAAAAACTCTAGGGAAAAAATTATTTTGTAGGTGTTTATTGAAAATAGCAAAAATTTTCGGAATTAGAAATGATTGTTGACGACTATCGTTCCGAGAACTTTTTTATAGAAAAATTTGAAATGAATTGCAATAACCTGCTTTTTTGAAGCTTTTACAGTTTTTATTTAAATTTAGCCTGTAGGATTTTTTTTTGGAAAAAGGGTGACCGCTAAGACTTTGAGTTGCGATAAATTGCAATTTCATCACATAAATTTGCGATGAAATTACGATATTATCGACGGCGAGGCATTGCAATATCATCGAACATAAAATCTTGATAAATTGAGATAAAATTTCGATTTTATTGAGCGCGAGTTTATAGAGATAAAATTGCGGCAAGATCGATGACAATCGCTCAAACGTTGATGATCCTAGCGAGTTTATCGCAAAAAATTGCAACTTAATTTCAAAATATCGCAAATTTTCCGTTATTAAATGCTACTTTGGGAAGAACGATCATGCAGCGAATTTGATTCTCCCCTGGTAAAAATTGGCAGTAGAATCTGTGTCCCAAAATACCATAGACCTACAGCCGGCTGTAAGATTTCCAATAGCCTCTACAGCTGGCAACACAATTTCTTATAGCCTTTTATAGCCGATGGCGATTAAGCAACAGCCTGGCGATAAAGTGTATGCAAAACTTTACTAATCACGGATGCTAGGACTTAGTGAGTTTTTGGACTACCGCTCTCTTTTTGGGCCACAGTATCTTGATTTAATTTGCGAGGAAAGCTCCGTACTTTTGAAGGATGCTTGCCATTCCTAATATGTTGGAGCGCCTTCAATTTCGTATGATACTGTGCAATACCTCTGGTGTGAAATAGTTGCTTCAAGCGCCGCGGTACGCTGCGGCGCAGCGCGGCGGGCGGGCAGCCAGCGCTGAACGCGCATTTCCGCCTACAAACCTAACAGGGATACTTCACGCATTGCGCAATGCGTGAAGTATCCCTGTTAGGTTTGTAGGCGCCAGTGCGCCGACGCTCCGCTTTGTGTTAGGCTCTAATATTTAATCTCGCGGAGTCAGCGTTTTTCAACTCATGATTTTGAAATGTTTGCACACTCTTTATGGACTATTCTCATTTTAATTGATGAAAAAATATGTAGTAAAGGAAAATATAACGTGCGTTTTGTAAATATTAAGGTGATTTCGTACAAACTTGAGGATTCACGAAGCACAAGTATTCCTACACAATATCTTATAGCCTTTTATAGCCGATGGCGAAAAAGCAACAGCCATGCGATAAAGTGTAAAGCCCGGCGATAGGAACTATAGCCCGGCTGTATAATTTTTTATCGCTTCGTGTAGCCCGGCCGTATGATTTTTTCCACTTTCTACAGCCAGCTATATGATTTTCTATCGCCCTCTTCAGTCAGCTATAAGAACTCCAATGGTATTTTGAAACGCAGCTCCTATCGCCAATTTTTACCAGGGTCCCAGTGCGCTCAATCAGTCTGCAGCAGTATCGTTGCCAGATTTTGCTAGATATTCAGCACATTTTGACCTCTATCACAACGTATAATTTCTAGAGTCCCTTTTCAGAGAGAGTCGAGACAACGCGGCTTATAGATGTCACAAGCGGGAATGAAGATTACACCAATTGGACGTTTGTTGTAATCTTCGAACAACCCATTCCCGAATTCTTATCTTCGTTCCCTCTCTCATTCCATTTGTTCCTTGCCATACCGCCATATGACCCGCAATGACCCGGTCCATTCCAGTTTATAATCATTACAATTGGTGAAAGTAATCTTTATTCCCGTTTGTGACACTATGAAGGCCTAAAACATGGGAACTAATCAGAAATTGATTCGCGTTGTCTTTACTCTCATTGTCAGTGTAAAGGGACTCTAAACGCCGTATGAACATTCGAGAGTTGCCAAATTTCCCTTGATAAAACGTGTATTTTTGGCGGCATTCATGCACTTTACTCTTCGAGATTTTCAGATATTTTAGATTACATTTCGTACAAAATCGTCGGAAAATTTTGGGAAATAATATTCACAATTTTTCCAGAAAGTTTGGTTTTTATCGAAGGAAACTTGGCAACGTCTGAAGGCTCATACGGCGTTCTTCCTTAGCGCGGCAGGATAATTTCCGGCTTTTTTACGCATCCTGGCAACCTCGGGGAGCGGAGGCCGAAGTTAGAGCCGTCGACTGCAGAATGAAAGCACAAGATAAAGCTCGGAAAACGAGACGGGAACACGGGCTCCACGAGTGGAGGCGGCGCGGGGAAATTAGGTTACGGGTCAATTGAGACAAACGCTTTGAAGCTTACGTCTTCGGTTTTCACCCTCGGCGTCGAGAAGCGTTGGGTGGAGGGGAAAATTTACTCTTTTCATTCATGAGCTCGCAGTTTTTCCCCTTTGACGCCTCCGCGATGGGCTTAAGCTTGAGTCAGGACCACGCGGACGACCGTGGACCGGTTTGTGTGGCTTAAGGGATTTATTTTACGCACAGTGAAGGCTCCGAGAGGATGATCCGTCGAATCCTGCGAAATCCTCAAAAGGTTTATTGCGACGGCAATTTTCCTGACGATTTGCAAGGGGACACTGGAAAAAAAGAAAAAAAAAAAAAAAACACATTGGATCTAGAGTCCAGATCCTCTTGAAAAAATACTCAGCGTGAGCTGACTTTTTTATTGTTTTTTTATTTTTTATTTTTTAAAATCCTTGACTTAAATCACTTAAATTGACTTTAATGACCTATCCTTATGATTTTTTTCATTTATTTATTTTTACGAGTTAGTTATAACATCTGTTTTCGTAACTGTTCCGTCACGCGCCACCGAGGAAAAACTTTAACTCCACTGGAAAAAAAAAAACACATTGGATCTAGAGTCCAGACTCTTGAAAACATTGCCAAGAAAAAATACTCTTGATTCAATCAGATTTTTGGTTAAATCAAAAGGAAATCCGCTCAAATTAAGAGGCTTGGTTCTTCATTTCAGCAAAAATCCGATTGAATCAAGAATATTATTTCTTGTCGACGTTTTTAAGAGTCTGGACTCTAGATCCAATGTGTTTTTTTTTTCCAGTGCTGGCAACGGAGGGTGAGAAAAAGTCCAGCGGGCAATAATTAATGAATTATTAGCGCCACGCCGTTGCATAGTAGGCGCGTAAGCTTCTTCGGGTTCCTGGGAGAGGGTGGGGGGGGGTGAGAGAGAAGGGACGGGGCGGAAGGAGTTCCGTTCACAAATGTTTACGAAAAATCCTGGAGCTCTGATAATTTGGGGCATTTTATGAATTATTGTACGTTAAACTTTCAAACTCGAAAAAATTATTAGAGAGCAAGTTACAATACATACTGTTCTACAAGGTCTCCATTTCCCTTTGCTTTCGCAAGAATGGTCGAAACTATCAAACTACGAAAATGTCCAGGTTCATTTTCCAGAGGCCAAAATTCATTTTCAGATGCGAGTAAAGTACAACATTTTTTGGGAAATACTCGGAGAAAAGGTCATCTTTGTAAGTTTTTATCATCCGGATTCTACGGTTGAACTTATGCATTCTTTTTATATCACTGCGTTTTATCAATCAAAATACGATTCTATTACAAATGCAGCTAACTCATCATTAAACGAAAAGATATCAATTGGGAATTTCGAGAGTCTCACCCGCAAATTATTTGTTACCTATGCTCAATTTATGAGGATTGAATCGGTTAAGATGCGAACGGTCTTCAAAGGAAAATCTGGAAAATCTCGTTTATGTTCATCCTTTGTCAAGTTTAAAGAATTCCTAAGTGATCCGTATACTGTCGTGCTAAGGAAGAACGCCGTATGAGCCTTCAGACGTTGCCAAATTTTGTTCGATAAAACCCGAATTCACTAGGAAAATTGTAAATATTTTCCCTCGAAATTTTCAGACGATTTTGTACGCAATTTAATCTAAATTATCTGAAAATGTCAAGGAAAAATATGCTTCAATTGCGTCTAAAATACACGTTGCATCAAGGGAAATTCGGCAACTCTCGAATGTTCATACGGCGTTTTTCCTTAGCACGGGCAGTCTAGAAGAGCCTCTGGGGACAAGCGGCACGAGGTGTTATACGCAAATTACGGTTTCAGAACACGACCGATAAAAATTGTTCTACTTCAATCTTATCATATTATTCCTTTTGTACATTCCCCATCTCCTTTGTGACCAGCCTAAAGACTAAAGGGTCTTTTGAGCCGTAAAAAGTTTTCAAGGGAACGAAGGATGCGTAAAAAGTTGAGTCCCTCCCCTTCGCTGTCAACGCGTGCTTATCAAAACAATTCGAAAAGAATTTGCGGGTTTATGATTGAAATTGATAGAGAAAGCGTTAGACAAAGGAGACAAAGAGAAAATAGAGCGATCCTATTGGTGGATACGGGTGAGTGCAATGGACAAAGGAAGTAAGTAATAGACAAATTAATAACACCGCACGACAGACCCAACGGTAAGGCCGTCATTCTCCCTTTATAGTCTATTATAACAACCACCCGTTTCAACCAACAAGAGCATCCCATTTTCCCTTCGTCTTCTTTGTCTATAGTTTTATCTATCAATTCCAATAACGAGCCTGCGGGCCGATTTTTGAAATTGGTAGACAAAGCTATAGGCTTAGAAGACAAAAGAGATATGGAGGGATCCCATTCGTGGAAGCGGGTGGTTGCAATGGAGAAAGGAGGTAATAGACTAACTAACGGCAACCCACGGGAGACTCGATAGATAGTCCATCATTTTCTCCCTGAGTCTATAAGAACTATTTGTTTTAACCAATAGGATCGCTCCATACCCTCTATGTTTCCTTTGTCCATGACTTTGTCTATCAATTTCAATAACGATCCTGGAGGTTGATCTCTGCTTATTTCTCCGTTACTTACATCCCGTAGCCTCGCGACTTTATCCGCTGTTGGCAACTAACCTCATTTGTCCCTTGCAACTACCAGCTTCCCTCAATAAAATAGACCAATTATCGTCTCCTTTGTCTGTAGATCTGCATATAGCCTTGTCTATAGCTCTGTCTATAACTCTGTCTATAACTCTGTCTATGACTTCGTCTATCAATTTCAATAACGAGCCCGGATGTTGATCTCTGCCTATCTCTCCGTTATTTACATCCCATAGCCTCAACTTTATCCTCGCGCGCTTGGCAATCACCCTCCTTTTTCCCTTGCAACTACCAGCTTCCACCAATAAAATCGATCAATTATCGTCTCCTTTGGCTATAGCTCTGGGTATAGCCTTGTCTATAGCTCTTTGTACATCTGTGTCTATATCTCTGCCTATAACTTTGTCTATAGCTTTGTCTACACTGGAGGAAAAAACGCATTGGATCTGGAGTCCAGACTCTTAAAAACATAGACAAGAAAAAATACTCATGATTCAGTCGGATTTTTGCTTGAATCAAGAACCAAGCCTCTTAATTTAAGCGGATTTCCTTTCGATTTAAGCAAAAATCCGATTGAATCAAGAGTATTTTTTCTTGTCAATGTTTTCAAGAGTCCAGACTCTAGATCCAGTGTGTTTTTTTCCTCAGTGTATCAATTTCAATAACGAGCCTGGAGGTTGATCTCTGCCTATCTCTCCTATACTTAAATCCCATAACCTGGACTTTATCCTCTGTTGGCTCTTTGTATATCTGTGTCTGTAACTTTGTCTATAGCTTTGTCTATCAATTTCAATAACGAGCCTGGAGGTTGATCTCTGCCTATCTCTCTTATACTTAAATCCCATAACCTGGACTTTATCCTCTGTTGGCTCTCTGTATATCTGTGTCTATAACTTTGTCTATAGCTTTGTCTATCAATTTCAATAACGAGCCTGGAGGTTGATCTCTGCCTATCTCTCTTATACTTAAATCCCATAACTTGGACTTTTTCCTCTGTTGGCAGGTGGCAGAAGGGACACACGCTGCTGCTGGTCTCGCTGTCTTGCTGGATCATCTTCACGCTTCCTCTGGGGTTCATGCAGCCGCCGGCGACGTCCTGCATCCGCCGCAACGCCACCGACTGGACCCTCGAGGCCCCCGAGACCCCGCAGCGGCTCATGAAGCGCGAGGCCCCCGCGTGGGCCCTCGACATGGGCCCCGGCGCCGCCGCCCTCCACGACCTCGAGCCCTTCTCCCGACAGCTCGTGCGCGCCAAGCGGGGGACGCGCCCGCGGCTCACCCCCGGCAAGTCCCCGCTCGACGTCAGCTACGCCTCCAACTACAACCACGAGGAGCAGAAGAACTGGGTCTCGCCCTTCTTCAGCTCTATCGTCTATCGCACACAGGTAAGATGATATAGATGGAGCCAATGGAGATGTTGCATGTGTGAGGAATTTGCGATTTGACTGTTGATTCTTATGTAAAAGTTCGCGAGAAACACGATGGTGGGGTTTTTTTGGGGGGGAGGGNAATTTATAGAGGCAACGATGGCGCAGAGCCTTTATTTTTTAGGCGCTATGACCGATTTCTAAGGCGCATTTGGCGCGTTGGCGCCTGTGAGTTTTGAACACTGGCTCAGTATCCGGTCTGCAGTCAAGAGTACTAGGCCATTAATGGAAATGCTGCATGTGTGAGGAATTTGCAATTTGACTGTTGATTCTAGTGTAAAAGTTCGCGAGAAACACGGTGATGCCACTGGTTTTCTCTGAAAACAACTCCCAAGCTCAAAAAAAGCTCTCAAGTTGAGGCCAAAATGGAGGGGATATCCCACGCTATCCTGAGAGTCCACGTCTACATCAAGACAAACTCTCCACGCAAAGACAGGGAGCAAATACATTGACAGGGCTGCCACTTTATTTGGGGACTCCAAAACTGAAAACACGGCAACCCTGCTAATGTATTTTGCTCCTTATCTTTGCATGGTTGAACTGGTTGATGTAGAGGTGGACTCTCAGGGTAGGGTGGGATATCCCCTCCATTTTGGACTCACTTTGAGAGCTTTTTTTGAGCTTGGGAGATGATTTCAGAGAAAACCAGTGGCACCATCGTGTTTCTCGCGAACTTTTGCATGATAATTAACAGTCTAATCGCAAATTCCTCACACATGCAACATCTCCATTAGGGGTGATCGCGATAAGTTGCGATTTGATCGGAGAATGTATCGCGATCACTTGAGGCAAAAATGTTTGCCTCTTAAATTTTCCCGTTTCATTTTCCGCACCAAGGAATGTAACTTTATTCCAAAGTTGCGAAATTGGCTCAAACAATCATATTTTTACAAAAATGTGCCGGAACAATTTCTGTCAGAAATTTTACTAATTTTTGCAAGAGATCAGAGGGAAAATAACGCAAATTCTCAGGAAAAAATTATCAAATTCTCCTAATAAAAATACAATTTGCGAAGGGAACTTTGGCAACATTAAAATGTAGTTGCGTTCTTTTGTATTAAAATAAATACTAAAAACTGTAATTGAATTTTAAAAGTCTGTCGGATTCACTGAAAAAACTTTTCTTTGAGAAATTTTTTTGAACTTAAAGCGTCTCTTCTTGTCGACAAGATCTGGTGTTTTTTAGTCAAAGAAGCGTTCTTTTGTTAACGTGTTTTTAACGTAAACTTAACGATAGCAAAACAACGTTTCTACAACAAAAAAAACTGATTTTAAGTTAAATCTGCACGGTTTTAACAAAAGAGAGCCAAATATTGTCGACAAGAAACAACGCATTAAGTCAAAATAACATCTCGAGGAGACTTTTTTCAGTTTTGGCAACAGCCTGCAGAAAGGGAGCATTTTGCGATCCTACTCAATGGGTTGATAAACGATATTTTCTTACGTCTGATGTCCCTCCCGTACCAGTGGCGTGGCGTGAATTGCGATGTATCGATTGTTCTGCCATTTAAACCTATGGTGAAGAATCGATTATTAAGGTGTTCGCTGCAAACACCCTGTTTATCGATCCTTTTTCATTCGTTTAAATGGCATAAAAATCGATATATCGCAAAGCACGCCACGCCACTGTCCCGTACCCATTCTACTGCAATTCACGAACATAAAAACTTTTGTTAGAAACTGCACGGAAGAGGAAGCACAACGAAGGCGAAAGAATGTGTTCTCGGTAGAATGAACCGCACGAGAAAGAGAGCCGGAGAGAAAGAGAGGGGGAGGGGGCTGAGGGAGAGATTTTCGCTTACGCTCCAAGTAAACTCAATTCTTGCTCTTAACGTCAGTCTATTGTGTTCTCAAGTGGCGCTCCAGCTTGGGAGGCGAGAGAATGGCCACTTACCTTGACGGATTTATAAGTTTTCGTGTATTAATTTTCCGGAAAATATTCCGTCGCCGCGAGTCTTTACCGCACCTTGGCCTAGGTCAACCAAAAATGACTTATGCGTATGATAAATGTTTCCGTGCCGGAGAAAAGCAAGTATGAACCTTCCGACGTTCTCAAATTTCGTTGGGAATAGGACAAAATGTCCGAAAATAAAAGTCCAAAGTACAAAAATGTCCAAACCCCGGTATAAATTGGCAGTAGAATCTGTGCTCCAAAATACCATAGACCTACAGCCAGCTGTAAGATTTCCAATAGCTTCTATAGCTGGCATCACAATTACTTATAGCCCTTTATAGTCGATGGCGATTAAGCAACAGCCAGGCGATAAAGTGTATGCTACTCGTAAATGTTACTAATTACGGATGCTAGGACTTAGTGAGTTTTTGGACTACCGCTCTCTTTCTGGGCCGTAGTATCTTGATTTATTTTGCGAGGAAAGCTCCGCACTTTTGAAAGATGCCTGTCATTCCTAATATGTCGGAGCGCCTCTTCAATTTCGTATGATACTGTACAATACCTCTGGTGTGAAATAATTGCTTCCAGCACTGTGGCACACTGCGGCGCGGCGGGCGGGCAGTCAGCACAAAACGCGCATTGGCGCCCACAAACCGAACAGGGATACTTCACGCGTTGCGCAATGCGTGAAGTATCCCTGTTAGGTTTGTAGGCGCCAGTGCGTCGCCGCTCCGCTTTGTGATAGGCTTTAATATTTGATCTCGCGGAGTCAGCGTTTTTCAACTGAATTTTGAAGTGTGATTTTGAAATGTTTGCACATCTTGTATGGATTATTCTCATTTTAATTGATGAAAAAAATATGTATTGAAGGAAAATATGATATGTGTTTTGTAAATATTAGGGTGATTCCGTATCAAACTTAATGATTCCCAAAGCACATGAATTTCTACACATTTTTTTATAGCCTTTTATAGCCGATGGCGATAAACTGTATAGCCCGGCGATAGGAACTATAGCCCGGCTGCATAATTTTTTATCGCTTCGTATAGCCCGGCCGTATGATTTTCTCTGCATTCTACAGCCAGCTATATGCTTTTCTACCGCCATCTCTAGCCGGCTGTAAGAATTCCTATGGCATTTTGAAACGCAGCTCCTATCGCCAAGTTTTATCAAGTCAAAAAAGTCCACATCTACAACATGTCCAAATATCTGTAATGTCCAGTAGCAGGATTATGACCAAAAACAAAAATGTCCAAATGTCACATAATTTGACAACTTGGCAAAATAGTGAGCTTGGAAGCTTTCTACAGAAATATCCATCTTGGGGATAATGGAGAAGCAGTGATACAACCTAAACTATTCTCGGTATAGTTAAACTACATAGACACTACAGACAGAAGAATTTATAAGAACAGGTAAATGAGAATATAAATTATGATTTTTATCGCAACCGGACATTCGGGCGTGTTTTATTTTGCCCATTTCACTGCCACTGGACATTTCAGACTTTTGGACATTTTTTGCTCATAGACTTGTTTCACATTGGCAATTTTTTCACTTCGGACAATTGTGCAATTCGTGATTCTGGAGGCTCCTAAGGGCGCTAAAACGACCGTTCGGCCGATCGAATCAAGTGAACCGCGATCCCTCACATGTGACATTCACACGAGTTTTTGTGTGGATGGTGTGCATTTCGTGATTCTGAAGGCTCCTAAGGGCGCTAAAACGACGGTTCGGTCGATCGAATCGATTGAATCGCGATCCCTCACTTGTGACTTTTACGCGATTTTTTGTGTGGTTGGTGTGCAATTCGTGATTCAGGACGCTCCTAAGGGCGCTAAAACGACACTTCGGCCGATCGAATCAAGTGAACCGCGATCCCTCTTTTGTGACTTTCACGCGATTTTTTGTGTGGATGGTGTGCAATTCGTGATTCTGGAAGCTCCTAAGGGCGCTAAAACGAACGTTCCGCCAATCGAATCATTTGAATCGCGATCCCTCACATGTGACTTTCACACGAGTTTTTGTGTGGATGGTGTGCATTTCCTGATTCTGGAGGCTCCTGACGGTGCTAAAACGTTCGTCCTGCCGATCGAATCACTTGAATCGCGATCCCTCACTTGTGAATTTCACGCGATTTTTTGTGTGGTTGGTGTGCAATTCGTGATTCAGGAGGCTCCTAAGGGCGCTAAAACGACCGTTCGGCCGATCGAATCACTTGAATCGGGGTCCCTCACATGTGACTTTTAAGCGAGTTTATTTATTTTTGGACATTTTGCCCTATCACCATTTCGTTTGATAAAACACGTATTTACATGGAGACATGAAAAAAAATGAGAAACGTTGCCAGAACTGCATGTAACAAGGTGGTTAAATCGTGTTATTTTGCTTTTACGGAGAAAACAAGGCTTAAAAGTTCAACAATTGCAATTAGAGTCAAAAACTGACTGGTGCCGGCACTCATTAGCGTTCAAATATTTTGACTCTATTTGACATTTTCGGACTTTTTGACCTTGTTTTTCCCGTAAAAAAGTGTGGATCTAGGACTATTTTATTGACTTTTTTACTGAGAGACTCATGAATCATTTTCCTCCAACTCATTCTCGATTTGTTCTAAATTATCTCTAAAATTTCAAAGGAAAATACTTACTCATAAGTTTTCTTCAAAATTACTATTTTATCGGGAGAAATTTGGCAACACACGAATGCTAATACGCCGTTCTTCCTGCATAGTCTGAGAAACCATCGTGTCAGCATTGTTTTCGAGGCCAAAGCACTGACAAATAGTGTAAACGTAAGAATACAATTATTCGTGTTCTGCGGATGAGCGTGTTGCATATGCACAAAAATTGAAGGCGTTTTCGAATTCCTTGCGTTCCGCTGACTCCGTTTAAAGGTACCGGCATATGTTACACTATGATTGAAGAAAGACGCAAGTCTGGGAAGTTTTTTTTCAAGACAGAATTGCCGCGTATATAGTTTTGATGTTGTTTTTGGAACTTACGTGAATGAAAACCTTAAAACGGCAACTTTTCTCGTTCGCTGAGAACAGTCGGCTGTCAAAAAAAAGCAGGTATTTTCCTTCTTTTTTTATCAGAGTTGAATCATTTTTTGGCGTGAGAAAATTTAAAGATTTCTGAGAAATGTCGATTAAATTCCTGTCGATTTCCTTTTGTGAATATTCATGAAAATGATTTTAACTGCGTTCTTTTGATTGGAAAAAACTGTGGCTTTTTTGTCCGTTTTTAACGACGTTTATATGAAGGTTCCTATGATGATTGTAACTTTCAATGAGGTATGAAGCCTTTTTTTCTTTTTTATTGCGCATGGTAATATCTCTCTTCCTACAAGTTAACACGAGAAAAAACATAACTGGCTGTCAATTCCCAATCAGATTTCTGTCTGTGTTAATTATGCATCTGATGACGTTTTTTTAGCCGCATGGTGGGCACTGTCAAAAATCTAGTACTGTCTACTGAATTTCCTGAAGAATGTTTAAAAAAGTTCATGTGATGACCACTAACATTCTTTCTTCCCATATATTTTATGACCCCAGAGCCGCAGACTCACACAGATAGTGGAGCACTGTTGCCAGATTGTGCTGAAAATTCAGCACATTCTCCCATTGAAGTGAATGTAAAATATTGTCTGTTTTTCACACAATCAGGCAACATTCTAGTGGAGAGAAAATAAAGTGGGATACGTAACTTCTCTAAACTTTCGGCGTATTGTGGGCGTAATGGTACCCATTAAAATGGTTTATGTCCGTGTATCGTCAAGACCGAAGATTGAGTTCCCTTGCTTTCTCCTTGGAACCTCTTTTTCCTGGGCAGACCCCATATTATTAGATTCGCTATAATTAGGGACTGGGCTTTCTGATGTGAAAGAATACGGTTTAAGGAAAAATCCATCACCATACAAAGTGAATAGCTTTTCAAAAGTTGTTCGTGCGATCAAATTTATTTTTGAGCATAATGAAGACATCTCAATCCGGAGATGACCGTGTTATAGTTGAGTCAAGAGAGCACCGATTATCTGGAATAGGTGGAAGTGTGGAAGTAAATGAAATTTCACCTACTCGTAACTCGATATAGGTACAGAGCAAGGTAGATTTAATACGAACATTTTCTTATCAAATAGCAATGTACCTGTGTACATAATCAGACAATTTTGTACGCAATTTAATCTAAATTATCTGAAAATTTTTAGGAAAAATATGCATAAATGATGTCAAAAATACATGTTTTATCAAGAGAAATTTGGCAACTCTCGAATGTTCATATGGCGCTCTTCCTTAGCACGGCAGTACAGTCCCTTTATAGAGATAGTCAGGAGAATCCGGCTCATAGATGTCACAAACGGGAATAAAAATTACACAATTTCAACGTTTTTCGCAATTTTGGATCAACTCATTCCCGAATTCCTGTCTCCGTTTGTTCCTTGCCCGTGCCCCTAATTCCTCGGTCCATTCCGGTTTATAATCTTTGCAATCGGTGAAAATATAGTCTTTATCAATCGTGAATTTAGCTTTGTTTCCCGTTTCCCCCCCTTGTTTTTCTACTGTTACCATTGTCTCGGGCTGCCCTGTAAAAATGTGTATAAAATAATGTTACTGTTTGACTCGTTGGTTGCAGGACATCAACAAGGCGTTCTTCCTGCTGCTCCTGCTGGTGGTGATCGGGGAGTTCTTCTCGGCGCCGGCGATCACCCTGGCCGACTCGGCGGTGATCACGCTGCTGGGCGAGGACGCGGATCGCTACGGGCACCAGCGGATGTTCGGCTCCCTCGGCTGGGGCCTGGCCATGTTCTTCGTCGGCATCGCCCTCGACCACTCGACCTCTTTCCCGGACCACCCCTGCGGCCCCAACGAGCGCGAGAAGAACTACACCATCTGCTTCGCCACCTTCTCCGTCCTCATGGGCGCCGCCCTCATCACCGCCACTCAGGTTCGTACACTCATACATTTCAAAAAGATGTCCTCATGGGCAATGGAGATGTTGCATGTGTGAGGAATTTGCGATTTGGCTATTAATTCTCATGTAAAAGTTCGCGAGAAACACGATGGTGCCACTGGTTTTCTCTTAAATCATCTCTCAAGCTCAAAAAAACGCTCTCAAGTTGAGGCCAAAATGGAGGGGATATCCCACGCTATCCTGAGAGTCCACGTCCACATCAAGACAAACTCTCCATACGAAGATAGGGAGCAAATACATTAGCAGGGTTGCCGTGTTTTCAGTTTTAGAGTCCCCAAATGAAGTGGCAGCCCCGACAATGTATTTGCTCCCTATCTTTGCATGGAGAATTTGTCTTGATGTAGAGGTGGACTCTCAGGATAGTGTGGGATATCTCCTCCATTTTTGCCTCAACTTGAGAGCGTTTTTTTGAGCTTGGGAGTTGATTTCAGAGAAAACCAGCGGAACCATCGTGTTTCTCGCGAAATTTTACACAAAGAACCAACAGTCAAATCGCAAATTCCTCACACATGCAACATCTCCATTGCGTTGGTCAAAGAATCGTGCTTTGATGCTTGATTCTAACAGATTAGCAAAAAATAAGACGATATATTCGAACAGCAACTTTCTAAGTTGAACATTAACCGAGATAGCGTCCTTTGAAAAGTCGGGTTATGATGTCATCCCGTATAGGGCCGGAGTAAGGGGGTGGCCACATATGGGCCGCGGCCTATGGCGGCAAAATGTAGGGGGCGGCAAATTTTGCAATCCTTTTGAATATAATTATCAAAAAAGAAGAGGAAAAAATCGGATTCAGAACATACATTACAAACGGGAAAAGGCGACAAAATCTCTCATTTCCTGAGAGTAAAAGTAAAGTAATTTCTAATTTTGTTGTCTTTCGGTGATACAAGAGACAACACATTTATTTATTCGAGTTAAGAGAGAAACCAAGCACGCAATTTGACCTTGAGCGGAGCGGCGCAGAGAGCAATGATGACGAGGACTGAGATGAAAAGCGGCGCGGCGGTCGGCATGAAACGCATAGCGCCTACAAGACTGCATGAATACTTCAAGCATTGCGTCAAACAGTGCGGTCGGCAGCGGTCGGCGGGAAAAGCATAGCGCCTACAAGACTGCGTGAATACTTCACGCATTGCGCCAAATACAGTGCGGTCGGCGCAGCGGTGGATGTTAAAATTATTAAACCTCATTTATGTTTGTTCCTTAATAATTTTTTCGTTCGTTTGTTATAAATTGAAGGCCTTGTCTAAACAGGGATGGGTTTACAGAACTTAACTTTTGCATAAAGTTCCATGAACTTTTGTTAGTGTTGACAGGGCTTCCACAAAAAATGTGAACAAAAAATCGATCGATCACCCTCGTGTTATCAGTCTTCTTCTCTCTTCTCTTTGTTTTGATTATCTCGGCGATCATGCAGTCTGCAGGTTTCTATTTGAAATTTTTATATTTTCTTTTATTATTCCGACCGAAAATGGCTCAGTTTTGAGCCGAAACGTTTCGGATTTGTATGTGTGCTTTTTAGCCTTGTTTCCAGTTTTTGATGCTACCACCAAAATAGAGATTGGCGCTCACGTGATTTGAAAAACAATCGGTTCAATTAATGTCATTGAAAAACGAGACTGATTACACAGTGAACAGGCTCAGTCTGCATGAGTCAGAGAAAATCATGATGATCCGAGCGTCAGTTTCCCTTCTGGGAAGGAAAACCGACTCGAAGGAGAAGCGATGATAAACCGCACACAGATCGCGTCCACATTGGCGCCATAATTACAAACCACATGCCCGCTCGAGGGCGTTAATCGTTTCACGGAACAACATCAATGTCGTCGTGTGCACATTCTGCCGTGATAGGGAAAAACGCCGTATGAACTTTTAGGCGTTGCCAACTTTATACCAGAGATGGACGAATCATGTTTCTTCCTTTTCTTTGCAGATTAACTTCAAATACGAGCCACCGGTGGAGGTAGAACAGGAGCCTCCGGTGGCACCGCCTCCTCCGTCGCGGGAGGACTATCTCCAGCAGGAGCTGGCGCAGCAGCTGAATCTACCCTCGCTGGCTAGCGGAACTACCGGAACTACCGGAACTTACGGCCAGTCCGATGCCAACAAACCACTACCCAATCTCGGCAAGGTAAATATAAACTCGATAGCAAAATATTGTAGCCGCTCTTTACGGCAAAAGGCTTTTTTTTTGTCGATGGACAGTGTTCGAAACTCACAGGCGCCTATGCGCCAAATGCGCACAAAAGATCGTCCATGGCGCCTAAAAAATGAAGGCTCTGCGCCAACGTGGCCCCTGAAAATTGCCCCCTAAAAATCTGAATTTTCATATTAGTTGATTATTTGAAATTTTCAGCACTACAATTAAACTTTTGTCTTTCCCCAAGTTACAGCTTCTTACTAGTTCTGTTACGAAAACATCTTGCGTCTAACTTTTCACTAAATGCGCCGTAATCTGTAGGCGAGAAGTCAATTTGGCCCCTAAAAAATGTTCGGTGGCGCCTAAAAATCGGACTTGATGCGCCATATGGCTCCTAAAACTCAAAGGTGAGTTTCGAACACTGTCCAAGTGTCCATGGACTACATGAAACGCGATTTATGCGGTTGGATGCGGTTCACAGTAAAGCACACTAAAAAAGTGAAGTTGATTTAACAATCTGGATGTAAAAAAAAAGTGTACGAGAACATGCAAAATGCTGAATTAACTGCCACAGCAGTTACTTTAGCAATGCCAACATGTAAAACTAACAGCCGGTAGCGGGCAATTTAGCATTTCGTGAGTTCTCGCACACTTTTTTCACTGCCAGAATGTTAAATCAACTTCACTTTTTTTTCGGTGTACCTACACTGATATAAACATTTTTGTTCTTTGTTTTTAAGTTTCTTTGAATTCTATTCCTGTTTATTTTTAGAAACTCAGGATTCCACAGCCATCCATAGACATAAGTTTTAACAGGGATTATTTTACTGTCAGTAGACATCAAGGGGATTTTGGCACATCCATGCTCCGGCTTTAAAATTTTCAGGGATTGAGGTCGAGTAGAATGATTTTTTGCAGATCCACTCGTCAGTTCCGTACAAATTTGTCGCCACCACCCGAATTCGAACCCGGAACTCATTCGTCTATAGTCAGACGCGCTGACTGCTAGGCCAACCTGACCGGCTGTTCTTGTGTTACTTTTGGTTAATATAGGAAATGGAACACAAACTAATACAAATTGTTTGTTGATTTTAGAACAGTTTTTGGTGGATTCAGCGCAGAAAACAATGGAGAGAAAACGCTCGAAAAACCGCACACTAGAAAAGCGGTCTAAGTTGGCATTGCACAGAAACCTGATACCGCGTCTGTTTTGAATGAATACATCAATGGGCATTACTCACCTCACTGAAAATCCCGACTAGATTTTCTCAAACGATTGATAGGGTTAATTCCACAATGTGTGACGTGCAGTTCTCAAATTGTGAGACCTCCTGAACAGTTCAGTCGCACGGAAAAAAACGCACGTTCCCTATCAATAAAGAGTGTTTAGAACTCAACTTTACACATTAAAACACGGGATTTCTTCAAAACTTTCGTAAAAAATGCGCCATGGACCGGTAACTCTCAGTTTGCGGCGCACGAAGATTTATAGATGAAAGCCACTGAATTCAACTTGCGTCGTAAAACTTATTTATTGTATTCTCGGTTTGAATTCCGCGGGCAGGTTGAAACTAATTTATTTTTTATACAGGGAAAAATTCGCCTCCATGCAGGAGGGGGAAAGAGGAGCAAACATGTTATGGCTTTTTTGACCTTTGACAGTTCTTGAAACGTTTTAATTGAAATGATCTACCTCGAATATAGAGCTGCGAAAAAATTCAATTTAATCCGTAATTTATTTCCCGGGTGCACGAAATTTGAAACATTGCGGTTTTGTCGAAAAATAATTGTAGTAATGAACATTCCTATCCCGACACTAACTTTTAGTAACGTTCCCTATTCCTATTTTATGAGCCACCCCCCTTCCCTACGCAGCTTTGATGGGATGAATTTTTTTGTTTATGAACTGATCAAATCAAGTTTTGAATTTCTAAAAGTTTAGAACATTCATAATCTGTAATTTTCAGATCATAATAACAGAAGGTAAACAGCAGGACAGAAAGTATTTGATTTTTTCGGTTTCTGTCCTGGACACATTCTATCCTCTACATGCAAATATCTTGTTGCTTTGAGCCACCAGTTTGTACATACTTTAAAAATCAAATTTTGATAGCTTTGCTCCAAAACTCAAAAGTTTTTAAACATTAAAGTTAGTACTACGAACAGATTACGGTGTGACACATGCGTCGTCGTTTAGAAACAGTCGGTGAAAATCAAAGTTAAAGTTAGCTTCAAGTTTGGTTGCTGTTCTGCACTTTTTTTCTCCTGTTAGCAAAATTAAAAAAATATCAAGCATTTGGCTTTAAAATATGTTTTTCTCGCTCAATTTCTCCAAGTACTTGCAACCCACGCAGTTTCACTCATAGTGAAGTGTCAACTTATTTTCTCTCTATATTGCATCTTTTATATTAGAATAATCCACAAAAAAGGGTGGGAATGCAGAACCACATAAAGTATTTATTCGCTTGAATTTGTTGCATGGTAATCTTAAGAAGTATCGAAAATCATATGCGAAACAACTTCCACTTCATAGAGTTGGGTAATTCAAAAGTCTTTCTCACGGGAAAAGTTAAAATGAATACAAGTCATATCAGACCATAAGAATACATTTCCACGTGCGGAAATCACCTTGTCATAACTTTAAACAAAACTCCCCCTCTGTCTTTGAAACTAACTGCGCCACCTTTCAAAAGTCCTTTGAATCGCGATGCTCGAAATAAGTCGAGTAGGCGCGGTTCAATCGGACGTATTTCTACCAAACGGAACTATGTGCATCAAGACATGAGCCCTAAGACCTATGAAAATATATGGAGAACATGGCTCACGTCATAATGCACTTAGTTCCTTTTGGCAGAAATACGTCCAATCATGAGTGGGTTTTGATTTTTGGTGAGCAACAGATTGAATTGACATGCAAGCGCAAGAAGTGTGGCGTTCTCATCTGGTGCTCTGTGACATTTCAATGCGTTTACTTCTGATTCCAGACGAAAATGTTCGCGCAAACTACTCGCGAGATCCCAGAGTGGGTCACAGTTCTGAAACACTTCGCCAATTTGAAGTGCGGTTCCTTTCTCTTCGTCGCCTGGTTCATGGGATTCGGAATTGGCCTCATTTTCACGTTCCTCTTCTGGCATTTACAGGTGCGTACACACATTTTGTCGTTCCCCTGCGGACAGAGGCGGATCCAGAAATTTGGCAACACCCGGATGCCTCCTTTTAAACCCATGCTAAATAATCGATTCTTGTCGAAGCACCTGGCCCCTCTAAATATCGATACATTTCCATAGGTTTAAATGGAAAAATGACAATGTTGCCAATTTGCTGGATCCGCCAATGCCCGCAAACCGATTGTTGAAATTGATAAACAAAGCTATAGACAAAGAGGACATGATGAGTATGGAGCGATCCTATTGGTTAATTTGGGTGGTTCTTATAGACTAAGGGGTAAATGATGGACTAACTAAATGGTGTCTCGTGAGTTGATGTTAGTTGGTCTATTTCCTACCTCCTTTGTCAATTTCAACCACCCTCTTCCACCAATAGGATCCCTCCATGTCTCTTTTGTGTCTATAGCTTTGTCTATCGATTTCAACAATCGACCCGCAGACGAAGAAACGTAACTCTATTCGAAGGTTGCAAAATTGACTCAAAAAATTCAATTTTTTACAAGAATGTACCTGTGCAATATTCGTCAAAAATTTGTCTGATTTTTGCTCGAAGTCAGATGAAAAACCAGTGACACCTAAGATTAATGAAATGCACGCGGGGAAATTCAGCAATACTGCCGTGCTAAGGAAAAACGCCGTATGAACGAACCTTCAGGCGTTGCCAAATTTTGTTTGATAAAACGTGAATTTTCTGGTAAACTTATGATGTTTTTCCTCCCGATTTTTCAGATAATTTTGTTCGCAATTTTGCCCAGAGATTCTGAAAATTTAAAGGAAAAAGATTCATAACTTCCCTTGAAAATAAACATTTTATCGAAGGAAATTTTGCAACTCTCGAATGTTCATACGGCGTTCTTCCATAGCACGGCAGTAAGCGCGTAGAGCACTGCGCTGTTGCAAGCATTCGAAAACGCCTTCAATTATTGCGTATGCAATACGCACATCCAAAGAACACGAATAGTTGCATCCTGGCTCCTTGGTCTTCGGTCCGTGCTTCTAATATGCCAGTAAGCGATTAAGTGATGTCTGATCACTGTTATCTGTTCCTTATGAAAGGAACTATGTCGCACGTAAACCGTATGCACATAGTTCCTTTTAGCACTAATAAGTTTAATTAATTAACTAGTTTTCTTTATATGAAAACTTCTTTCCTTCTTAATATTTCATTCGTGAGAAAATTACTCATCAATTCATGGAAATTTCTCTAATGTTTGAAATATTTAACGAAAATCCCCACGCTCGGGACAATGTGAAACTATCTAAAATGAGCTTGCTGATAAATTCGATTATTTTTAAGAAGTAGAAACTGCACATAATGTCATGCTGAGGAAAACAACGTATGTACATTCGAGCGTTGCCGAATGCACCCCAATAAAAAATTAAATTATGAGAACAGTCATGCATTTTTATTTCTTGATATATTCATACACTTTACATGAAATTACGATAAAAACAGTTTGAAAAATCGGAAGAATAATACCCATGCATTCCGCCGGAAAGGGATTCGTCAAATAAAATTTACACGGAGAAAAAAACTTCCTTGAGGTCATATGAATCTCTGAAGTTTTCGAATCACGTATCTAAAAACTTGAGGCCCAGCTGCCGAAGTTCGGGTCAGCCATCTGAAGTACTTCGATATATACCGAAGGGTTCGGGTCACACATCTGAAGTACTCCGGTACATACCGAGGTGCCTCGATGTCTGACCCGAACTTCGGCAGTTGGACCTCAAGTTTTCGGATGCGAGATCAGAAAACTTCAGAGATCCATATGACCTCAACTTCGGGTCCCACGCACGAAGTTTTTTCTCCGTGTAGCAACTTCTGAAGGCTCATACGGAGCTTTTGGTAAACACGGCAGCATGACTCACAGGGATTCATTGGCGGATCCAGCAATTTGGCAACACCGGATTTCGTCCATTTAAACCCATGGAAATGTATCGATTCTTGGAGGGCTAGGTGCTCCGACAAGGATCGATTACTTAGCACAGGTTTAAATGGACGAAATCCGGTGTTGCCAAATTGCTGGATCCGCCTCTGCAGGGATTTTCCCTGATTGTTCAAGAATGTACTAATCTCAATATGAAATGCGTTTTCCTTTATCTACATTTCAGGATTTTGGAGGGACCCCAACATTATTCGGTGTGGCCTCTGTGATAAACCACATTTCGGAGATATTCGCTTACTTCTTCAGCTTTAAATTGATCAGGCAGATGGGTCACGTAAAAGTAAGTCACTTAATATTCCTTAATATCATAATAGAAAAAACAACTTAATCGGCCCGAAACATTTATAAAGAAACAACTTAAAACGGTACTAAGGCCGCAAATAATAAACATAAAATAAAATAAAAAACCCGGGACATTTCGCAGGAATCACACCCGCATTTTTAACCGGCAAAACAAGAAAATTATAAGAAAAATAATACGTAATTCTTATAATTCTTAATTCTTAAAATTCTATAAATTCGTATAATTTTCTTGTTTTGCTGGTTGAAAATGCGGGTGTGATCCCTGCGAAACGTCCCGGGTTTTTTATTTTATTTTATGTTTATTATTTGCGGCCTTAGTCCCGTTTTAAGTTGTCTTAATATCGTATAAGTCATTGCTCTATATGTTCCGATTCAGAGGCCTCTACTCTGCCCACCAATGTTATGCAGCTTTATTCCTTACATTAACGGAAGTAATTCTTTCACAGATTTTGAACTTTCATAATTCCATTCAAGTCCGAACTTCATGATTAGCCCTTTATTGCATAGCGTTGCATGAAAGCAACAAATGTTTTTCAGCTTCATTTTTATGCTAGAGTATTAAATTGAATCAAAGCAAGCAATGATTTTTGGGAAAAGTCTAATCTCCTAACTTAAATATAAACTACAAAAATCGATTCCAACTGACTCTATTATCGAAAAAATACGGTACAATGTAGATTTTCCCTCCAATATCAATGATTAGCTCATGCAACAAAGGGTCATTCTGCACTCTGTTTTAAAACATTTCCCGGCACCCTACTTATGACCATGTATGGAATCGATTAATTTAAATGTTTTTATTCGAAGTTTTTATTAGGCCAACTTTGTGACAGCAACCTTTGTGAGTGGGAAGTTGCCGCGGGCGCAGTAGGGGATATTGCATGCCTTTATATTCCTCCCCATTAAAAAAGTCATTTGTTTTGCACACATACTGCCTATAAAACATTTTAATTGAGTATCAACATGTTTCTCTCCTCGTTCCGAAAAATTATTTGTCAAATAATTCAAATCTCACGCGCGTATTTTTATTCTATTTACCAGTTTATTTTAAATTCCTCTGTTTGCAGGTCCTATGTCTTGGTTTGGGTGGGAACATAGTTAGATTCCTTTACATCTCTTGGCTAAAAGACCCTTGGTGGGTTCTACCTTTCGAATTCATTCAGGGTAAGTACGGTACTATACCACCGGTTTTCATTGCGCGGTAGACCCATTTTGCGAAAAATATTCTTTAAGGCGTTAAAATTTGGGAAAATCGACCTTTCTTAAGCTTCTTTTAAAGCTACTCTCCCGCAAAATTTAACCGTTTATACAAACCTAAGGCTCAAGTCTACCAATAATCCTCGAAAATCTTGTAAAAATGTTCATTTGTTCATATCTGATTATGTCAGGTGGCAATACAGGAAACGTAACAGTTTTCAGGCTATTTTTTGTCAGGCAGATTATCTTGGGGACCTGGATAATACAACTTTGAACTTAAAGGGATGGTCACCTAAGCGTCAGTTATTGAAATTTATAAAAAAAAAAGACTGGACTTGAAAAGAGATGGACTTCTGGCGTGGATCCGCTGAAATTTTCAGAAAGGATCGCGTCAGGAATGAGACGGTACGAGAGATCATGGATGCCAACATGACATTATGACGAAACAACTTATTTGGTATGGTCATGTTCAGAGAATGGCAGGAGACAGGTAGCCGAAGAAGGTCCTTGATTGGGTAAAATGTATAGACAGTCTATAGTTATCTAGTTATAACTTACCTCTTGTAATTTTACTGTTTTCTTTTGTGCTATCTCTCATTCGATTTGATGTAATTTTATTCTGTATTTAAACCTCTCGGTGGCAAAAAAAAAAGAAAAAAAATCGAAACCGCTGGCGTTGGCCAATTTAATTCATGCTTCCCCTTAAATCTTTTCTTTTTATATTCAAAATGAGATTCTGTTGGCAGGAATCACCCATGCGGCTGTGTGGGCCGCCTGCTGCTCGTACATCGCTCACAACACACCGCCACAACTTCGTGGCTCCGCCCAGGGCGTCCTCCAAGGCCTCCACCACGGATTGGGTCGTGGTTGCGGTGCTGTTTTCGGTGGCATCTTCGTCACATACTACGGTTAGTTTACCTCCGTAGCGTTTGGAATGATGCCGCAATCACACGCTGAATTTAGCAGCTGAATATGGAACTCAACAGTCATCGCCCAACGGCTGAAATTTCGAAAATTCGAGTTATTTTCATGTAGATTTGTATCAAATCTACTTGAATAGTTCAGACAAATCCAACATCCGTCCGATGGTTGCTGAGAATCGTTGCTGAATTTTGCGCGTGACGCGCAAAATTCAGGCATCGGGCCGATGACTTCTATATTCAAGCCACATTCAGCGTGTGATTGCGGCATGAGGACATCGGAAAGGATGAGAACAAAGCCAATCTTAGATAATGAGCAATGCTGCTTCGTAAAAAATCAAAACATTATGCAAACGCATTTACCTACCCTGACAAACATGCTTCAGGAAACTGCAATGGAGAATTTGCATGCAAATTTTTTATTGCTTCGTCTGAAAGTGCTCAAAGAGCTGATTTCACAGTATTTTCTATAATTTTTTTCTGATGTGGGAAATAGTATAAAAATAGAATTAAAAGTGAGGAAATGCAGCGCCTAATGACGTCATCTGGCGGCATTTCCCATTTAAACACGCGTATTTTTGTAGATTAAGTCATTTCCTCATATCTTCTCCAATAATTGTTCAGTTTATGAACAAAAAATATCCTCATGGTCAGTACACTTAGTTATTACTACTTATACGCGAAATTAATAAGATTTCAGACACCTGCAAATTCTGTATTGTGCGTAAGGGGCCGTTCGAGTCTCATGTAAGGCACTTAGGGGGAAGGGGGGGTCAAGCCCAGCGTTACGTAACAAATTTGAGCCGGAGGGGAAACAAAACTTTGAAAAAAAACTTGCAAGAAATTGAAATTACCACCCTTCCCGAATGAATATTTTGGGGAAATATCGAATTATAGCGAAATAAGTTTGCCCTCCATGCCAGACATGGAATTCAATACTTAGAGAACTTCAATATTGTATACTATAAGAAAAACTTTTATTTCAGGCACGACTGCAACTTTCCGGGCTTACGGTGTCTTGTGTATGCTCGTTTTAGCTGGTTTCATATTTATCAACTTCTATCGAAAAGATCTTGGTTTCTTATCCGACATTCCTGTCACGGAAGACCCACATCAGGTACGAATTTTGGTCTTGAGTTACACGAATTTCTATTTAAATACTAATTAAATGAGGATTTTTTATCCGAATTTCCAAGTACCGTGGTAAAATTTGATGTAAAACATACTTACACACTTACACAAAAGCCACTTTCACAGCCCTCTCTGGCGCTCTGCGACACTTAGCTGCCAAAGTCCTATATCCTCCCAAAGTCCTTCAGCGAGTTGACACTCCCTCATTAGAGCCCCCTAACGTAACCTCCTCTTACGTCAAACATTTTCATAAAATGAAGTTCGGAAATTGACTCTTCAGAAAATATAAGTATTTTAAACGTGGGAGCTCTAAAAAATTTCTAAAGTTTCTGCCCGTTTTAATGAGAAAACTTTGCACCTAATGGACCACTAGACAAGGTATACCTTGCCTAACACCCACTAAATTGCGACATCGCAATTAAGAAATGTCATCCTTTCTGCACACAGCGCTTCAACTACAACGATTAAAGCGCGCACCGTGCCAATGCGCAATGCGAGAAGTATCCATGCAGTCTGGTAGGCGCTGATATGCGCGTCGCACCGACCGCACTGTTTGGCGCAATGCATGAAGTATTCAAACAGTCTTGTAGGCGCTAATATGCGTTCATTGCCAGCTGCAGCATTGTGCCGCATCATTCGAACTCGCATCAGATTATTCGCAGCATGGAATAATGGGGCTTAAAAGGCCCATATCGTGTTGTGCCCTATGAGTGTTTCAACGTTGACTAGTTTCTCTTGATAAAATATCTGTTCAGAAAAAAGTTAGGAAAGTTCACTACAATCTTCACTTTTTTTAGATTGAATGGGCTATTGAACATAGTACGAATTTAAGCACTCTGATCCATGATTCTTCACCAGAATTTCACGTAGAACTCGATTCGCGCAACAAAAACTACTGAAATCAACTCCTAACTAAGATATTGCCGTTCATAATTCACATTGATTACGGGAGATTTGAATTTCCCGGTCACGAGAGACGCAATATTCTACATGAGTGATATCGCGCCTCACAACGATTTTGGCAGGCTTCTGAGTTAAGCATCTTTCCTTTCCCATCCTTTATTGTTCAAAGCGTCAAGATTGAGACTGCCATACTTTTGTATCGCACAGACTGCCGCGGTAACGTTTATTGTTATTAACGTTGACATTATTAACGTTGTGCGATTTGACTTATGTAGACCATTGCGTTTTCATGAGCGGGACGTTTAAATTTACGCGTCAAGAAACATCTAATATCATAGTTAGGGGTTAATTTTAGTCATGTTCATTGCGAAAATCGTGTTCTACGTGACATTTTGGTTAAGACACATGCATTAGAATGCTTAACCTCCTTCTTGAGTATGTCGGCCTCCTGTGGTGTGGTGGTTGTAATGCATGGCCAAGAGGTCCCGGGATCAATTCCCGGCCAGGTGACCTGAGATTGACGATTTCGGGCAATGGTCACCATGGTATGGATGGGGTAATTAGCGTGGGATTAGCCAGTAGGCTGTGTGAAATTGGTAAAAAAAAAACTTCGTACCTTGTCTAGTTAAGTGATCTATTCTTAAGGTGATTCGATGGACGCCATATTTTGTGTCAGAACGGCATGCGATATATCGCATCAATGGACCACCAGACAAGGCACGAATTTAAGCATTCTGATACATGTTTCTTAATTAGAATTTCACTTAGAACACGATTCGCGCAACGGACATTACTGGAACTAACTCCTGACGAAGATATTAACCTTTTTATTTCACATTGGTTACGCGGATTTTTAACTGCCCGCTCACAAGAAACTCAAAGCTCTACGTGAGTCAAATTGCTCACTGTAACGGTTTCAGCAAGCTTCTCAATCGAGCAATGTTCATTTCCCACCATGTGTTGTTCAAACTATAAGCAATTTGCTATAGCTGAGCCAAAGCGTCAAGATCGAGGTTGTGAGATTTTTATATCGCAGAGACTGTCATGATAACGTTTAGCGCTCGATGTGAATCACGTAGAGCATTGAATTTTATTGAGCGGGTGGTTCGAATTCACGCATAAGGAATCATTAAATATATTCGTAAGGAGTTGATTTCGGTAATTATTGTTGTGCGCATCGTGTTCTACGTGGTATTTTGGTTAAAAAACATGTATCAGAATGCTTAAATTCTTACCTTGTCTAGTGGTCCATTGGTTCCATTTTTTCAGCTACTCGTCATTTTTCTCCAATTTTGAGATCGCAATTCTTTTGTCAAGAGACTAAAACACCCACGTACCAATTTTAACAAAGCAATTCAACGTAACAAAGGCAACTGAATTGCGATCTCAAAATTGGATTCACCCTTCACGTGTCTAAAGCTCACTCCCCGATCCACAAGAAAGGTCCTGAAATTCGTGATTCGTTTCAGGTGGCCGAAGAAACGGCCCATCTGGCGCCGCACGGGGTTCCCAGCAATCCTATACCGCGAGCGCTGTCTAGTCAACGTTTACATGAACTGGGCGGCCAAGATCAACAAGCCTACAACAACGCCACCTACGGCACAACTGGCGGGAACCTGGACATTCCTGGGGGACAAGGAGGTAATTGAAATCAGTCATTTCATGTATCCAACAGGAACCAAAAGGGCTAAAATAAGGGACAGGCAAAACCCTGGAGAACAATCTAGCCTGTCGCACCGTGACCTTGCACACTACAACTGCAGGCTGATTGTTGAAATTGATAGACATTAGAACATGACCGCAAAAAACAACTTTAGGATTCAACTTGAAAAAGTTGAAAGTGAGAAAATTCTTGAAAATTTCACTTTTCATTGCCATTTGGTAAAAATCAGAGGAATAAAAATATTAATCACCAAAGACTCGTTCTTTCATATTTCTCAATTGACTTTTATATATGGCTATATGTTTATATGACTATATGACTATATGTATAGGCTATATGTTTACATAAATAGCCTCGTTCCGTCCTATACTCACAATGCTTTTCCATGGCGCTTAGTTCCGTTTGATAGAACGCGCTAACCGGAATTCTAAAATCCTCAAATGGAATTTAATTTGGCGCTTAGCTCCGTTTAACAGAAATACGTCCAATTACACTTACAAACAACAAAAATGTTGAAAAAAGTGTCATTCTTGCATGAAAAGATCCTTTTCATCTCCATTTCTTTCGAGTTGAGAAAGCTCATTCGATGGTTGGTAAATAGTTTTTTTGCCATTATTTTCCAGGCTACAGCACGAATCCATTCAGAACAGGAAATGATACAGGAGGTGGATACACGAACTATGGACAATCATATAGAACCGCCCCCGAAAAAATACAAAATCAGTTTCAGGTAAGACACTCAATTCCTTATGCATAATATTATATGGTCATGACGTCACAGTTTTATTGGTGGGATTTTTTTATTAGCTTACGTAACTCGTCCGGCATTTTTAGAGAGTTGTTTGTTGCTCTTCCGAAAACATTTGTTGATACTGTATTAAAATACATGCATAGATGTCACTTTATAGCACTCCTTCGATCTCTATGACACCTAAAGACCGCGCCATTGTGTCCATCAACCCCTTCTAATTCAATACCATCCCTTACCCCATCATTGGGTGCCTCCCAGGAGGAATCCCATTCAGGACCTTCTTCAACAACTGTCTTTTATCATGGATCATGTTCAGAGAATCCTAAGAGACAGGTTTGGATAGAGTATTCTCTCAAAAAATGAAATCAGTGCGGAAGTTTTGAGATAGCACAATCGAGATGTGTTTTCTTTGTGGGATCATAGATGGTTTTTAATCTTCACTCACTGAAGAAAAATGTGCTTGGCTCAAATATGGCGATTCTTGAAATTGCCGCCAAGAATTTTTTTATTTTGATTTAAGCTGAATTTTTCTTGATACAAGGAAAATAAGGCTTGGGTTAAGCAAAAAAGTAGTTTATATTAAGCAGCCAAATTCTTGATTTAAGAAAAAATACTTCTTGGTGGCAAATTTAGGATTCTTTTTTTTTCAGTGATGCATTTTCAATTTTCCTATAGTTTTAACATAATAGACTTTATTTGATATCAATACTTATTTTGATACTAATTTTTCTTTTCTAGCAATACAATGAAATTCTATCTCGCTCTGACGACAAAGTGGTGGACAGTGTGGCCAAACCTTTGACAAACGTGTTCGCTCAGCAACCAGTAGACGCACCTCGAATTTACGACTGGTGAAAATTTACGGCCGATTCCTATTAGTCCAGGTTGACAACTATTAGAAAAGTGACATTGGGGGTACATTTCTAATAGAAGCCCAATCTTTTTCAACGATTCGAAAGGAACTTCATTACCTCCAACTGTCTCCAAGCATAAGACCCTTGGTGATAACGAACCATAATTCATCAAAATGAAATTAGTGTCATGTGGATAGTAGTGATTGCAAAAAAGTTTGAAATCTTAACCGTAAACTAGTAGTTGACAATACTCTCTTCAAGCAGACTTTTTAATTACAGCAAGCAAGTAATTACTCATTCCAATGGCTGAATCTATTCTGTCAGTCCAAGTAGAACTTAATACAAAGTAGTAGGGACGGAGATATTTAAAGATAAATTGTTGGAGAAAAATTCATTATTTCCGTTTAACGCAAATCAGACATATTTGCGCTCATCATTTTTAGGGAATGTAATAAGCCCTTTAAAAATGTCTCTCTTTCATAATTGTAGCAATGGCCCTGACTTAGGTACTCTAAAAGTCTCGTACTGACAATGAGCCTCTTCGCCGACTGCCGGCCGTTTTTAGTCTAAAGACTGACCCTCATAAGGGAATAGACATGATGACTATTATTCATTCTACAAGGCTGAGCATGCTGTGTCAGCTTGCTAGAAAAAAGTCATGGAAAGAGTTGTTCATGGCGGTTTTATTCTATCATTTCTTTTTAAATTGCATTCATATGCAGTAGATATTTTCTCTATTTATTAAGTATCCGTGGCGAGGCGTGAATGATCGATTATCGATATGCACCATTTGAAGCTGTGGTAGAGGATCGATTATTACTATCGATCCTATTCCATGAGTTTAAATGACAGATTAATCGATATATCGCAAAGTGCGTCACGCCACTGTTAAGTATCATTGAATGTAATATTTTTGTGGCGTTATTTGTGAAGATGTATATTTGTTCGCTTCCAGCTCTTTCTCTCCTCCTTCCTTTCGTCTCTCTCTCTCTCTTTCTCCCCCTCCTTTGATATTCAAATGTTTTGATGTTTCCTTTTTTAGGTGTTTTTTCTGGTTCTTTTATTGCGTCCAAAATGCCTAAGATATGCGTATTTGCGTTCCTTTACATCCGCAGTTATCACACATGAATACCATCGCACCATTTCCTTGCACAATCCTCTCCTCAGTTTTTAAAGCACGTTTGTTTTATAATTGTATATGAATCAGTCATTTTTCCTTTTTTATGAGAGAATATTTTGTAAATATCATTTTGTTGAATAAGTGTGCTGTGATGTCACGCATACATGGATGATTTTTTTCCTAGAGACAAATACGTTGAATTACTTTTCTCATCCTCTGTATTAAAAGCCAAATATATGATTTTAAGGGAGTGAATTAAGGAAAATGACAAGCTCAACATACAGGAAAATTTTAGAATTTAGACTGAGAATTACCTTAATCATCGTTCTGATGTAGCTCGCATAAGATCTTGGAGCAATCCACATAATACGTTTCGGGTGCATAAATCAATATGTTACATCATGATATCTCGTAAAAATATCTCAAAAACACATGAATGACTTTGTAGCGAGATACGAGCGTTTTAATGTACTTTCCGAGGAGGAAAAACTGTTTTTAAGATTAATATTTTAATTTATCAGCATGTAACGTAAGCAGACAAATTACGGCATTAGCGTCTTCTAAGATTTACGTCAACCTGATATTAGGCGTAAGTGCGAATTCTTCGGAATATCGCAGTTTCAGCATAATTTCTTTCATGATTTCATGTAAAATTCAATGACAAAAATGCACCAAAGTATCTAAATTACCTGTTCATTCCACGAGGGAACTACGCATCGTGTGATGGCAAAATCGTACACTGCCCGTGTTTCTTTACATTTATTTTGGTCTACCACTAACAGCGATCGTTACAAAACAGTTCAGTAGTTTAAAGTAGACCGGAGAAAATATGGGAAGAAAAAAGTTTGGAGCAATTTGTAAATAAGCGCCGTGTTGACGCGCGTGCAACTATTCTGACGTTGCTGCATATTTTCTGCCTATCCGTTTGATTTGAAGGCATTTTAACGAGACGAGTGCAAGTGATTCCATCCCATACAGAATTCGGACTCGTAATCGAAATAAGTTCAATAATCTGATTTCAGAGTTGAGCATAGGCAAGGTACCCCTGTTAAATTCGCAGCTTTTCTTTCCTATCCGCCTGCTACTTTTTTAGCACTTGCTTTCGCTTAATTTTGTACCCGCTTAGATACATGAAACGCTCGCTAACGAACCTGTAAATACTGCTACATTGATCTCGTCTCATTCTCGGTATGAGTGAGCTTAACTGTAAGTAAAGAACAAATAACTTGTTAATTAATTTATAAAGCTGTTGTACTTTTGTTTTGTTTTAAATTTTTATGGAAATGATACAAATTTTCAAGTCTACAACAAGAAGCAAGAGACCCTCCAATGGCCGCTAGGCGACAGGTAAAAACTTTTACTTTCGTGGATTCAACACTTCCTTGTGGACAGTTGTATGGGAGCAACCCTGCCGCCTGCCGTGCTAAGGAAGAACGCCGTATGAACCTTCAGACGTTGCCAAGTTTCCTTTGATAAAAACCGAATTTACTGGGAAAACTGTTGATATTGTTTTCCAAAGTTTTCAGGCAATTTTGTTTGCAATTTAATCTAATATCTGAAAATTTGAAAGAAAAAATGCATGAATGTCGTCAAAAATTCATCTTTTATCAAGGGAAATTTGGCAACTCTCGACGGCGTCCTCCCCTACCCCCCCCCCCCCNCCCCCCCCCTCCCGGCAGAATTGTCATCTCACCTACTAGGTGGACGATGAGCTTCGGGTGACGTGATGAGCCAAACAAGTTTACCAAATTTCGGTAAAATTGCCAAAGAAAATACCCAACACGTTGCTCAACATCCACAAAGTAGGTACGTTAAAAGATAAAAGATGGGGTACCGAAAGTAAAAGCTTCCACCATTGCCAAGATAACTCTGGAGGGTCTCCTGTGTCTATCTGCAACACAAGAGGATAATTCAGGTGTGCGTATAATATCCAAGAGAATATCGACGATGAAAATACCAGACTATGTCTTGTTTGAAGTGTTTAAAAAGCCCTGCTCCCACCATAATATCATGAAAGATAACCGATCTTTATAATTTCTTGAAATTTTCAGAGTTTTCTTTGCATAGAGAGGTAAGAACATGGAAAGTTTCAAGAATGGACGTTGAGTTGTTTTCCATGTAAAAAATAAAGTATAACAGGAAGTCTACAACGTCTCAAACCGAGATACAAGGTCTGGTAGTTTCACCACCGATATCTTTGTTATTCCCGGCATTGTTCGGAATTTTAATATTTCTCGATTTGCAGTGCAAGGTCCAGCCCTGCATAGCCTGATTGTTGAAATGTTTTGCTTGTTGCCTGGACCAAGACGAGACTAAGGTGGAATGAAGTTACGAAGTTAGTCGGATTTGTCAATGCTCTCGTCCGATGGAATTGATGAAAAAATAAGGGCATCTCTTGATTTGCCCACCCTGAAAAAAAATTCTAGGCGTTTTTACCAAGGTCCGTTGGTACCTTTACCATCTCACTTTTTTTAACCAATTATTGGTAATTTTACCAAGACAGACTGGTAAGCTTACCTAAAAACGGTGTTTTTACTGTTTTTTTTTAGGTAAGAATACCACTTTTATTGGTAATCAATTCCCGGTAACTTTGCCATTTTATCTCGGTAATTCTACCACAGTCGATACAAAATATTGGCGTTTTTACCAAGGTCCGGTAAAATTACCGAGAAAGTTCAATAATTTTACCGAGATTTCTTGGTAAAATTACCAATTCCATAAACGGTAATTTTACCAAGAAAAAACTGGGATCAAATAGAACCCTGAATTCTTGGTAATTTTACCCTTTTCTTGGTAAATACACCGAGATTTTTTTTTCAGTGCATGTCGTCCATTCCATCCGGCATAGGCATGACAAAAAGAATGATTGACGTTACAATTCCAATAGTAGTAATAAATAATCTGTCTTCGGGTACAGCATGACTCTGTATAATTTGCTCTCAACCATATTTTATTTAGAAGAATGTCGGGAACGGATCGTTTTCATGTACCTAGATATCAGAAAAAGTACCTATAAACTTTCCTGAATTCATATTCCTCTTCCTCCTTTTTAGGAAAACTAATTTTATTATTTTTCTAAGCAAAAATTGGCGATAGCATCGTTTTTTTTTTACACGTTCCTTTGACATTCCCGAATGGACAAATAGATAGAGCAATGGAGCCTTTAAGAATAAGTTTTCTCATTTGATGTCGAGGTTTTAGGAAATTGTGAAATAATCCACGAAAAGGTGAACCAGTGAGTAAAAACAAAACCATCCCTGAGTGATTTAACGGCCTAAAATATCAAAGGACGTCTCTCGAATAAAAGCCAGCGTCCTAAAACCGTACAGGTTGTCGAGTCGCTTGTATAGTTTACAGCTGCTAGTTAGCAGGTTTTTCTACGACTCTGTATTTTAATTTAGGTATATTCGCGCTAAAAATGAAGGTACCAAGAACTCTTGACCTAATTTTGAGGTTGTGTCCTCAACTGCGTGTTATACTCATAGGTTCTTGTAGGGTCCGTCACAGCTTGTAAACTGCTGCTGTCAAATGAGAGGTTACTTATCGGTGTAATTTTGTAAGATTGCAATAATCGCCATAATTCAAGTGCACGAACAAGTAGAATTAAAGGTAAGGATTAGCCACACAAAATAGTAAAGTAAGGCAATATCTATTTACAGTATGATACGGTATAAATGGTATATAGAGGTTAAATTTAAGAGTGCATCCTCTTAAACTTCCTCTTGAAAATCTCTGAGTTAGTTTCACGCAGGAAGGAAAATATTTTTTTTTCGGAAAGGAAATCGCAATGTTTAGCTTGGACTGTTTTAATTTGAACATTTTATTGTTTGAAGTCATTACTTGACAGTATTATTAATTACCTATTCTAAAAATACAATTAATACTACTTTTGAATCTACCAAAATTCGCAATTTATGTCCATTCAACATGTGAGATGAAATCCGATACATCATTTAAAAAAAAAGGGAAGTTGACAAACCCTCCATCTCTAGACTTTACCCCTTGAAAATAATACCTATGCAAGGAGGCGTTATCCCTACAGAGTCGATTTTGCAATTTGCTAACAGTGTTTTTCCTCCATTTAAATACATTAAAAATATCGATATTAGGTGAGGTAAGCTTCCCCACCAAGGATCGATTGTTTTACATACATTTAAATGGAGGAAAATCAGTGTTACCAACTTTCAAGAATCGCTCCTTGACAGCCAAAGCTCGCCCTTTATGTTCTCTGGGGCACAATAGGAATTTCTATGGCAATGGCTTCTCTTGATATCATATGTATATGACAGGGTAAAATGACCCTACCCTTCTTGAAGATGGTTGTTAACTTTTTGTAACTCAGTACCCCATCTCCGTTGAGACCTCCCTGTTTCATAAATTTTGATGTTACATTTGTTGTACCCTTTTCTCCCGTGTTACGTGCGCATTTTGGTAGAGTAATGTGCAGAGTTGGAGATACTTCTAGTGTTAGGAATACTTGAAACTACTTTGTAAAAATAAATCGTGCTGTTGGAGTGACAGTTTGAGTGCGGAAGCTGATTACTTGAGACATATCATTTTATGCCTATTGGATTACAAAAATAATTTACAGGATAGAATTTTTATTTCGTCTTATGTAATTTAAGCAAGTTTTTTTGTTGTCCAATTGTGAACAATTAACGTAAATAAAATTATTATTATTATTATTACTGAATCTCACGAGTTCTGCCTTATTTACAGACCACCACATTTTTGGAGGGAGAGATTTATCACGATCACTCTTACTTCAAATCAGTCACATCTCTTGTCAGATTTTGACACGGAACACCCTTTCATGCGCCTAATTTTGTAGTGACGTAAAAGGTCTTTCATACATACTAATGATACATTTTATGACTTTGTCTAAAATTGCTTCGGGTACAGAGTTTGCACCATACTTAACCACGGAGAATTAGTTTCTCTAAAATAAAAACTTTTTTTTTTTTTATCGTGAAACTTAGACATGTCCATTGAACATCCAGTTAGTGAAAATTCAGTCATTACAGGTTTTTACATGGAAAAAATTCTTAATAATAAAGTATGATGCAGTATATCTTAGATCAAGAAACTTGTTAGGTAAAAGTTATCTTGTGAATATGCAACAACAGTAACGTCTTTTTGACTACACATAGAAATCGGGGAAGAGGAAGTTTAAAGTCAAAATTTTGACATTTTCTTAAATTGTGGAAAATCAGCCATTCTGTCTTGAGGCTCTAAGACCGAATGTTGAAATAATTTCCCTTCACTGCTGCCATTTGTAGAACAACAATGCAGAAGGTGTCCTTACTGGGATCAGCTTCCTCTGTCCATCTCTGTTGTTGTATACCATGTATTCCCGTCCATTGATTGTAGTGTGCATTCCAGGAATTTTAGTAGGATGCACCTGCAAATAATAAAAGATCAAGGGGTAATCCTATGTTTACGTGTACACTCTATTATAGTGTGCAGGGGCAATTTTCCCCCTTAATTGGACCTATTTCTGCCAAACGGGACTATGTGCATTTTAACGTGAGCCCTGTTGAGCATACACTCTTAACGGTCTCAGGGCTCATGTCTTCATGTTTATAGTTCCGTTTGATAGAAATACGTCCAATTATTTGAAGAGCTTCCGGGTATTTTCACTATAAATAAAACGCGATTGCAAAAATTTTCATCAAAGGTATAAACGCGCTTACAGTGATCCTTAAGAACAGTACAATTGCAATGCTTCTTATAAAGGCAATTAATAAAAATGTAAATAGAGAGAGGAAAAATTAGTCGGATTTTACCCCAAATGACAATTATCACTACAGAGTGTACGGACTACAAATGTTTCAAAATCATGCGTTCATTGACACGAACTCCGCGAGTTTGAATAATCACGCCAAACTCAGTGTAGCCGCGCAGCCGGCACGAGACCCATCTTCGCGCCTGCGAGACTGCAGGAATACTTCAAGCATTGCGCGTTAGGTGCGGTGCTGGAAGTATTCCTACAGCCTTGTAGAACACGAGTGTGCGTATTCGTTTCGCATCGGCCACACTGACACTCTACCGTGCTAAGAAAAAACGGTGTATGAACATTCGAGAGTTGCCAAATTTCCTCCGATAAAATGTCCATTTTTGAGGAGAGTTGTGAATATTGTCACCTGAGATTTTAAGATAATTTAGATCTAGCAGCGAATGAAATTTTCTGAAAAATTGGCGGGAAAATCTTCACAGATTTCCTCATAAATTCATATTTTATGGAAGGAAATTTGGCAACGTCTGAAGGCTCATACGGCATTCTTCCTTAGCATGGCAGCACTGTGTTTGGCGCGATTGTTCAAACATGCGGAGTTAGTGATTTTCACTTAAAATTATAAAGTAAATTAGGTAAAATCCGAATATTTGTTTTTCTTCATTCACATTTTTATTAATAGCCTTGAATAGAATCATTTAAAGTGCATTTTTCTTAAGAAATACTATATGCACGATTCCTCTCGGTAAACATTTTTGTGATCGCGCTTATTGACACGTTCGGCGCAGAATAGGCATTCCTGTTTGCGGTGTTTCAGAATCGCCACTATGAGATTTCAAATTTTAGAGAAGAGGCAATTCCGTGAATTTTCTAGATTTGTTTCTTTTTGAGCAGTGTAAAACCATGAAAAAAATTCAACGTATGCTTCAAAAATCCTATAAATGTGCTTCAGTCATTATGGATAAAACGATAGCGGAGATTCTGAGACATCGCTACCAATAAATGCCCTTTCTGCACGCAGCGCGCCTCAATTATACTGCCGTGTAAGGTAGAGTCCCTTTATACTGAGAGTCAAGACAATGTGAATCCATTTCTGATTGGTTCCCGTATTTTAGGCATTATTAGGCAATTACGGGTTCGGCAAGGAACAAACGGAATGAGAGCGGGAACGGAGAGAGAATTTGAGAATGAGCCGATCAAAGATTACAAAAAACGTTCAATTTCTGTTATCTTTATTGCCGTTTGTGACTCCATGAGGGGGTGTTGTCTTGACTCTCAGTATAAAGGGACTCTATGCTAAGGAAGAACGCCGTATGAGCCTTCAGACGTTGCCAAGTCTCCTTCGATAAAAACCGAATTTACTACTGCCAGCTTCCGGAGGATCTCTACCATGACAGATTCCTGTGGCGAGTAGGCGTTCCGGAGCGCCCTAGCGCGCCGTGGAAGTGGCTTATACATACATTCATGTAAAGACAATCCAGTGAGATTTCTCTGCAGAAAATAAAATGGCGAGAGAAATTTTGAAACGTCGCATGAGGGTTGTGATACTTTGGCCAGAGGGTGACGATACAGTCTAGTGGCTTCACCGTGGCGTCGGCATGTATCCCTGATGTAGTATCAAGGTGACGGGATTGAACTCACCTTGAGGTTCATGAAGTGGCTGAAGGGGTTCATCTTGGGCTTGGCGTCGACGATGCCGACCTTGTCGTTGTTGGGCCACAAGAAGACGTCCTCCTCCGGGTGGTAGCGTCGGATGATGAACTCGAAGAGGAAGACGAGACACGCACTCGTGAATCCGCCCAGGATGACGAAGTAAGTCGTCGACAGATCTGAGTTCCGGAGCTTCCTTTCCATGCTCCCCAGATCCAGTGGACAAATCGTCGCGTCAGGCAGGTCTTTCGTCAGCAAGTGCTTGATTATACCCGACTCCACGTACGAAAGCATTCTGGAATCCCAGTTAAATGGATAAGTCGAAGGCAATGGAGATGTTGCGTGTTTGAGGAATTTGCGATTTGACTATTGATACGTATGTAAAAGTTCGCGAGAAACACGATGGTCCCACTGGTTTTCTCTGAAATCAACTCCCAAGCTCAAAAAAAGCTCTCAAGTTGAAGCCAAAATGGAGGGGATATCCCACGTTATCCTAAGAGTCCACCTCAATGTCATTGAAATCTCTCAAGTTGAGAATTTGTCTTAAAGTGGGCCAGCGGAAACGCACGCTATTATTGAAGAAGTGAAGATTCTGACTTTTTTTGTCGAATAAGAAAACGTACAGCAAAACAGTTTAACCTAATTCTTAATTTACGATACATTTAAAATAATCAAAAAGAAAACTGCACACGCTCAGCCTCTTGAGACTTTCCAGTTTTCAATAATTTGCGGGAAGTGCTTTTTTTACTCACATAGGATTGAATATTCTCGGAAGAATGCTGTTCTTGGGGTAGACAAAAGAGAGAGATGCTGTCAAAAATTTCTCCAACGTCAAAACGAACTGACAGTGCTGTTCACCCTCTTGGACGCGTTTCTCCATGTTCAGCATGAAAAAGTTGAGCCAAAACCGGTCTTGCAGGAACAAAGCCCCTACAAAAATTCATTTAGGAAGATCAAAATTTAAAGTATTGATTTTGAGAAAACAACACTACCGCTAAAAAAATACATTATATAAAACAGTTATCGTCCTCCGTGTTTCGACATCAGAAGCATTAAATAAATGTATACCGCTGATTAATCTGTTTCAAATATGTCCAGGCCCCTTTTCGCCATGTTGTTGAACTGGTACGGTATTTGAACGCATTGCCACTAGTATACTAGGATTCTAGAGGGATTTTGAAATAAAAAACCACTCCCTTTCGGCTGAGTGTTTAAAACTACTATTTTTGGCTAATTAAAGAAACAGCACAAGAATCGTATGTTTTTTCATACATATAGGTGCTTCAATGGATGAACTACCCTGCTAAAAATGACGAGTGGGCTATTCAGAATTCGCCAACTCACATGAGTAGAAATTCCTACTTATATGCATAGAAATTCTACTCATATCACTAGAATATTCTACTCACAAGAGTAGAAAAGTTCAACTCATATAATTCAATTTTTTTTATTTTTCAGAAGTGCTGTGTTTGACCTGGAGATACCGCCATAGAACGTAAATTTGAAAAATAAAAAAGTTTTGTTCTTATGATTTTTTTTGATGCGATAACTAGTTTCTGAGATATCGGACACGGTAGATTCAACACTGAACTCATGTGAGTTGAAATCTCTAGTCATATGAGTTGGCGGAAACTGGATGGAGAAATTCTGATCATCTAAGTTAAATTCTATTCATATAAGTTGAAATTCTATTCTTATGACTTTGATTTTCTACTCATTAGTACTCACCATTTTTAGCAGGTCAGAAATAATAATTTCACATAGGGAAATGCAGTCCATAAACATATACACGAAAAACATTACAAATATTATTATTCGTCATAAAGATGAATTGAAAAATGATTCTATGGGAACGAAGTCACTCACCGTCCATGACAAGGTCAGCAAGATGATCTTGATCTATCTCTGTCAGATTAATGTAAGAGCCTCGACCTCTATTGAGTGATTTGCGCAGAACTTGTAATTGATCGTCCATCTAAAATTATGTTGAAATTCTCTTAGTCAAAACATGCCTCGCACTCAGAAACTCAAAGTAGGCCCTCGATCAAATTGTTGCTAGGATTTTTGAAATGTTGCAATCTCAATTGTGCGATAGAGTTGTACTGAAATTTTAATTATATACAACAGCGATGAAAGTTCTTGAAAGTTTGCAACATTGATTTTCCTCCATTTGAATCCAGTTTAGAAACCGACTCTAAGTGATGCAGTGTGCTTTGTCTACAATCGATTGTTTTGCATACATTTAAATGGAGGAAAACCAGTGTTGCCAAGTTATTATCATACTCTCAATGTGAAATATAGTATACTTGCTTTTCGATAGCTGGATCTTTTCACACAAAAGATATAGTCTACTGAGAAGTCTATATGAACAGAAATCAACCTGAGTATGAACTTTTTTAAAAACGATTCCTCTCCATTTCTCGAGCTCAATGGCGTGGCGTGTTTGCAATATATCGATCGATCCGCCATTTAAACCTATGGAGAAAGATCGAAATACAGGGTGTTCGCAACGAACACCTTACAAATCTATTTTTCACCGTACCTTCAAAATGGGGAAATATCGATATGCGATCATTCACCTCACGCTCACGCCACTGCTCGAGCTTCAAGCAATTCAACACTGTAAGAAAGTTCTGATCCCGTCAAAAGTCTCTCGCTTAAATTTGGCAACCTTGGGAGGTTCAAGGTTTCAGGACATTCCGTCAACGATTTTTTGTCCGGACACCTGTTTAGTCCAGTAATTTACGTCTACACGTAAAATAAGAAACAGTGACTTGGTCCAAAGTTTATATATTTCAGTCTGTATGTAAAATTATATTGACAATATCGAATTAGAAAATTGAGAGAGGAGAAGGTGTTGGTATGGTTTTTAAATGAAATGTTACTTTCTACTTTTGATTGATCTTTCAAATTTTCATTGGTGAATATTTGGTTTGATTTCTATCTATAAAATTGTCGATTTAAAATATTCCGTATATATATATATATATATACACCTTTTTTTAAATGATAATATTACTTCATTTTAAAAACCTTATATTTTCAAAACGTGGCAAACATTTGTAAAACATTTTCCAAGCGATGGCGTTGATACTAATTTCGATGAGCCGTACTTGTGTTGAAAGGAACTGTACAAAAATGAAAAAGAGAAAAAAAACAAGCAGTGAACTCCAACACAATGTGTTGATAAGGCGCGTCATTAACTCGCACATATCAACCCCTTTAGTTTTCATTTACAGAGATTTCAAAATAGGCAAACAGCATAAAAAGAGAATTCACGATCCAACACTGCGAGGTCAAAGACGCACCTTGACGAGACCGTGTATTGTGAAAGTAGAAAGCTATTCGATCGAATTTAAGTTTTTTGATCTGCCTCAAGCAAAATCTTATCAGATTCTTGAAGAAAAGTGCTACGGAATAATTTAAGCGAAGAAAGGAAAAATTCTGTCGAACTCCTAGAAGATAAAGTCGATTTAAAGGTATTTTGGGGCTAAAATACCCAAATCACCGGTAGTAAAAATCCCGTTATATTATTGAAAAGAAATTGACTCGATATAAATGCAATTGCATTAAATACGTCTTGATTTTGTTATTTTAAACGTCTTTCCATGCAAAGAAGTTCAACCATGTCGTTGCTTTATTCATTCATGAATTGAAAGTAAGCAATCTACATCCCGAAAATCTACTGATTTGCCGTAAAAAATTGCAGAAACTTGATATACCAGGTCGATGCACCCACTCGTTGAATTTACCAACCAATTTTGTGAGTGCAAATGTGTAAGAATCAATATGCTATAGTCATTTTGGGTGCATTTATTTTTCATGAAACAATAATAATTTCAATCCCGAAAAACCATCAATTTTCCGTATAAAATCGAAAAAATCAAAATATGTCAACTCCCCGACGTGAAAATTAGATTCTACGTATGTAAAATGTAAATACTTATGTATCGATATGCTGAACAGAACTATGTGTGGACAGTCAGAAGCCCGCGGCAACATTAATTCAACAGAAAAACTGTAAAAATTAGATAGGATTTTAGCCGCTTTGCCCGCCTCTCCTCGCTACTTACAACAAACCGTTCTTATACTCATCTCAAAATTTTTCTCAGAGCTTTGGGTTATTATCAGCTTCCATTTAAACTCCGGTTCGATGGCCGAATCGGCTGCCAAAAAAGCAAGCCACTGTTGAGGGGTTCTATGAGAAATTCGTGATATTATCGGCTCTCAGGAAATCACCCCATGGCTAAAATTGGTGGTATAAATGTTTAAGTGCTTAAAATAATCGTATTCAAGAAACTAAGGAATTAAACTATGGAGTCAATTTCTTTTTAATAATATAACGAATTTACTACCGGTGATTTAGCTATTATAGCCCCAGAATACTTTTAAAGCGCCTTTGCGTTCCAGAATCTCGACGGAATTTTTTTTTTTTTTTTTTTTGCTTAAACGATTCAAGAAACATTGTAGTTAAAAATATAAAGATTTTTCGATTTGGACGTATGAAAAATGTTTAACTCGTTCAGGCACACCGTGTATTGTATGGAGTACTGCTGTTATTCGACCGTTGTCTTCAGGTCAAAATTCTTACAAAGAAGCCCCTTGCAAGAGGCAAATTTTTTGTAATTTCTCCCAGTTTTTTCAGCGTTAGGTATATAAATGAATTGTTTGTCAAATTTTGAGGTCAATTATATTTAATTGTAATTTATACTTTCTTTTTTTCCCCTTCATTTTATTTTTCGTATCGAGGAGTCGAGGTTTTGTTGATTTCTTCGGATTTCGATTACTGTAACTTCTCTTCTATTCGGCCGATTTTTATGAATGAGGTCTCTTTTTATTTGTGTTTTAACGGAGAGTAAGGAAAAAATTGCTAAATACATGCGAAACAATTTTTTTTGAAAATTGGATGAATCCTAGCGTGACGGTGAAATGGTTAATGAAGCGTGAGTAATTGGGGTACGGGTATCGGCCGCGTTGGGACCCAAGGCCCATTGTTCTTCGTGACGCCGACGCAGTGATCAGGAGCGTGGGGACGAGAGGGCTTAGTGGACTCCTGTATGAGCCACGTTTAGCAAATGGTCTAATGAGTCTCGAGGCTCATCACAGATTGCACTTACCACTATCCTGGTGGCCCCGGCTATCAGAGCAAGGAGTACCAACTTTTGAAAAGGATAACAGTGTTGTGGAGATATGTCAAAGCAACGTTGTGAACAAAACGGAGTGAGTGAAATTCTCATTCAAGGAGTGCCGAACTGGTCAGCCATCCTCGAATCAGTTCGCTTGCTTCCGCTTATATATGCATATTTTAAATCAGCGCGCCCCATTCTAAGGTTTTTTTAAAAAAAACCAAGAAACGTAGACTCTTGGTATTCATTACACATAAACTAGCGAGCCCCAGAATGAGAAACAAATTTTAATCATTATTATTGACGGATTAGTAAACTTTTTACACGCTTTGGAAAATCTCAGAAGTTTGCGGTAGTCACTTTTCGGTAAGGAACTAGGGGACTCGGTTATTGTATCGAGGGGGGGGGTCGAAACGATCGCAAAGGCGGTATACTACGTATACGCGCCAAAAACCAAGGAGGACGCAATCTTTGGTTTTAACCCACTTTTACATCGATCCTTTACAGTCAAACACGTCCAATTTTGAGCGTTTGATTGCGAATACACCACGCTGCAGCACAGTAAAAGCACAAAATATAAAAGAAATATTAAAAAGCTTTAAAAATCATTAGATTAGACACGGAACCACTTTAATATTTTCAAAACACACGTTATATTTTCCTTTAATGATTTTTTTTTCCCTCATCAATTTAAATGAGAATAATCCGTGCAGAGCGTGCAAACATTTCAAAATCATGAGTTGAAAAACGCTGACACCACGAGTTTAAATATTAGAGCCTAACACAGAGCAAAATGCGCACTGGCGCCTACAAACCTAACTGGATACTTCACGCGTTGCGCAATGCGTGAAGTATCCCTGTTAGGTTTGTAGGCGCCTATGCGCGTATCACGCGATCGCCCGTCGCGTCGCGCAGTGCTACGGCGTTTCAAGCAACTATTTCGAGACATAGGTGTTGCACAGTATCATAGGCTCTCCAACGTATCAAGAATGACAAGCTTCCTTTCAGGGTACAGAGCTTGCCTTGCAAAATAAATCGAGATACTACGTTATAAAAAGAGAGTGGTAATCTAAAAAAACTCACTTAGTCTCAGCATCCGTTTTTAATAACGTTTAGCCAGCATAATTTTTGAATTTCATTGGAGAACAATGTGACTCGATTTAGGCAGAAACATTATTGAGTATGCCGTCAAGAAGATTTTATTTTGAATCAAGAATAAAATAGCTGAATGAAAGCGGGTTTCTGCTTGATCTAAGTGACTTTTCTTTTTATTTAAGCATCCTTTTTTCTCTAAAGAGGCATTATTTTCTGTATTGATTTATGAGGAAATCTTCTTGGCGGTAAATTTGAGTTAATTTCTGCTTGAATCAAGTCACTTTTTCCTTTAATTAAGTTCAAAAATTATGCTAAACGTTACTGGACCAGATACTTGGACTTAGCAAGTTTTGCGGCTACAGCTCCCTTTTTTTCGTCGTCACTCGATTTAATTTGCGAGGGAGCTTCGTGCTTTTGAGAGATGCCATCAATCATGATACGTTGGAGTGCATTCAATCTTGTATGATACTGTGCAACACCTTCATGGCGAAATAGTAGTTCGAAGCGCCGCGGCACGCCGGCGCCGTCGCGAAGTTATCGTACACAGAAGAAATCTAAGAGCCTTCAGCTGAGGAAAATCAAAAGGTTCATCCGATTCAGGTATAAGAAGATGGGATTTTCTTGAAAGACAATTAAGTCCTGTTGCACCAAAAAGGTGTAGAGAGTTTTAGTGAATTTTCCCTCATGGAATTGACGCCAAAATTCTCAATTATATATTTGTTTCCGTTTGGCCAACCAAACAAACAAAAAACGAGCAAACCCTCATTTTTCCAAGACATTATACATTTCATCCAAAAACGTCGTGAGCAAATGTTGTTTGTATTTACATGTAGACCAATTAACTTTGGGTCTCAATAATTGGTAAGTGCATGGACCAAAACTCCCCTGCCGAAAAAACGCGTGGACTTAAACTACTGGAAAAAACAAGTGTTCGGACAAAATCTCGTTGACGAAATGTCCTATAACCTTCAAAAATCAATAAATCAGAGCGACAAGATTAGTTTTTTGTGGTTTTACACGAATCTACATAACTTGATTTCAGTGGCGTGGCATGCTTTGCGATGTATCGATGATTGATCGGCCGCATTTAAACCAATGTAAAAGGATCGATAAATATGGTGTTAGCAACGGACACCTTAATAATCGATTCTTTACCTTAGCTTCATATGGGGAAATATCGATAATCGATCTTTCTCGCCACTCCACTGCTTCATTTAACTGGTGGAAATTTTTCGATTAATGGAGACCATAACGAAAGTGTAGAAACATATGGAATAATATACGTAAACATATCATATCAATATTTTCATTAATTCACACTTCGGTGTAACGTATAAGGGTGGTTTCACGATAACTGGAATAGTTTTGTCGCCGTAACAGACAACACATTTTTCGGTCATATTGTTAGTAGAAATGATAATCACTCGCATTTTTTCGCATTAATCTTCAAAGGGTTACGTATTATATCGCTTTCTAATGATTTATTGCTCTACTTCTCAATTAATATTACGCCGTGAATTCCGAAAATGTGCTGTCTCTTACGCGTTAAAAAGTCAGCGAAACAGACAGCACATCTTCGGCCATTTATATATTAAAATTGAAAAGTAGAGCGATAAATCTTTGAAAAGCGTTATAACACGGTAACCCTTTGAAGATTAATGCGAAAAAACTCGAGTGATTATCATTTCCACTAAAAATATGACCAGGGCCGGATTAAGGGGATGGCCACATGGGCCGCGGCCCATGGCGGCAAAATGTAGTGGGCGGCAAATTTTGCATCTTTTTGAATGTAGGTATCAAAAAAAGAGAGAAAAAAATCGGATTTAGAAAATAAATTACAAACGAGAAAAGACGACAAAATCTCTCATTTCCTCATAGTAAAAGTATAGAAATTTCTAATTTTGTCGTCTCTCGGTGATACAAGAGACAACACCTTCAATTAGTCGAGTTAAAAGAGAAACCAAACACGCTATTTGACCTGGAACGGAGCGGCGCGGCGGTCAGCATGAAACACATAGCGCCTACAAGACTGCATGAATACTTCCCGCATTGCGTCAAACACACTGCAGTCAGCAGCAGTCCGCCGGAAACGCATAGCGCCTGCAAGACTGCACGAATACTTCACGCATTGCGCCAACACAGTACGGTCGGCGCGGCGATGGAAGTTAACATTTTTAACCACATTTATGTTTGTTCTTTCATAATTTTTTTGTTCGATTTTTATAAATAGAAGGCCTTGTCCAAACAGGGATGGGTTTACGGAACTGAACTTTTGTTAGTGTTGACAGGGCTTTCACAAAAAATGTACCCAACACGAGTAAACGCGTCTCATACACCCCTCCCCCACCGGCAAGATAATTAACTGTGCTCTTCCATAGTTCATTAGGTCAATAGTGAACCGAGCACCAGTTTGATCTATATGAGTATTTTTCACCTGAACGGAGTACTCCACAGCAGCGCCTTTTTCAGCCATCCATTTGCCGTACCAAGCGATATCGTCAACGGTGTGGATTGACAGAGTGAACTTCGAGAGAGTCAAAAAGGCGGTTAAGTTAGCTGTGTAGAAGGCCGTCAGGATCATGATGAAAATCCACCACCCGGCGAACAACACCCGCGTCGAATCTGCACACATCAGAAGAATTTGATCAAATTTTGCAATAAGGAACCACTATCACTGGCTCCCCCATGCAAGCACATATGGATCGCATTTAGCAAAAAGGAACCAGCGTGATTACAGTGTTTTCAAAATCGTGCAACTTCTTTTTTTTCTTTTAAAAATGCTAAAAATATTTTCAGCATTAAAATTTACACAATTATTTCCCTTTAACACGAACAATTTTTTGATGGGATGCAAATAATATTTGCTATTTTGGGGGATCTTGTACAGAATTATGAAGGAGCAACATTTTAACAACCCTATAATTGCGCTGGATCCTTTTTGCTAAATGCGATCCATATCTGCAGTACATAGAAGCAAAAAAAAAGGAAGAAACAGTGGAAGCAAGGCTAAAATACATCAAAATACATGGGACGTTTAGATGTCTCACGACACAATTATCAACCGCTAAAAAGGTACAAAAATAAAAAAGAAATTAAAATTAAAAGATACCAGCAAGGCGTTACATAGTGTTTGTGACAGATGAAAGCACATATCTGCATATGGAAACCAATGGCATGTATGTTGTTTCTAAAATGGGCCATAAATAGTGGTTCCTTCTTGCAAAATATAATCCAGTTATTCAAGAGTTGAAAAACACCCGATGGACGTATACATATCGACGGTAAACAATTTTCATTTATCTTTTTCATCCATCGCGTTGTCTTTGAATGTAAATAATCAGCCTGCAGAGGCTATATCTCGGGTTCCGATAATTCAAGCTCACCGTGAATTGGAGACAGGGTTGAGCCTTGCTTCATGAGAGCTCCGTAAACGAACCAAACGCAGTCGGCCAGTGAGAACACCTGAGAAGGGCCGCACATCCAGGCTCTGATTTTCATTATTACCCATATCACTGGACCAGTGAAGATAACTGCAGCCAATATGAAAAACCATACCTGGAAATCAGGCCAATCTTGTGTGTCAAATGGGACACGGTTCAAGGGATCAAATGTAGAAAATTGAAAATTGTGCATGTGACCATCCAAAACCTTAGGCCTTTGGTGATCAAAACCTCAAAATCAGGTTTTAATTATATGGAAATTTTAAGCTACTTTTAGTAGATGTCAAAGATTCTGATGGCCAAAAAGCGAAACCACACATCTCCGTTTGCGATGTTGCAAATTTCCTGTGATTCTTTATTTTTCCTTTAAAAACTAGTCAACGTAATTTCTTGAAACCTTCCTTAATTTATTTTCTCTGCTACCAGAATATTCTGTAGAAACTTCAAGCCATACAAATGGCTTGTCCTTCTTCGGGAAAATTAAGCAGGAGTAGAAACTATGAAATCTCATAGTGGAGATACGTGTTTCATCACTTCAGCCATCGAATTACAGGTTATTGAAAAGGATTCAAAATTTTTTTCTTGATAATCTGACCGCAAGCGTGGCGAATCATACAGTATGCTTGATTGAGTGGTGTTTCTGCCAACACTTCGAACCTTAATTTAATTAAAACTGATGACTATCGATTTTGTATTTTAGCTCAAGAGGACGATTGCTTCGGCCTGCGTTTTAAGTAGGGACGAATCATTTCAACCGATGGAACTCCAAACCACGTATCTGGCTTTAAGACGTAGCAGACTTCCTGCCATAGGTACTTTATTTTTTCTTTAAAAAAAAACTACATAACGTTCAATCTTTAAAATTTTTGTGATTTTATCACTTTGCGCGAAGAAAAATATGTGAAAACTTCACGCAATGATGCTGATTCGCTTTCAGTCAAAAAGAATATACGGCGGTGAAGATTTTTAAACAAAGCAATTGACATTCTATGCTGAGAGATTTTAGATAAGATCGTCATTAGACTTGTTATGAAAAATGGAAGCTTGTGGTAAAAATTCCCACAAAGAAGGTAAAACTAGAAATAATGAAATTACTCCCCCCCTCCTTGGAGGATGACAGTACTTCCTCTACCCTAGGGGAGCGAGAAAGTAAAAATGCTGGGGTCGGTAATCCTGAAAATTTCCAGTAAAAATCCCTACGAAGGAAAGTGCGAAAAATGATTCGGTTTCTTTGAATTTTTACCTCTCTCGCAAAAGGCGCCAAAAGACCTGATCCTGTGGCCGACTCACTTGGACGTCGGGTCAAAATCACGTACTCATACTGACAAAGCTCTGCTCCCCACTCCAACACGTTCTCCAAGTCTGGAAGGTTTGGGACGAAGGCTGCTACCATGTCGGCTTGCTGCAAAGATACATACATACATACAAGTCGCTTTACAGCACAAAGACGTTAATAGCCTAAGTCGCTGAATGTCTCAAAATCATAATAACTAACTAACTAACCTCCCTCGCGCTCTACGACTCCTAACCTCCACTGCTCTCTTTCAAACCACAAATCTTGGGGGATTGAGCACCTCAACATTTCTGCTTCAATCCCGTCCCTCCAACCTTTCATTGGGCGCCCTCTGCGCCCCTTCCCCCAAAATTTTCAGAAAATTTTGTACGTAATTTAATCTAAAAATTTCAAGAGAAAATGTGCAGGAATTTCATTAAAAATGCATGTTTTATCGAGGCAAATTTGGCAACTCTCGAATGTGCATACGGCGTTCTTCCTTAGCACGGCAGTATAATGGGGCCAGTAACTTGAAATGGAGGGGACGAAACGCTGCACCTGAGCTGCTGTAATCGCAAGGAATACGAAACGCCTTCAATTTTTGTGCCGTAACACGCTTATCCACAGAACACGAATTGTTGCATGCATCCGTTTACAGTAACTTAATGTCCGTTTCTCGGCCTCTGATACCATGCTAATACGATGATTTCTCTTGGTGTGCTAAGAAAAAACGACTTGTGAGCATTTGAATGTTTCCAAAAAATTTTCCGATTAAATATTTACCTCTTGGGAGACTTATGAATATTTTTCCTTGAAATTTACAGATACGTCGGATGTAATGGCGACTAACATTTTCTAAAAAATGGAAGAAACATATTCACTATTTTCTTTTTCGAGGAAAATTTTGTACGCTCGCGTTGTTCCTTAGCACAGTAGCCTCGGTCCATCTCAGTGGTTTCCACGTTCAAAACGGTGTTTTACCAGTTTTGAACATGTGGACACCACATCATAGCATCATGAGGAAATCTCTGATGATCCACTTGGCGTGTCAAAGTAAAACGTTCAAAAAAAATTTCGATAGTTTAATGTGACCTTATTTCAAAAAATGAAATATGAAGAAGAAATAAAAACAAAAGTATTTTGAAATTCTATCATAAAACAATCAAAACAGATTGAAAACCCCCAAAAACATCTCTATATTGCAATCTACAGTAAAGAGCCTTGTATAAATCACAACGAAAAGAACTTCAATTTTCATCTTTAAAATCTAGGAAATATCTACAACGTCTCTGGAGAACCATCTATTGTTTTTTTTTTTTTTTTTTTTTTTTTTTTTTTTTTTTTATGGAGCGGTAAATCAGAAATAGAACAAAAACATTTGTTTGTAGACTTATCATTTTTTTTCAGAATCCGAGAATAAGGGACGAAGGCTTTGAAACGAGGGTAAATAAATATAGAAACATTGTTGTCAAATATAGCAAAAGCTCGTTTTCTTCACATTCTTTCTCAAGGGGAAAAAATCGGAGGAATCTTGGCGAAAATGAGACACTGTAAAGAGGTGACTGGGTAACGACTAAATGTTGAATAACAATCAATTAGGCGAATTGTCAGCGCGGCACATTCTGCCCTCGAAGTCTTACGGACGAAAATCGCTCCTTCATTCGTGCTTTAAGCAAGCTGCGCTATATCCACTCTCGTCATAGTCCTAGGACGTGCATTTAGAACATTTTATGCAATTTTTTTCAACCTTTTCCTTCGTTCTTTGAACTGCAAACTTTGAACCGCCATCGTCCCAAATTGGTTGCAATTCAGAGCGTTTTTCATCTCAAAACCTTTGTGAAAAATTCTTTTATGCTCTGATTTTGATGACCAAATTATTTTGAGCTTTTATGAACTAAGGTCTCATTACCCGTGCTACCGTGCTGAGAGAAAACGCCGTATACATTCGAGAGTTGCCAAATTTTCTTCGATGAAATGATTGTTTATTAGGAAAATTATGAATATTTTTTCTTCACACTTTTAGACGTTTTGGATCAAATTACAAACAAAATTACTTGCAAAATTTGTAGACAAAGATTCAAAAATTTTCCTGAAAATTTGTGCTTTGCCAGAGGGAATTTGGCAACGCCTGAAGGCTCATACGGCGTTTTTCCTTAGCACGGCAGCGTAAACGGTCTTATTCTTTTGAATTTGATGAGTAATCCACGGAAAGTTCTAAGGCATGATTCCTGCCAGCGATCATCCAAAAAATGAAATATAAGAATACACTGTTCAACGTTCGAGTGCAACCAATTTCTTCCCGGCTTAAATCTGCTGAATTTACTCTACTCGCTGAAGCACAATTTTTTCTCTTTCCCTTGCGACTCCAATCCTGCTTCATATCCTGGTGATTTTTGAAGTGTCGTTGAGCTTTAGGGGCAGGTTCTGCGAATCGATCGAGCTTTGATTTAGTTCCAATTCGTAAGTTTGAGTGACAGTCGTCGCTTATGAATGCTTCTTTGACAGCCCGACTGACCGTGTCACACTTTTTGACCGCCACGCCGCTCACCTCTCGCGCGACCAACGTTGCCAAAGCTATCGAAAATCGTTTTGTAGCCTGTATGAAATTTTTTGTTTCGCAGGAAAAAATGTATTAATTTTCAAGGAGACTCTTTTTATTTCAAATTTTAACGAGGGTAGATTTTGAAGGGCGTTTTGTCGTTCGTTTATATTATTTCTTTTCTTACGTCTACCAATAATCTGCTCGCGCCAAGGATCTACATGAGAACGTGTGCATCCCCGATAAATTTACCATTCAGATAAAAAAATGTGTAGCAAATGGAGATAATATTCTTTTTAATCACCAAAAGATGGCTCAAATTCATCACAAGAGAAATAAAGCGACTACCGTGATAATGTAGGAGGAGTAAAATCATTGATATTGTTCAAATGGACGTATTTCTGCCAAACGGAACTTGTATTATATTCTAATGTGTAACACAATTCTTCGGGAGATTACTGAGCGTCAGCAAATCCCTGGTAAAAATTGGCAGTAGAATCTGTGTTCCAAAATACCATAGACCTATAGCCGGCTGTAAGATTTCCAATAGCTTCTATAGCCGGCAACACAATTTCTTATAGCCTTTCATAGCCGATGGCGATTAAGCAACAGCCTTGCGATAAAGTGTATGCTAAACTTTACTAATTACGGATGCTAGGACTTAGTGACTTTTTGGACTACCGCTCTCTTTTTGGGCCGCAGTATCTTGATTTAATTTGCGAGGAAAGCTCCGTACTTTTGAAGGATGCCTGCCATTCCTAATATGTTGGAGCGCCTTCAATTTTGTATGATACTGTGCAATACCTCTGGTGTGAAATAGTTGCTTCAAGCGCCGCGGTACGCTGCGGCGAGGCGCGGCGAGCGGGCAGCCAGCGCTGAACGCGCATTGGCGCCTACAAACCTAACAGGGATACTTCACGCATTGGGCAATGCGTGAAGTATCCCTGTTAGGTTTGTAGGAGCCAGTGCGCCGCCGCTCCGCTTTGTGTTAGGCTCTAATATTTAACCTCGCGGAGTCAGCGTTTTTCAACTCATGACTTTGAAATGTTTGCACACTCTGTATGGATTATTCTCATATTTTAATCGATGAAAAAAAATACGTAGTAAAGGAAAATATCATATGCGTTTTGTAAAAATTAAGGTGGTTCCGTACAAACTTAAGGATTTACAAAGCACAAGAATTTCTACACAATATCTTATAGCCTTTTACAGCCGATGGCGAAAAAGCAACAGTCAGGCGATAAAGTGTAAAGCCTGGCGATAGGAACTATAGCCCGGCTGTATACGGGTGATTTCACGATAACAGGAGTAGTTAAAATGTGAAATACCTTAAAAATAAAAGTGCACCAATTTTAACAGGATTTCATTACCTCATTTTAAAGGTATTGAACCTCCTTTTTCCAGCTTTGGCACGCTCTATTTTGATTCAGTGCAAAGTTAAAGTGATTGATAAACAAGCCATTGAATCACGTATCAGCGCTTCCCGCGGGACTGCTGGAGGTCCACGCAAACATGGCGGCCCTGCCATATTGTGTCGGTTACGTAACAGACGCAGCGTAACCGACACTTGAAAATGTGAGATAAAAGATGATACAAAAGATGAAACTTGGCAATTCTTGAGTTGTGAGGTGGAATTGATGCTGTCTTAAAAGTTTTCTAAACTTTGGAGACTTCCTTTTAGTTTAATAATATTAAATTGAGGTTTTTGCGTAGTGAGGAATTAGTGCTACACACCTAAAAATCACTGGTTTTCATAATAATTAAAGTTTTCATTGTAAAGAAAACTGACTTATCAGTAATGGTTTTGTCGAGAAGACTTCAGCGAACAATTTGATGGCAATTTTGAAACTCCTGACTCCGTCTGGCGAGATAAACACTGCACTCAATACAACTGCAAAAATTTGTTGCCAAATGTGGCGACACCTCTCTCTAATGACTTTTCTCGCTCAATAATAAACATTTCAGTTCAAACTGGCAATTTTCTTGAACATTAGAGTCTCTTTTCAGCAAATATTGCCAAAGAGTTCATGATCAGTACTGATTTGTTACCGCAAATTGCTCTTTTGCTTCAAAATCGGGGTTGGCGACGCGTAACCGACCGGACATTTTCGGCCTTTAAAGTCTCATATTATGAAATATGATAATAATTTATCATATTTTTTAGCGTGGATAGGTTCAGGGACATCATTCCTATTGATTTATTCATTTGGTTTTCAATCGTTTTGCCCTATATCGTTCATAACCCACGGCGACACGACTATTCCTCTTATCGTGAAATCACCCATACGTTTGTATCGCTTCGTGTAGCCCGGCCGTATGATTTTTTCCACTTTCTACAGCCAGCTATATGATTTTCTATCACCCTCTTCAGTCGGCTATAAGAACTCCTATGGTATTTTGAAACGCAGCTCCTATCGCCAATTTTTACTAGGGATTATTTAGCTCAATAGGCATTGATTAATTCAAGTAATTCCGACATCCGCTTTTTTCAGATAAAACACGGTTTTTTTTATCCGGAAGTATATATTTTTTCGTGAAGTATTTAGATAATTTAGACTAACTACAAAGAACATTTTCTAAAAAATTAAACGGCAAATATTCACCAGTTTTCCTGAAAATTTATATTTAATTAAGGAAATTTGGCAACCGGTCATTTTTCTTTAGGGTGGCAGATTAGACAGTGAATCGAGAAATGAGTAACCTCCCTTTGTTATCGACGCCTTGGCCTTTAACTGGTTATTTTTTTTTTTTCAAGCATAAAATTATCTCTCGCGTTTAACGGTTATAATTTGTGACCTTACCCTGTTTTTCAACATGTCGGTTATGGTGCCTTTCTCGTCGAGTAACGACATGCTCGAAGGGAGCCTGATCTCGTAAGTGAAGCCGAATTTCTCCTGCAGGGTGTTCAGGATCTCGAAGGCTATCCCTCGGCCTATCATTGTCCCGTTGACATCTTGGATCCAACTCACGGGCCAATGATCCTGTGAAAAGCCCAGCAATATAAAATTCGCTTCGTCACCATTCGGCCAAAATATCACAGTTGCCATTCGAAGTTTCAAAATTTCCGCTGCCATTTTATTTTTTTACAGAGAAATTGCTGGTTAAATCTGTTTGAAAATTTCACTAAATTTTATCGGCAGCACAAAAAAAATTCAGTGAAATTTTCAGACAGCTTCGTTGAACAATTTCTGTCATCGATCCTTTTCCATACGTTTAAATGACAGATCAATCGATAAATCGCAAAGCACGCCACGCCACCGTTCAATTCTTATGTGGTTAATGAGTGCGCAATAATGCAATTGTGCATTGTTATGCATTTATTAGTGAGATCCAACTTTCCACTAGACAAGGTAGGCATGAGTTAATGCGCTTTCTCTTCAAAGTTTTACGACAAAAATTAATCGCACAATAGGGAGTCTGGGAATAAAACAAAGTGTTTACGAATACAAATGACATCATGTGTATGATCTAACCTCCATTTGACCTGTCTCAAAAATACTTATTAATATCTTGTTCAGGGGTTGGTTTCAGAACTTCAAATTGTATGAATCGTTCTCTACGTAAGATTTTGAAGAGGGAACATGTGACGTTTTCTTTTAGTTCAGACCTTTTTTAGTCCCTTATTTGTGGTAATATTTGAGGGGATTGAGGGACAATGCGTTTCATACATGCAGTTTTTTTTTAAAAAAACTGAGGTATTAATGATTTCAATTAAACCCAGTCTTAATGCATATTCGGTGAAACATTCGATCCCAAATTCCAATTTTTTAGCATCATGAAGTCAATTTGAACTTTCTTTCTGCCATAAGAATTCATGTCATTTCGAAACTTCAAACACGTATTTCTCGAGAAAGGAAAACTGCATTTCTGCGCCTTGTCCTCAAATCCCCTCATTTGTTCCTATACTTAGTACGCAAATCGATGATGAAACTGCAAAAATGCGTATATCGGTTGCGGTGTTTGAAAATCTCCGCTCCTATTTTTTAAAAGGAAACCGAACCAACATCGTGGCTTGAAATTTTCACAGAATATTCTTCTCATAGAGAAGAAAAATATCCGAAGTGCTCAATAAATGACGTTAAGTGGTTTTCCATATGAAAAATAAAGTATGACAGGAAGTCTGCAACGCCGCAAACCGATATACGCATTTCTGCAGTTTCGCCATCGAAATACTCGTACCTATATACATTTCTTTGGTTCAAAATCAATTCAAACTGAATACCTACATAGTGGAGTATTTGCCACTGAGCTTATCTCACATAACACTGAAATATAAAGATAAACCCGGGTCAAAAACTATTTCCGACCAGAAAAAAATCATTCGCATTTGCCGTTAAGAATCGTTACTCGTGAATTAAGAATAAAGTCACTTACAACAAACAGGGATCAGGTTAATACAAGTGAACGCCTCTCTTTATAGTTTAAACATACATTTTCTTTTTGATTCAAGAAAAACTTGTTCTTGGCGAGAAATTCAAGAATATTTTTGGTTAGACCAAGTCACTTTTTCCAATGCACGAGGAACAATTAATTCTACTTAGTTATCCAGAGCGAAATAGGAGACTTACAATTGTTATCACGCGCAGTTTTTTACCGCGAAGGAGTTCCTTTCTCAGTTGTGGCACTTGCTTCAACTTGCAGAAAAATTTAACATCTTTTGGAGTTTTCCGCTCAGGAACTGCAAGAAACAAATTGTAACGAATAAATACAAATGTCTCGGCATAACTCGTGTTGTATTTAGCGTTGTAATACTTTTAATTCGTTTCCACTCTAATCTTAAAACACAGAATTTATAAAGAACATTTAAAAGAACTGACTTCGGATCGTCATAATGGGTATAGATTTTTTACCTAGTCGATTGAAATGAGACTCTAAAAAATCATGAAAAATTGGACTGTAAAACTTTCTACGATTGCAACTTTCGAACAAGCGAATGAGCTTCAATGGTGGTATATGGGTGAACAGGGCATTGGACTGGAGTGCCCTCGATATTCCTGCCGTGATAGCGAAGAGAACAGTAAGTGAATGCTGGAATGAACCTCGGGGCACGTCAAAGCATGTGCTAATCATGACTCATACGGAAATACAATTACCGGTCTCTTCGCTACTACGGCAGATTAGAAACAGAGAGGAGAAAAGGACATGCAATAATTGATTTCGTCTTTTTGGCCGCTAAATCCAAAAATGACCTCGCTTTCCTCACATGTGCATAAATTACTCTGAAATTGAATTTCCCTTGGAAAAGTTCTATTTTTGCAGGCAAAATTCCAACTTTTCCGGGACAAATCGAACTGATCCAGATGACCAGAGACCAGTTTCGGAATCGGCACTGAAAACATGTCAAGAGGCAGTGACCGATTTCTTAGCAAATCCAAAAAAAAAATGTTGAAATGTTATAATTAGGTAAAAATAGTGAATTGGTACCATTTATACTTGAAGAGTTTTTTAGTAGGGGGGAAGGTATAAGGGGGGAGGGGGGAGAGTTGTTCGCTAAAAATGTCTTTCCATGATGGCAGTATGCTCAGGACACAATAGTGACCACCGGTTTTGGAGCGTTTCCATTTTGTTATGAATTGCGTCGAGACTGATGGTTGAATTGCAATCGAGTGATTATTACATTTTTGTGTATATGCACGATTGCACGTATAACCTTCCTTTAAATTGTTTTCTTTGCTTTACGTTGTTTTTTACCATTTGCATTTACAGCACTTCTATTACTCTCCAGTGAAGCATGCAATTTACATTTCAACCTGAAGATATATGACGCAGCAAAGCGAAATGTGCCCTAAAGTAGACTATATTATTTAGCACAGCGAACTGCGAAAGAACTTGGTTGGGGCTAAAAATATCGATCTTCAGTTTTCGATGCTGAACATTATTCTGTATCTTCGAGAATATTGAGTCAAAGTTTCAAACTATAATTAGCGTCATTACTAATGCTGCAAGCGTTTAAAGTTAATGCAACATTTACTAGTGCCTTACTCAAATTCTCTTTCTTTGCTCTCGAATAATGAATTGCAGCTAAAGAGTCAATTTTAAGGATTTGAGGGTGTTCTTTGAGCCAAACTACGGGAAATTAGCCCCCCTCCCCCTAAACTCGGGTCTGCTTTTATTTTCCCTTCCTCTTCGAAATAAAAAGAGGTATGGCTTAAGCCCCAACTTGGATGATGCCAGTTAATTCGTCGCTTGGCTGACATAAGGGCGTAACTACATATTGAGATGAGCCCGGAAAAGTAATGAATTGTATGGAAGACAGGGCTCATTGCAGAGTGAGGTTAAGCCCTTATGTCAGGTAGGCGACGAATTGTGGTAGTACCCCAATAAATTAGGTGACTGATCCAAATTTTGCGGTATTGCCCCCACTGAGTTGTTGTAATACTAAAATATGTAATTGGAAATGGCCATGTCATCCAACGAATTGGGGTAGTACCACAGTTTCAGGGAATAGCCCCTTTATCTGGTGCAGTCTCCTAGTGCGCCGCTTTGAAAAAAAAAACAAGCAGTGAACTCCAACACAATGTGTTGATAAGGCGCGTCATTAACTCGCACATATCAACCCCTTTAGTTTTCATTTACAGAGATTTCAAAATAGGCAAACAGCATAAAAAGAGAATTCACGATCCAACACTGCGAGGTCAAAGACGCACCTTGACGAGACCGTGTATTGTGAAAGTAGAAAGCTATTCGATCGAATTTAAGTTTTTTGATCTGCCTCAAGCAAAATCTTATCAGATTCTTGAAGAAAAGTGCTACGGAATAATTTAAGCGAAGAAAGGAAAAATTCTGTCGAACTCCTAGAAGATAAAGTCGATTTAAAGGTATTTTGGGGCTAAAATACCCAAATCACCGGTAGTAAAAATCCCGTTATATTATTGAAAAGAAATTGACTCGATATAAATGCAATTGCATTAAATACGTCTTGATTTTGTTATTTTAAACGTCTTTCCATGCAAAGAAGTTCAACCATGTCGTTGCTTTATTCATTCATGAATTGAAAGTAAGCAATCTACATCCCGAAAATCTACTGATTTGCCGTAAAAAATTGCAGAAACTTGATATACCAGGTCGATGCACCCACTCGTTGAATTTACCAACCAATTTTGTGAGTGCA